CTTTATCTACTATAAGAGCTATAATATATATCCTAATTTAATATACTAAGATACTCTACGAAAGTTAGTTTAGGCCTATAGGAAGTAGTAAGAACGAAAAACTACTATAGACCGAATTAGTCGTCTTTACTTAATTAGTCCTTTATAGGGCGAGATCTTCTATCTTTATATCCTACTTATAATCATAAAGGGTCTAACTTTATATAATAATATTTACTCTATACCTTTACTTTAAGGCGATATCCTCCCGCTAGAGTCTTAATACGACTATCTTATTACCCGGTTAGAAGATACCCCTAATAGGCCTCTCGAAGTCCGGTATATTATCTATAAGATATTTCGAGAGGCCTATTACGCGCGTTATCTATTCCGTAATCGTAAGAGTAAATAGTAGCTCTGTTTCTAGGAGACTATTATCTTATAGGTAGGCTATTATCTACGTAAGATATTCGTGGCCCTATTACTTATAGGAGAACTTAGTAACGGTAGAGCTCTATAGACTAAGTTCGGTAATAAAATTTATAATAATCTCCCTAACTATATTCGCTCTCTCTAGCTTAAATATCCTATCGATTTATAAGTACTATATCTCGACTATAATCTATAGTTAATTAATAAGGACTTAGTTACTTTAGATAAGTCTCTTACTAATTATAAGCTTCCTCTATTTAAATATTAATAGGCGTCTTCTAAAAATAATCCTCTGCTTACTTCTAAGCGATATAATAAAGACTCCTAGCTTACTCTTACTAATAGGCTTAGCGCCTTCCTAAATAATAACTAGCGATCCTTCTATAATCTTTTCTTTACTCGCCTCGAAAGCTATCCGTATAATTACTACTTCTTCCTTAACGGTACTAGCGGTATAGGTAAGACCTTCCTATATTATACTATTATAGTAAGACTTCGAAGTTAGGATAAGATTATAATATATATAGCCTTAACTAGGATCGCTATATTATTACTTCTAGGTAGCCGGACTACTTATAAGCGCTTCTATCTTCCTCTAAGCCTACTTAAGGATAATTAGGGCTTTATAAAGCTAAACTTATAAGCTACTACTCTTTTTAATTAGGCCGCGCTAATTATCTAGGATAAAATAATAATAACGAATCGGATACTATTTAATATTATTAATCGGAACCTATAATTCCTACGAGAAGGGAAGCCTAGCGGGAATTAGTCCTTTAGGGGGATTCCTACTATCCTTAGTAGCGATTTTTAATAGTATCTTCCTATTATACTATATAGTAGTCGGGCGGATATTATCTCTACGAGTCTATAGTATTCAGAGGTATAGCCTATATTAGAGACGTTTATCCTATATCGGAATATATATCTAGATATAGCGACTAGGTCCGGGAAGGAGCTTATATCTTAGCTATATATTATATCTTACTACGAGGAGTATTTTAGTTCTATTCCCTTACTACGGTATATATAGCGATCCTCTAGTCTATCCTACTTTCTCGAGCGTATTTATCTAATATCGGGACTTCTAGCCTCGATCTCTAATCTAACCTTCTTCTCTAGCCGTATAATCCTCTCTCCGCGAAATAAGTAGGTTTATAAATTAAATAATATCTTACTCGATTAATTCCCGGGATAGGCCTCGACTCTTTTTATATATAATACTATATTACCTATAGATAGCGATATTATCGCCTAAACTACTAAGCTTACACCCGAGTTTCTTAACTCGATTAATACTAGTAGTCTACCTCTTATATATCTATATATTAAGGTTAGTACTCTAATAATAATTCTTCGTAATATCTATCTTACGGAAGACCTCTATAACGGTACTTATAGTACTATTATAGCTTTTAATAAGAGCTATATTAAGGTTCGTCTTACGGATAAGAAATAGGCTAATAATCCTATTCGCCTTATTTTCTCCTACTCGCTTACCTCTAAGATAGACTTATCCTTTGAGTTATATCGCTACTAGTTTCCTATCCGCCTTATCTTCGCTATAACTATTAATAAGTCCTAGGGTTAGTCTCTGGATTATATTAGTATTAATTTATAGGGCTAGGTCTTCTTATATAGATAGTTATATATAGCTTTTTCCCGTACGATAAATACTAATAATATATATATCCTACTATCCGATAATAATATCGACTCTAAAGTTAATAATATTATCTATCTAGAGGTTCTATAAGCCTTTCCTTTACCGGTTACTCCTCTATACCTACTAATCTCGGATAGCTAAAGCTCCGAATTAGACTCTGGCTCCGATTCGGAGGATAAAATTTACTTTACTTAGCCTACTATATCCGATACTCCTCTAGTTAGTATATCTATATTTTAGTCTACCTTAGCTATATCCTACTACTAAGATTACCTATACTTTCCGCTCCTTCTCTACGTCGTTCTAGATTCCGCCTATAACCCGCTAATAATAGTTATTACTTACTCCTCTCCTTCGGCCGTAGCCTATATACTAATAATTACTTACTAGTCCCGTTAAATTACGGCCTACTACGTAAATTACTACTAACTTAGGAGTCTCGGCCGCGGCCTATATACTAATAATTACTTACTAGTCCTATTAAATTATAGCCTACTACGTAAATTACTACTAACTTAGGAGTCTCGGCCGCGGCCTATATACTAATAATTACTTACTAGTCCTATTAAATTACGGCCTACTACGCGAATTACTACTAACTTAGGGGTCTCGGCCGCGGCCTATATACTAATAATTACTTACTAGTCCTATTAAATTACGGTCTACTACGCGAATTACTACTAACTTAGGGGTCTTAGCCGCGGCCTATATACTAATAATTACTTACTAGTCCTATTAAATTACGGTCTACTACGCGAATTACTACTAACTTAGGGGTCTCGGCTATAGCCTATATACCGTCTGCTATATATATATTTATATCTACTCCGGATAAGTAGCTTCGTACCTAAGTCTAGCTCTATTCTAGCGAAAATACTTCCTAATTCTTACTAGGTTCGGCCCCTATTCGATATTTACTATAAATCTCTTCTACTTCTTCGGAAATATTATATACTAAGGATATTAAACTATCTTACTATTCTATACTTTGTCTAATTCCTTAAATACTTACTATCTATCTTATATTATACTCGGACTTTACAGAACCTCTTCCTACTTTCTGTTTCTCTACTTTTATCTCCTCTTAATATATCTTTAACTCTAGATAACGCTTTATACTATAACTTTACTACTATTATCTAGCTTAAGCTAGTAACTTAGATAGAGAATATATAGTCGAAGAAGTATATTACTTTTACTACCTTTATAGACGCTAAAACTATTACCTAATAATATCTTTAGGGCTTAGCTATCCCGGATAAGAATATTATTATAATTAATTATTATAATTATTATAATATTATATTTAATAGCGGCTAGGCTATTATTATCCTAGGTAATTTAGTTCCCTTTAATATAAATATTTCTAATAAAGTTCTCCCCCGTCTTTAGATTAAGGCCTACTAGATTAGCCTAATTCTAGGCGATCCTACTACTAATTCCTACCTCGATAACGTTCCTATTACCTAGGTACCCTAGCTCTCTATTATCGGTACTATAGTATCTAATTTTAAAGATCTTTCGGGCGTTCGTCTTTATATTATCCGCTATTCTACGTATTAGACCGCTCTCCGTGATTAGGGTAAGACTACCTATACGAGTATTTACTATATATACGAGTTATTCGGCTTACGGTAGGACCGTTTTCTAGACCCTATCGTCGGACGTCTAATAATAGTTACTAGCTAGATATAGGGGTTCTACCTTTACGATAGTAAGCTTCGAGTTTATCTATCGGTTAAGGATAACGAGTTCCTTAATTAACCCTCCGCGGTTACTACCTAAGATAGTACTACTACTCCTAAGACTATCTGTCCCCGAAAGCGCCTTTATATACTAGGTACTATTCTACCGTCTTCTCCCTCTATTAGTTATATTATCCGTATAGATACCGCTACTATCTCTTCTACGCTAAAGCTCTCTAAGGATACGCCCTCGAAGGATACGCCCTCGAAGGGTACTAATATTACTCTAAAGACTACTCCTACTAAGATTATTAGTATATATAGTTTATCTACTCGGGATTTTTACTTTTTATATATACTAATTTTATATAGTCTAGCTAATATCGCGTCTGATCCGGTTCCCTCTATAGAAGATATAGATATCGGTAAGTAGATACTATCTCCTTTACTAAAGTCTTCGCGAAGTTATAAGAATTATAATAAATATAACGCCTATAATAAGAGGAAGAAGGCAAGAAAGCCTAAGAATATTTCTACTACTAGTATTCGCTAGAGTTCGCCGGATTAGCCTTAGGATCTAGCTAATACGGATACCGCTTTAGATAAGTAATTATTAATTCTTACCTTTTTAAGGCCCGAGTACAGATAGTATCTAGCTCCGTCGTAGTCGCTCGGCTCGGTCTTAGTAGAGTGTATTTCCCTTTTTTTTTTAATATACCCCTCTGATAACTAGATAGTAATATCATCTAGCTTTCTGTTATGGTCTAAAGAATGTGTATTAAACAATCCCAGTCCTTTTTTCTTCTTATCATTGACATTAGCTTCAGGATAACCGTGAGGTTATCTGGCACTGGCAAGGAGTGTACACCGTCGCGCGGAGCGCGACGCTAGACTACTTGTATATATGTATACTCGAAACATGTCGCATTTGCAACCAAGCAATTATCTGTCTCCCCTACCATACGAAAGTTTACGTATTCTCTTTCTCTACACTTGTTGTGGATTTGCAGAAATTGGTAAACTTGTCCAGTATGTAAGAAGCCATGTAAATCATTTCAAAAGAGAAAAAAGAGGTCATTCATCATCTTGATCGCCACAAGGAACGGCAAGAAATCACACGCCAAAACATCAAGAAAGTGCTTGCATAGGCAAAATTCGTCACTCGTCAAGACCACACAAGCAAGCCTGCGGCCATGCGGCATGAGTCTCCGATTAATATATCTATCGGAGAAAGCAAGTCAAAGACGAGCCTTCACAGAAGCGCCAACATCCGAATCGTTCGACAACCCATCGGCCATCATCCGCTCATTATCAGGATCATATAACGGATCGGCGGCTACGGTTGCCCGGGTGCGTTTTCCGAAGTACTCGATCTCGACCTTGGTCCCTTCGCCCAAAGCACCGGGGAGCCAAGCATAGGCCACAGGTTTACCAACAGTGAACCCAAACGCCGCACTTGTCACGTACCCGACGGCCTTGTTCTTGTGGAAGACGGGCTCTTTGCCGAGAATCATGGATCGGCCATCGTCCACGGTCAGACAGCGCAGACGTCGGGTTGGCATTCGCTTGGAGGAGGGCGAGAGACGGTCGAGTGATGCTTTGCCCACGTAGTCTTCCCATTTGCTTGCGCGGATGGCGCCTGCAATACCTGCTTCGAAGGGAGTGTGTTCGGTGGTCATGTCGGTGCCGTAGGTGCGGTAGCCTTTCTCCAGACGGAGGGCGTTGAATGCGGCTCGGCCGGCGGGGACGAGGCCGTGGATCTTGCCCGCTTGGAAGATGATGTCCCATAGTCGTTGGCCGTACTCGGCGCTTGTTTGAAGTTCCCAGCCTAATTCACCGACGTAGGATTTGCGGAAAGCGGTGACCGGGATGCCGCTGATGATGCAGCGTTTCACGCCAAAGTATGGGAGGGCCTTGTTGGAGAAGTCCTCCGTCGTGGTTTCGGAGATGACGTCCCGTGCGCGAGGCCCCCAGAGTCCAATGCAGCATGTGCTTCCTGTGATTTCTCGGACTTGGACATACTTCCCCGGTGAACGTGCACTTTGGTGGCGAGCCTCACGAGAGAGGTAGGCCAAGTCTGTGGCTGAATTGGCGCCAATCTGGAAGAGACTGTCTTCGAGTCGGGAGACAAAGAAGTCGCCACGGACTCCGCCGTGGTCGTTCAGAAAGAGAGCGTAGGTGATAGTTCCCGGTTTGGTATTGATATCGGCCGTGCTGAGGCGCTGTAGAAGATCCAGGGCTCCCGGTCCTGATATTTCGAATCGATGGAAGGAGGTCATGTCGAACATGGCCACGGCATTGCGCGTTTTCCATGCCTCGACCGCCGCGATCGGAGAGTAGAACTTGTTTGACCAGGGATCTCTCTCTACTGGTTTCCATTGGGGAGGAAGATATTTCAACAGGTCTCGGTTCGATTCGTACCAGAATGGGCGCTCCCATCCTCCTAGTTCGAGGAAGTAGGCGCCTAGCTCTTCCTCCCGCGCATAGAAAGGGCTGGTGCGCAGCTGGCGTGGAGAAAGTCTGGGTTGAGAGGGATGCAGGATATCGTAAATTTCGACGAAATTTTGAGAGGAGGTCTCCTCAATGTACTCTTGACTCAACTGCACTTCTTCAAATCGGGACAATTCACATTCAGACATGTCGATCTGCGAGCGACCCGTCGTAAGAGTCTCGGCAACAGCGCGAGCAACACCCGCAGAATGTGTCACCCAAACCGCCTCAGCGACCCAGAAGCCGTCCAAATTGGGAGCTTGCCCAAAGATGGGTCCTCCATCCGGGGTGAATGAGAAGACGCCATTGAACCCGTCCGCAATCTGAGTTTCTCGTAGCATGGGCAACAGTCGCTGTGTTTCTTTCCACGCAGGCGCGAAGTCCTCCTCTGTAAATTCGAGACGAGATGGCATATTCTTCTCATCAACTTCCTTTGAAGTAAGACCGAGAGACGACGCCTTCACGGGCATGGGCCGATGGCCATAGTATCCAATCCCATACTGGTCGCCATGCTCACGGTAATACAAGTCTTGGTCTTGGTGTCGTAGAATGGGCAGCTCGGCATTCTTTCCGTTAATTTGCTTGTTGAGCTCCCTGCCGACCAGCCCCGGCACCGCCGTAGTTTTTGCATACTGATGGGCAAGCGGCAGGAGAGGAATCGACAAGCCAACCATAGCACCGAGTTCTACGCCCCAGAAGCCCGCGCAGGAGACAACAATATCCGCAGCGACAACCCCGTTTGGGACATTCACTCCGGTCACTCGCCCGTTGCTTCTCTCGATTCCCGTCACTGGGGTCATTTCAAGATATTTGACTCCCGCCGCGCGCGTTCGCTCGATGAGGAGCTGTGTCGCCCGGGCAGCAAGTGCTAAGCCGTCGCTGGGGATGTGGAAACCTCCCAGCACGACATCTCTGTTGAGATGCGGGTATAATTCGAGACATCTCTCTGCACTCACGAGATAGGCCTCAATCCCCCAAGAGGAGGCATAGCCATGTTTGCGCTTCAGATCCTGTAGTCGCTCCGGCGTTGTTGCAACTTCGAGTCCACCTGTTTGATTGAAGCAATTCTGCCCGTCCTTCTCAAGTGATTGGAGCTTTTCGACTGTGTATCGGGCCAGACTTGTCATGGTTTTGGAAGGGGTGGTCTGGAACACGAGACCCGGGGCATGAGATGTTGACCCCCCGGGCATGTATAGTGGGCCTTGTTCGACAACAGTGATATCCGACCAGCCTCGCGAGACCAACTCATCTGCGAGGTTGGTGCCCACGATGCCGGCCCCGATGATGACGACGCGTTGTGTGTTTGACATTGCGAGAGAAGAGCTGAGTACAGATCGTTCCGACCTTGTATGTTGAGATCCGGACGTCTTTCTTTTATAATTATAATCGCAGTAGTCCTCGTCGAAGAGAATGACACCAATCTCCCCGCAAGAGGCCGCAAGAGGGGAAAATATCGCCCCCGCAGATTGCATATCGATTACACGTTTTATAGCATGCTCAGCGTTGCTCCCGTCTGGTGTGCCCATGAAGCCTATCAATGCCCCGCATCGGCTCGGACGGTGCTCGGGAGAGAGTCTACCGGCAATGCATCCAGAACCTCATTGACCGGGGCGTTCAAGAGTCGGTTTGTGTGTCTGGATTTCAACCGGAGGAGAGTACATTGTGCACTCGCCCGCCGCTGTGGAACGTGGCATTTGTTTTGCAGTCCGTAATAATCGACGAGGTCGATGTTCAGAGCGTCTGGATGTCGTCCTCAGTCCTCGGCATTGGAAGAGTCAACTAGTACATCGACCGTGTGCCCTTAGACGGGTGGCCACACGAAGCTCGGACCTCGATGAACACTTCCATAGTTCCCGAGCTTGGATCAACGTCCAGATCTAGCCAGCATCACAATGCGATGTGTATCGTAGCCCCAGTGTCATTGGGCTGAATGTGCATCACCCGTGGGTCTTGATCAGTTCATGATTGTCCCGAGGAACGGCGGCCCGGATGGAAGCCGCTCACGTGCCCGGATGAGCTTATTTGGCTCGTGCTGGACAGTCGACGTGGTTCAAATGATCTAATTATTGTTACTTTCACATTGCCTCGTATACAATCATCACAATTCATGAGAATATTCGTAACCCCCCCCCCCCCCCCCCCCCCCCCAGAAATGATTGCGTATATTATTTTATATTTTGTTGAATAAAATTGAACGATGTGATGAAGAGGATCCGGATTCGACGCAAAGATACATCATCAGATGCAAGAATAACACACCATCAGTCAACCTCTGCTCGCCATGTACAAGACAGTACGCAATGTATGAGGCAAATAAGTCATTTCATTGATTATTGTAATGGAACAAAAGCATAGATATGTCCACAACACCGTGCAAATGCCCACCACCCTTTCAAGTAACTACAATGTGAGCTGGAAAGCAAAACAGCAGGGAAGGGATTCGGTACGAATCAAGAAATATAAAGAACATATGAAAGTGTGGCCAGAAGTGGCACTGAAGAATGGTAGAAGGTTGTGGCCGCAGAAGGTGTCCTAAGGAACAAACGTCACACAACGTGAAAATAAACGTGATAGGAACTCAATAAGTCTCCCTCATTACTGCGAGTTCTGGACCAGAAGCTCAGCTCCTTCCGGCCAGCCGGAAGACTCGGCCATTTCAAGAACAGTCTGGCCCGTTTCGTCTCTCTGAGTGAAATCGACAGGACCGCCACGATTGATCAGGATGCGAAGGAGTGGAAGATCACGGTTCTCGATGGCCTGCATGATGGCATTCCACTCTCGATAGCACTTGTTGGGGTCAGCTCCCTTGTCGATGAGCAACTCGATCATGGAGAAATCATCGCCCTTGCGACGTCGAATGGCCTTGACAAGGGGCAGATGTTCGCCTGGGGCATTGGGATCAGCACCTGCTTCGTTGAGAAGAAATCGGACAATTTCAAAGTGATGCTCTCTCAGCGCAGTCGTCAAGGGAGAGAAAACGCCGCCGTTCTTCCACTCGACATTTGCCCCGGCCGCCAGTAGAAATTTGACGCTCTCGAGGGATCCGGCTTGGACTGCTTTCTCCATGACGCCCTTGTGGGCAGACAGGTTGGTAATGGCAGGTAGGATCATTCGTAGCACATCTGATGACTGGGTCGCCATGTATATGGGCCAATCCTCGCCGCGGATATTGGGATCGGCGCCATGCGCTAGTAACCAGTCAATCATCTCCATACGACTGTCTCGAATTGCTGTCGTTAGAGCTGTGAAGCCCTCTGCATTGCGATCATTGGGGTTTGCGCCGTGCTCGATCACCCACTGCAAGGCCTTCATGTGATTAAAGTGTACAGCGCTTTCTGCAATTCCCGGCGGCTTGCGGAGATCAGCACCAGCAGCCAGCAAATCTGGGAAGTATTGAAGGCGGTCGTGACTGATACACTTCCATGCGGGGTATTCAGAGGCCATCACATTAGGGTCTGCTCCGTGGCTCAGTAGTAATGTCACAATATCAGAGCGGTCATCACGGATGGCTGAGCAAAGAGGGGTGTAAACACCGTCCTTCTTTAGATTAGGATCGACACCAGCTTGAAGGAGAACGCGCACCGCATTGATGTTGTTCACGCTCGTCGCCTGCTCCATCAATCCGGGCGCCTTCTTAATATCCGCACCTCGCGCGAGCAAGATTCTCAAACAGTCTGGGCGATGCACGGCGGACCACAAAGCATGCTCAGGACCTGGCAGATTCGGATTGGCGTGATGGTCCAGTAGGGACGTGATCAAGGCCGGCTGGTCCTTCAGGACTGCCTCACACAAGGCTGTTCTACCATGCTTATCCTTGAGGTCTGGGTGGCAGCCGGCGTCCAGCAGGATGGTGATGATTTGCTGCGAGGCACCATTTCGAATGGCATCAATCAACAAAGTTGTGTCGTTTCGGGTCTCCTCATTGGGTTTGCCACCATAGGCAAGGAGAGACTGCACCAAGCTCGGGTTGTTTCTGAAGATAGAGCTGGTCAGCGGAGAATCGAGCTCTGCCTGGGCCCGGTAGTTCACATCGGCGCCATGTTGAAGCAGTAACGCGGCGCCTTCGACGAAGGACTGCTCAACGGCCAGATATAGAGGCGTATTGCCGTGCAAATCCGGCACATTAGGATTCGCCTTGTATTGCAAGAGCATTTGCGTGCTTTCGAGATCACGGTGAAGGATGGCCTCGTTCAGAGGGTGAATGTTCTCGTGCTTGTCAGGTGACATTCCGTTGGTCAGGAGTCGCTCAAGCAGAATGTAATTGCGTTCTTGGATGGCGAAGGTAAGACTGTTTCGTGGATTCGGTGTGCCGCTTGGAAGTGTCGGGTGGGGAAACTGATGCGGCATGGTATATCCGTTCAAAGTCGACATGCTAGGCTTCTCCCGCGGCCGCAAGCCTGTATCGGGCTCGCTTGCTCCCCGCAAGCTGATGTTCGCCGTAGACCCAGCTGAGCTCCTCTGGCTCGGATGCATTGGCAAGGTGCGGTATTCAACGGCGGATGGGATTTTGACATCGCGCGCGGGCTGAGAGACCAAAAATTCATTCAAGGACAGGACGGATGACATGTCGTCGACCATGCTCTCCGGGCCTTGCAACACGAAGCTTGGCTCATGTTCTTCCGGTACGCTGGGAGATGAACCACGAGGATATCTCGGCTCCTTTGGCGGCACTAAAGGGCTGGACAGGGCTGAGCCAGTCGATAGCTTGGAGGCGGAGTCGTCACTTTTGACCGACTTGGTCTTGTCGATACCCATGACCGATCGGCCTTTGGAGATACGATCCAGTGCCGCTGCCAGGCTGGCGTAGCCGATCCCCACGGCCTCTTCGGGATGCGCTTCTTTCAGAGACCAGTGGAAAGCCATGCCGCTGATTTGCAAAGTCTCATTGTTCTTCTTGAGAGACTCGTGGATTCGATTGAGTTCGTGTCCCGGACGACTCCATCCACGCTGGAGCTTACCCAATGTCCCACGGTGTTCCCAATGTACCAATTTCAAGATGACCTTGTCCAACTGTTGGAAGTCGCGGTAGGCGGCCACGAACTTCTTCTCGATCTCATCGACGACGATTTCCGGGAGGGAACGATTGGCAGCGGTCAATTCCGTGATGCCAGCCTCGATGGCCCAGAGAGTGCGACAGGTGTCGAGGAAGGTATGAGACAGTTCACGAAAGCCATCGGGCAGATCCTGCGTCGTGCTGAGGTAGTTGAGCATGTGGACCGAGATTTTATTGCCTAGGGTGGTAGCCATGGCCGCCACCGCGCGAATGGCGTCTTCGGTCGCAGGAGGCATGATTGCAGTCAAGAGACTCAAGACCAGCGGTGCCTCTACCCGTTTGTCAAACGCCTTGGAAGATGGGTTTGAAGTAGGGAGAGTTACGGCACCAGATGAGTTTGAAAGAGGGTTGAGGAAATCGGACTCTCGAAAAGGACCATGTGCGCTTTCGCATGCCAGCTATGCGAACAGAATCCTTTTCCATCTCCTTCAGACCGGGGGACCCATCACGACCCAGCGGACCTCGGAGGCCAAGTTATCAGCCGATGGGTGGCTACTGGCTGCTAGTCGCTCGTCCATCGTAAAGAACGTGCGAGATTAGTCTTGCTCACAGCTCGGTGGGGCCTCGATCTGGTGAGATGGTGGCGGGCTCCGTTCATTTGCCCTGGGACATGGATTGACTGGGTCGCAAGTTGGTCAACGCATCTTGGGGCTTACTCTCGGTGTATCTGAGCTCGATCGAGGATCTCAGAAAGGTGCATATTGGAGCCGATGGAGACGGGGAATACCGCTGCTTTGGGTCTAGTCGAGGTCCGCTCATCTTTCTTCGAGAGGAACATAACGCGCGCTCCAATCAGACATGGCAGGCTCAGATTAGAGTGGAGTCCATGCTGGATCCAGATCAGCCGGGCGGGGCACGTGTGTGTCGGCGAACTGGACGCCATGTGCTCGAAGTTTATTTGTTTCCCTCCCTCTCTTTCTCTCTTTCTCTTTTTTTTTCCGGTCAAAAGGGCCGAAAAGCCTCGACGCTGAAATTTGCGTCTTTGTTCAATGAAAAAAAAAAATGCCCCAGAACGTGTGGATGTACCATCGCTACTGAGGAGATGCCCAAGCCCCATGGAACCTTACTCCCGGGGTTTGTGTCCGTTCGAGAAATGCCGACTCGTTTCAGGCCAAGTCTCTGTATACCAAGGATTCGAATCTGGTTGGCACGGTCGGGAGAGGCTCGGAGGATACATGATGAGTTTGACTTTTTTTTCTCCTTTCCCCTAGTAACTGAACCATTGTTGGTTGGGCTCGACCAAAGTCAAAAACGTTTCCTTTTGCTCCGGTTTGGAAGCATGGAGAACTGGAGAGCCCCTGTGATGACGGTCCCGCTAACCGCGTGGAACGTCTCAGGGCACGAACAACAACCCCAGTTCTCAACGGACGGATTGGAGATTGGCCTGAAACCTTCCACGTGAGAGCACAACATTGACATGCGGTTCACACGGAGTTAACAGGACCACCCTTTCCAGCAATCAGATCCCGGCGTGTCTGAAATGTCTTCGAGTGCAGTGTACTTTATGGTTGAAGGGTTTCGCGCTCTCAGTTGGGTAGATGGTGTCGACCGTGAAGAATTCCATTTCCCTCTCAGCGCAGCTTTGCAGCCCACGGTCCTTGGTCCAGCTTCGCGAGTACGGCCATGCGAGGCGCTCACACTGGATGACAACCTTACACGTGCAATCTGACGATGGAAGTCTGTAGCTTACCCCAATCGATTCGGAGAAATCAACCCCAAGCGACCCAACAGTACACTTACTACAGTATGATATATACACTTTCTAAACTCAAAGACATACCTTATATTTCAGTCTCACATCGGGATTGATAGTCCCTCGACAAAACATCTCGCTATGACTATGTCTGAACTTTAATCGCCACCGTGTTGACTCGCAAAGAAAGATCGACATTCAATTTGTTCTCAATTGATAAGCGAGCGAGCTCTTCTTGGCAGGGTACCTCACGCTGAACCATTCGGCGGAGGATTAGATCAACGCAGTCCGATACGATCAATTGAATTGTACGCAGTCTCGACAATTCGGTTGCCCGCCGGAGCCCTAACATCCCTGCAACATTGATCAACCTTGCCATTCTCTCCACCTTCAGTCCAGAACCATCGATTTCTCTGGGTCACGTTTATCAGCCCGGTTTAGGTTCGTGCCTGATACAAGACCTCATCCTGCGCTATCCATTTCTTTTTTCCAACACACTTGCAGTTCCTCTGCACTCCCGTAGTAACTCAGTAACTAACTTCTAATAATGGGGGTGTGTTTAGACTGTCCACCTCGCTAGGATCGAAAAAGTAAGGTCAATTTTTGGATTTATTACGTTCATCGTTTTGAAAGTGTTTAGCCTTTGTAGAAAAATACGGGTCTGCCTTTGCTTTCCGTCAACACTTCAAATTCTCGAAGTTCGCGATCTAGCATCTACCCGTTCTCTATAGATAAATCACCGACCCTATGAGAATCTAAGACTTTACCTTCTTTTAATCCTTTAAAGTATTCAAAAAGTATATAGTATTATGATACAGATAAGAGTATGTGTTGTGGTAAAGAGAACTTCTGAGTTTTTGGTGTTCACGGTCAGGAAATCGGTGGGCGGTAAGAGATAGCAAAAAAGGATCCAGTCTCTTGATTAATACAACATCAAAACAAAATAACAGAACAATCACGTGAATACTGGAGTTCGACCTTCCCGTTCTGGTCCTAGCGAGGTGGACAGTCTAAGGCGTCAAGGACACTCCAATAATGGCCCCGATGAGATTTGCTCGGGTGGGGGGGGGGCGCAAAGAGGTGTAGGTACCTGTGGCGCTCCGCTGGGTCAAGACTCTTTTTGCAGCCAAATCAGAGGTCTGTGCGGGAATGCGGATCGATAAGTAATGGCGATTGCTGACTCAGATGGGACCTGAGGTTGTGCCCGGGGAGGATGTGAAAAAGTCTAATGTATTATTGTCTCAGGAGCAGAAGGTTTGGGGTCATCGAGGCCACTACTGAGTCTACTGACCAGTGACTACGGTCCTGACATGGAAACATGAGTATTCATTTACAGTCGCAAGATGAGCCCTCTCAACTCCGAGCAGGTCATTGACGGTGGCTAGCGACAAGGCTGGGTCCGGTGTCCGTAGTTCCGTCCCACGTAGCCTGGAGGCTTCGATGATTGTGTAAGAGAGTAGTTGTGTACAAGTTCCAGGGCTGAAGTATAGACATTCGACAAATGTGTGCCTGAAGTGGACCAGATCTCGATACTGACCGTGGCTGGCTGCGTGAATTTTCCCCCGCCGCCCCCCTTGATCACCAAAGGTATATGAATTTTAGATTGCAAAATTCACACTTGCCAGGATTCGGTCGGTTTATATCAGGTAACCGACCCAATACTTCCTCACAACGGGACACCAGATCCCACCAAAGACCCACCCCAAAAATTATTGAACACACCCGCGTGACTTGTGGTTCGGCGCGAGAACCTGTTTCTCGACTGAATCACTTCCCGTGTCTGTCATGGTCTGAGAGTGTTAATGGTGCGACTCTACTACACCGTGTCAGGCATCAATTCTCCGGTTCACTGGGACGATGTCTAGGTGTTTTGCTGGTGGTGAAACAGATCATCTACGGGTGTTCCCAGGGAGGGAGACTCGACACTGGGGGCAAATGACGTGAGACAGCAACGTGTGGAATGGATGGGTTGAATCACCGTTCAGGTCCTTGATTCACACTCATCAAGCACACGGGGGCAGGGTGATATGGTTAATAGAGCGAGCGGGACAATCAGGGGACGCGTCATGAGGGTGGCGCGGCTTGACGTGGGTTGATGGAGTAAGGACCTGCAGAGCTCAAGGCGTGGGTGGATTGTCAGACTACTAATGCAAAATCTCTTCTCCAAGCTCGTGTCCATGACACAAGATTGATGAAAAGAAGATCCAAGAGATGGATGGTGCCAAAGAATACGCCTGTCAGTGACCCGAAAGCCGCTGAACAGACTGTTCCGCCGCGCTGTGCAATGCAGGGACCAATCTGTGGTGAGTCACCTTCATGATCGTGATCACCCAAACAAGGTAAGTATGAAGAAGAAAAGAAAAAGAGGAGGAAAGGTGGCGAGCACCTGGCGGTATTTATAGGCGTGGTAGGGTGCGCTAACGCTAAGCGAGAAATGATGCATCACGTGAACCCCTTGCTTGGCCCCTTCCATCGGGCAGGCAAGCTGGGGGGGGATGAACAAGCTCATGCCTTGGTAGATTACAGGCATTGGTGTCTTAAACGCCAAAGCTTTTTGGATGATTATCTCGCCCTCACGTCAATATCAGATCAATAAGGCTTGATTTCACCCCTTTGAACGTTCCGGAGGGGGATACCTAGTCTGGGTTTAGAAAGATGTTCACTGGAGTCATCCGCTCACGAGGTAGATTCTATGCAACCTGGAAGGACATCAACCCTTGAATTTTCTTTTATTCACTGTGAGTGCTTGTCATGTCATACAAATGCTTCTGTGTCTAGTCAACACAGACGGGGTTGTTGATTGTTCGAGGCATATCCCGTCGGAATGGACGCGCTTGAAATCTGCTGTCAATGTAGACCTGCCTGCCCGGCATTTCGCACAGACGCCACGCTTTCTTCTTGATTCTGTCATGTATGTACGTCTCGCTCGGTATATCCGAATGCGGCAAATTTGCTAGAGGAATGATGAACTACATAGTAAGCAGTAAGGTTAGTGCTCGTGTTTGACTCAACAGCTCGAGTATCCTTCGACCCGCCGAATCCCCATCACCACGTATATGGATCCATACCATCATGATCACAACGTCTTAATTGGCACTGTGTACATAGATCGATAGGATCGACGGTATGTCAGCAACACATTTGCTTGCTTGGCCCCCGGTTTAATAGTCACTGAGGACCATAGATGACGACCCATGAAGATCGAGGCCTTTTCCAACCGCTGGACTGGCTGTAGCAGGACCGGTATGTTGATGAAGTTGCAGGCCCCCCTTGACACCTGGTCCCTGGTGTGGTGATATTTCACATGGAGATGTTTGGTCTATTGGTGTACATCATGACTTTGGGTAAGAAAGATGGTTCCTTGATTGTCCTCGTAGATCAAGGCAGGCAGGTCTAGAAGTGATTCAAATCAAGTTCACATATGAAGAGTCGAAGCCATGCACCTTCCTGCACAGCCAGAGAGGCCGAGATCTACTCACTTGCCGTGGAGCAACATGCAACGCAGTTCCGTTTCTTGGAAAGCCCATGTGATAGGGCTGTTTTCAAGCTTAAATGGGAATTCAGACGTAGACATACATGAGTCTGCAGGGTTTCGAGCCCAGACTGCGTCAACGAAGCCGAGGGGACTATTCGGCAAGTAGGGATAGACGATGCATTCATTGACAGACCCCTTAAGGTAACGAATGATGCGCTTGGATGCAGTCATGTTCACGGTTGAATGATGAATTTTGCGCATATCTGGCAAGCTTGATAACAGGGAATGCTATCCTTGGCCAGCCGCGGGCCTGTTGTACCCAAGTTGTCGTCCAGGGCAGAGCTCTTTCAAGACATGTCTCAGATATTTTCCATCAAAGGTGTACTTATCCCACTTGTATCGTAGCTCACGCCAATGCCATATGGATTTCTGTACAACCCCTGGTTAACCGGATAGGCCGCTGATCCCGACTTGGTCTTTGGGAGCAGTGGCCCCGAATGTTAGCGGGCCTTGAAGATGTCCAACAGGGAGTTGAGCCATGGAGGGAGTAACTTTCGGTGAAGGGTCGGACATTTCCTAGGTACCGAGCAGCTTCTGGACTTAAAAAGAGTGTAAAGAAGGTGGTGCGGAAGCTTGCAAAACTTTCGGTAAGGATGAGAGCTCAGTACGGCACGAGAGGTGGTGCAATTTGAGAAGGTGATATGATGGAATCTGACGCGAGGTGGGGGTGTGTTCTTATGGCATACGATACTGCTTCCATTCCTCCTATCTTTGCGCTAAGTATACTGCAGGATATACAGGAAAGGTGTTTTAATTCGGTTACTCTGCAAGTTGCCGAATAGGTAGCGAGGAAGTGATAATTCCCCTACTTTTTTTTTTCGCACATACAGGGCCTGAGGGCTCATAACCTGATAAGATACAGCTACAGTAGGCGCAGCTACACGATGTGTGAGAGGGATGAGCTGGAAGGTGAGATTGACTAGCGAGGGGACATTCTATTTAGGCTTTGGACTGCAGCCCAGTGAGACGGCAGTAACTATCACATGCCATACGAACAACAGGCGTGGTGTTGGTTTACTAAAACGTCTGAATTGAGGCGAATGGCATCAACGTGGAATCACCGGTCCCGGAAGGAAGTAACGCTTGAATGATGCTGGTACCTATGCAGCGTGCTCGACAGGAGAAGACCGAAATGTTGTAGTCGATCCACCTATCACTTCAAATGTGTTCCAAGACTGGGTAGTTGCGTCTATCTCGATGTCACGTTGAAGAGTGGGATCCATGGGACAGTAATAGATCCTCATTGTCTGTTCAGCCGAGTCACAATGGAATGCACCGGAGTGTGCATGTCACAACCATACTTTGATGTGATGTACTGTGAAGCATGATCGTCATCAACTTGAATGCCATAGGTCAGCCCCATAGCGGTTTCAAACACAAGAATGATATCATAGTTGCTTTCGGTTTCCTTCCTTCGAGTATCGAACTCACTGCTTCGCCGTTTCACTTACGCGAGCACTGTGCAAGTGTGCATCCATGTTCGCTGGGGCTCACTTTCAGAATCTAAGGTACTGTACCTCACCGGCTGACCGTGTCTCATCCGTTGTGACATCTTCCAATGCTAATGGCCTGGGCTGATTGTGACCCACTCACACACTATCTGATGTGACTGACTTTGGACGTCCAAAGGCTGTTAGACATCGTTGGCCAGAGATGATACGAGACCGGTATATACTCGTCACATCGGGCTTCAATGAACAACGGTCCGACTCCGCAGACACTTAGAACCTGTTATCGCCCAGTAGAGTCGCATTGTTGAACAGGTAGGTCTTGCGCGTCGATGACAGTATCTCTCATGCCATTCCGCAACAGGTACACCCGGGCAGATCTTGTTTGAGCCGAGATCTAGAACAAAGGTCTTCTGGCTTCCGAGGACGGAATTGTTGGTGCCACGGGGATCCAAGCTCTCGTTGAACCTGACCAGTGTCTCTACCGAAAAGCATTGACCAGGAATTCCAGCGCCAAGGTAGAGCGGGTGAGAATCAAAGTCTGTCGGGCGGTGAATTCATCAATCTGTCTCAGAGCAGGGCTGATGTATAGCGGCCCGCCAGACATATCTCGAAGGAGTACAATGCTGCCGGAGGCATCCCGCATCTGACTGGAATAACTGGACGGCTTGAAGTGCATTTCATTACAGACACCAAGCACGGTCGACAATTTCCTCTTGACGACTTGGGGTGTCTCGATGCGCAAGCCGTTCAACTCACAGACATCGAATAGACCGGGCGCATAATCTTCGTGAGTTAGAACTTGGGCAGCACTCAGTGTCGGAGAGCGAAAAGGGTGGTGAGCATCAAGTGTCGGACTCGGGGCTCCAAAGAGAGACTCAGGAGAGGGCTCTCTCCTTGCGAAGGCCAACAAGGACAAAGGAAGCTCGGGCGAGGAGGATTGACCGCCGATCCAATTTTGGTGATTGGTTTGATTGCCTTGATTGATGGATCGGCAATGCCGATGATCATTTCACTGTAGGAGCTGGACTGCTACAATAATACGACTATTGAGTATTGAGTAGTAAGATTACCTTACTCCTGGAAGCCTGGAGGAGTTGAGTAGATCAAGCATCATCGGATGGATGTCCATTGGTCCTGTGAAGACTCAAGGGCGTAGATGCAGCCCCGTTGATGGGTGCAGAGTGTAGACTGGAGCCTTCTACTAGTAGGACCTCTGGCCTCTTGTCTGTCGTGGGCGATAACCGGACATGTGATCCTCGCCGATCGCTCCAAAAGCTGTTAACCCGACGAGGCCTCTGGGCGTTGGAGCGTGGATCGTGGACGGCACTGGAGGCAGTTTGGAGAATGGGTGGGTCATCCAGATGGCTCGTAAAAGAGTCGGCGGAAGGCTTGGCAAGGCATCCATCTCTTGGATAACGAGACTAGGCCGTCCATGATTCCATGGTAGCAGATGCTTCAAAGACGGCAGACGGGCAGAGGGCCCCAAGTTTAGACTCCAAGCCTGAGGCCCATAGACAGTAAGTTACTGGGTAGTGAGTACATGACTACAGGTAGTGACGCAGGGGCGCAGAGGCGCAGAGCAGTCTTTGCACCTGATAACATGACGGAGGGCGCGATCAAAAGATAGGGGGTGGAGGGCTGGCAAAGTGGCCAGCCACTCTCCATCGCAAGATCTTTGAAAGGAACACTGCTAACCCAGACACTGACAGTGAGTAATTATGCAACAAAGCATATACTACTCAGTGCACACTCTATGAGTCTACCTTGGTATTCCACAGTCACACCTTTGTACATTTAACATGATGTAGTTGGAGACTCGAGAGAGTTTCGGAATCCAGAGTCTAGACAGACACTGCCCGACACGGGATCATCAGGTGGGGCTGATTGAGACGGCTCGGACCCAGTCGATGCTGTCTTAGTGCAGGCATCCAAGGGGGGGGACAGGTTCGGACTGGAATCGGTTCCTGTGTAGCATCATAGCATGAAGGAAATTTTTTCACAGGCCAGCTCGCCTGGATTGTGCAAGCCTACAAAAGGTCGAATCTCGAGAGGGATGTGGGAGGGTGGAGTCCAGCCGGTCGCTTGGGAAGTGTCTTGCAGGGCAGTGGGCACTATTTTTACTATTATGGATTCATGCACTCGGAGAGTTGCTATACTCTTATGTTGACTGGTAGATTACCTAGCCAAAAAAAAAAAAATCCAAAAAATCAGCGCCCCTGTGCTGCTGGAGAGTAGTATGGATCAAGAACGATGGGATCTATCGTGGTTATAGCCTAAGTACTCCGTAGAGTGAAGAGTCAGTACTCAGTACTCAGTACTCACTACTCACTACTCTCGTCACTTACTCAGTACTGTTCATGTCCAGCGGTCAACCAGACACAAAGAGATGGCACACGTGTCACATGTCCAGAAAGGTGAAACCCGAGAGTTGCTGGTTACTTCCGAAAGAAAGACAAAGATTTCAGACCCGAACCCTTTTGACTTTCTTGATATTCCGATCACGGGATCTCTGCCCAATCGCACCACCATGATAGCCAGCGCCCGCCCTTTGCAATGGCGTTGCTGTGCGACATCATCCCTCCTGATTGCCCGAATCCAGCAGATGGTGACGACAAGATGGAAAGCCCTCCGACACACTGCAGATGGGCACAAGAAAACCAAGCCAGAGTCCCAGACGGCCTGCATGTGTCACATCTTTCACGCGGTCTCGGGCGGAGAGATGTGGACCCACTGCACTGACCCAGTAGCAGTGTGACTGGACGCCGTTGTCCACGAGAACCACTTGTCATCGTCGCAACGGCCAGCGCGGACGATCTGAGGTGCGTGTTTCCCGTGACGGTTGGTACTTGGTAATGGGGATGGTGCCTCTGGTCCGGTCGCGACTGATCATATGCATTCTGTGTGTGGCTCAGCGGCGATCGGTCAATCCTGATTCAGGAGCTGCAGTACAGTCACTACTCACTACAGTGAGTATGGACTCTTTTGAGTAGTGAGTAGTGAGTAGTGAGTAGTGAGTAGTGAGTAGTGAGTAGTGAGTAGTGAGTAGTGAGTAGTGAGTAGTGAGCAGTGAGTAGTGAGTAGTGAGTAGTGAGTAGTGAGTAGTGAGTAGTGAGTAGTGAGTAGTGAGTAGTGAGCAGTGAGTAGTGAGTAGTGAGTGTAGTGAGTACTAGGACCAAGTGTACTGATGTACTCGGTGGAGTCATCAGTGCATCAGTATAGACTGAGAACTTAGTCGACATGCGACATTCTCAGGATCGGTAGTTCCGCGAGTGTGGCAGTCTTGGTGATTGGCAATTGGCCGTGTCATTTGACTCGAGGGAACCTTGAGCTTGATGGTTGAGGTTATGGTTGGTCCCACTGCGCTGTACGAAGGTAACAAACGGTTGGTAGCCGACACTCGACAGGAAGACTCGTGATGATTGTCCGGGTTTCCCTCGTTCTGCAGCCTGGTCGTGTGACATCGGATGGCGAGTATTCAACTATCATGCCACCCTGCCGGCATATGACCACTCCTTTCGGCATGGGGAGGAAGCAGCAGCTACGGGTATTCCAGCGTTGAAGATCAACATTGGAGAAAAACATTCAATTCCTACCAAGTGACTACCTACCTCATCGCGAACATTTTAGCTTTCTGATGGAGGACAGAGAACTGGAGACTGCCAAAGTCGTTGGACGGGTTGATGAGATGCTAGCTGAGACGATGGTGTTCAGTCCTGAAAGGCACTCTCTCAATCTTCAATGACGAAAGTCTTGATCAATCCGTAGGTTCAGTCCTAGTAGGCGTTTTCATCTTCCAGAAATGAATTCTCCCCCTTCATCTCCCCAAGCAGTGGCGTCAGCGACGGGTGGCTAGAAAGTAGGTACCTACGGCAAAGGGTAACGTTCCGGTCAAGTATTAACCTAACCTTACGAGTAGTTACTCAGTGCTCACTACTCAGTGCTCACTACTCAGTGCTCACTACTCAGTGTTCACTAATCAGTGCTCAATGCAGCACTTATTATGTGCGCCTAAACTTACTAGTCGAATACCTTAGACATTAGTTGTCGAGGCAAGAAATTGAGATATCTGTCTGAAACTCCCCTTTCAGCCTGAAATTGACCTCCGATCATCTATCCCAGGCTCGGATTCCTCGACCTGGGAACTCCTTAAGTGTCTTCAGCGGGTCCGAGTCGTACCCGGGAGGAAGAAGCATCGTCGCATGGTCTCTCCCAGCGAGGCGGCCGATCCTCACTCGGGAGTCGAGACTACGAGACCATTGACCATTCCTGTGGTCCTTCTGGGTCACCCGATATCGAGACTGGGAACCTGCCGCGCAGGATCCGAAGGTTCCAAGAAACATTTGGGACAAATCGAACCTTGGACCGCCCGACACATGTACCTGATGGAACTCGACAATTCTCAGGCTCGGTGGTTGATGGCAACACTGTCAGTGCGTGCCCAAGCAAATCAGGACGCGGGCGTCATCTCGTAGTAAACCCAGAGCGTCTCTGAGCAGCTACTGTTTCAGAGGAAGTCAGTAGGTGGAAACTTGGATGAACTAGTGGCGCTGGACTGTGCTCAGTGGCTCACTGCTGAACATCATTTTGGAACCGTCTTTCATCATGCCCGATTGTTGTTGATGCACTTCGGTCCCATGATGAGACTGAGTCAGTCCACGTCAAAGTGGCAAGGTCCTGGTACTTTCTGAATGACCTTGCTCCCTTCCACCCTCGTCCTTCTGATGTACAGTGGCGAGGATCTCCTCCACTACCCGATCCTTGACACTTCTTCGCTTCTTCTCTCCCTTCATGTGCTCAACGCACTTGCTAGTAAAAAATTTTTTTCTTTCCAGTCGAAGCTAGCTAGGCCTGGATAGGGCGCACTGGGCTCTGAAAAAAAGGGTAAACTTCACCCTGAAATGAGTTAGCGCAGGAAGCCCACCCCCCTGAATGAAGGACTTTACCTAATCGACCCAGTCCCACCCGGCGTCTGGGCTCCCTGCAGCTCTTTTCCAAAAATGGCCGAAAAGGGTGCCGTCAACAAAAAAAAAGGTGCTGGCGGTACACTGAACACTCCCCCCCCCCCCCCCCTCCCCCAAATGGCCCATGCCCATCGTGTCGCTCGCCTCTTTTTCTAGCCCTTCCCTCCTTTTTCTTCTCCTTCCCTTCTTTCCCCTCCTTTCTTCCCTCATTCATCCTATACCCCCCTTTCCTACTCTGTTTGTGATACCCAACGCTCTTTGCGAAAAGAGCTGTTATTTACTTGCTTTCTAAAGATACCCTTTCAAGCTACCGTTCGAACAAAGCTCTGCTTCTTAATTGATACCCAGATACCCTCCCGATCACCTTTCGGTCTAATACATCATAATTATGTCGGACATTCAGAAGCCCGTCGAGGAGACCACCGCGGCCGTGCCCGTGGCCGCTCCCGCTCCCGCTACTGTTGAGCCTGTCGTCGAAGCGACCCCGGCAACGGAGCCCGTTGTTGAGGCGCCCAAGGAGGAAGTGAACGAGGCTGCCGTCACAGAACCTACTGCGGTTCCCGAGGCCACCGAAGCCACTGAGGCCACCGAGGACGTGAAGGAGGAGGTTAAGCCTGCTACCGAGGGTACTCTCGGCCACAAGGCGCCTGGCCTTGTCAAGTACGTGCATACTATGAGAACGGCATCACTCCACACCAGAATTCTTGACGCTGACTTGGCTTTTCCTTTTTCTTCGCTGTTTTCAGGAGCCTGCGTTTTGCCAAGCGTTTCTTCTACTTCAACGATGAGCCCGTGGAGGCTAAGCAGCTCGCCACCTTCCACCAGAACGAGAAGGCTGCCGTTGCCAACCCCATCGCTGCTTGGGCTAGCCAGACCGGCAAGGGTCTGCTCTTCATCACCAAGCGCGCTGAGGACAAGGCCCACCCTAGTAGCATCATCAACTTGGTAAGTTTTCAGGAGACTGCCTCGAAAATTGGAGGGGATGAAGAACCGCAAACTAACAACCTGAATATCAGGCCGATGTCTCCGACGTGACCAAGGAGGGCTCCAACGAGTTCCAGTTCAAGGTTGCCGGCCAGAAGCACACCTTCCAGGCTTCCAACACCGCCGAGCGCGACAGCTGGGTTGTCGCCATCGAGAACAAGGCCACCGAGGCCAAGGCCGAGAAGGAGACCATCACCACCAGCGAGGGCTACAAGGCTGAGCTCGAGAAGTTGACCAAGCCCGCCGCCGTCCCTGCTGCAGCAGCTGCAGCAGTTAAGAAGCCAGAGGAGTCCGCTGCTTCCAAGGAGACCGAGGAGGTCACCAAGGAGGAGAAGAAGGAGACTGCCAAGTCTCGCTCTCAGTCTCGCAAGCGCTCCAGCATCTTCGGCTCTCTCCTTGGCAAGAAGGAGGAGACTGAGGAGAAGAAGGAAGAGCCCACTGAGGAGGTGAAGCCTGCCGTTGCGGCTGCTGAGCCCGCTGTTGTCGCTGCTCCTACTGCCCCCGTCGTCGAGCCTACCGCCGAGCCCGCCACCGAGGCCCCTGCTGCTCCTGAGGGTATGTTTGATTCACCGTTACTAATATCTCTGAACGAAGTTGTGCTAACCAAACATCTATAGTCGCCCCCGTTGAGGCTGCCACCGAGGCCAGGCCCGTGGAGGAGCCCAAGGAGGAGAAGAAGGAAGAGAAAAAGGAGGAGAAGAAGGCCAAGCGCTCGTCCATCTTTGGCAAGGTGTTCCAGAAGGTGACCAGCCCCTCTCACGAGAAGTCTGAGAAGGAGGCCGTTGCTCCCATCGAGGAGACTCCCGTTGCTGCCACCGCGCCCCAGCTCGAGAACCCCGTTGAGGAGGCCGCTGTCAAGCCCATCGAGCCCGAGTCTGTGACCGCTGCCGCCGACTCTGAGGCCACCAAGCCCGTTGAGGAGCCCAAGGAGTCCCCCGCCGCGGAGACTGTTACTCCCAAGGACAAACGCCGCACTTCCTTCTTCGGCAACTTTGGCAAGAAGGAGAAGAAGGCCGAGACCTCTGACAATGAGGTCACCGATGGCGAGACCAAGGCCAACCGCTCTAAGCTTGGTGGTCTCTTCCGCAAGCCCAGCAAGGCTGTCAAGCTTGACACCGAGGAGGCCCCGGCCACTGAGACCGAGGCCGAGGCCAAGCCCGTCGAGACCTCGGAGGTTGCTCCTGAGGTGCCCGCTCCCGCCACGGAGACCTCTGCTCTGGCTACCGAGCAGACCGTCGAGCCCGTCCAGACCACCGCTGAGGAGCCCAAGAACGTCAACGTTCCCGCCACCACGCCTGTCCAGGCCGCTGCTTAAAGGATCGTTCCTTTGACATACTGAGAATGGATGGCTGGTCTGTATTGTGGATGGCTGTGACAAGGATCACACCACGGATATCGTACCGATATTCTTGCCCTATCTTGCTTGATCGATCCTCCTAATGCTTGTTTTTCGTTTTTCCCTCGCCCTTGTCATTCTCTTTCAGTTCGTCCACCGTCCTCCCCGCGAGGACCGTGGAAATTGAATTGGGTCCCTATGTGATACCCGCTGTCATTGCTCTTTGAATTTTCCTTTTATTGTCGTCGCGCACTCGTTCCTTTCTATGCGAAGTCACACCAAAAATCGGAGCAACGTATGCTTCCACCCTAATTAGTGATGGTGCACGGAATATGCAAAGCCCGGTACCACTCGTTTCTTCGCCTAATGACCTTGCGTTTCGCAACCGAACCTCGATTTGCGACGTGCTTCATGCGTTACGTGGCGTGTCGCTGTACTAGATTGATACCACCCTGCTTTCGTGCGCTTTGGCTTTCTCGCTTCGATACCCTGCTGGAGAAATGAGGGACGTGTCCTTGGGGGGCGCTGCTTTGAAGGAGGCATATGTTGGACTGAGTCCTTTGTTTCATCGTTCACTCCTTGGACTTGTCCTTCTGCTACATTCTCGATAGTTCCGTATGTTGTGTGGAACTTTCTTTGTCCTGCCTTGCGGGTCTGACATATGCTTCGATGGATAATACTTAATAGAAACTCTACTTTTGCTTTGATCTGCTTTCAAATGTGTCATATGAGTAGAAGAGGACTACGTCTGTGTTTATCCCACCGCTGACCAAAAGCCAGCCGTCTAGACTTTTACCATCGTGCGATGCCTGCCGATCGCCATCTCCCGACCACTGCACCATTGTAAATCTCCTATTCAATCTTCAACGCGTGGAGGTTCACATTTTCAAAGAGAATCACCCTTGATCCTGGGCTTGATATATCGTTTCCCCGTCGACGCAGCATTAAAAGTCACGAGGTCTCCCGGTAGTATCACCCCTCGAGACTTTGCCGTTCAGTTTCTAGATCCCAATCTGCAGAGCGACCAGCTATGTACTGGGGAGTCAGGAGCCGGAATGCCATGGGGACTCTGCTTGTCCAAGTCCTTGTCCATTTCTTCTTTTCTCTCCCGTCTACGGTTCTTGTTCTTCTACGTCGATCAACTCTTCTTTTTTTTTTCTTTTTTTTGGCACCGGATTTAGGCATCGGACTTGCTTTTGTACTTGTGCTTGCGCGTCACTGACGAAGGTAGCCCGAGCACTGGGGTAGGTGCGCATGTCAGTGTGACCACATGCTACATTAGACCATAGGTACACAGGTACCCGACCTAATTCCCAACTAGGCTGCCTCCATATTCATCATCAACGCTTTGTGATACTTGAGCCCTGGCGCACGTGCACAGGTACGGGTCCATAGTAAATCACTGGGTTCAAAGTTGCGATTCAACGGCGAGGACTTTTTTCCTCCCGCCTAGGCAGTAGAATTCTTGCAACCGTGCACACTGCGGACTGCGGATTGCAAAGTAACACTTGAGAGCCTGGAGCTAGGTACGTACGCGCTTGACATGTGAGGACAAGGTCGGAACTGGAAACTCCGGATCTGGTGCGCAAATGAATGGGCTTTGCGAGTCCGCGGTGCTTCTATACAGAGCGGCCTTTCTGGGAAATTAGATCCCGGCCACAGGGCTGGGCACTGGGTTCAAGTTGAACGGGATTAGAGACTAGAGAAACTCCGTTCAAAGCGTGCGTGGTTGAATCAGACTTGTTTAAAGGCTACAATGTCCATCTTGGAAGAAGTTTTCCACCCTCGATAGGCGGACTAGGTGTGGAAGTATTCATTTTGTAGCTGATTTGTGCTCAGCCGTTTACTAGATTATTGCCTAGTTGTGGATGAGAACTGCGTGCCACGTACTATTCTCGTGAATTTCTATTCTGTTCAAACTACTACTACTACTACTACTACCACAGTTCCTCTCAGCTTCGTTTTCATCTATCCCTGTCTCTTCCGAGAGTAGACGACCTTTAGCGTGGGAAAGAAGTGAATATTATCACAAGTAGCGAACCCCCCAAACACATCGCGCGGCACCCAGGTTTAGTCTTTTTTTTTGGGCGCGTGGGGCCTTCAAGAGAGGAACCACGCGATTATTGTTGCTGAGATGCAGAGACGAGACGTGGATCGCCGGGCCGGATTATTACCGAGAATTTCCCATTTGACGTGCGTCGCTTGTTTAATAGTGGGGGGGGGGGGGGCATCTTTTTCGTATTGAGAATCACGAGGAATATGAGGGACTAGAAGGGGAGAGGAGGACGGATATGACGGTGTTGATGGGGCAGGACCAGACGACCGCGACAATTTACCTGTCTCGAAGTTGACTTACGTAGACCCGTAGAGCACGTACTCACGTAGTGCGGTAGTAACACTCACTACTCACAAACTAGTGTTCTTTCGGAGTCGTGTTTTTTTCTTCTTGCAATCTCTGGTCTCTGGACCTTCCAAGTGTAAGTCAAGGACTTGTGTAAGCCGATCCACATTGAACTGCTTATCAGGGTGTAACCGCGACCGCGCTTGGAGACCCACGCTCTCATAACTTGGGCTCGGTGCAAAGCGCCAGTCGGATAGGAGGACGTGTACCTCAGTAGTGAAGAGTGAATAGTGAAGCACTGAAGACTGAATCGTATTTGAATCAACTATGAATCCGTGCGTGGTGTCGTACACCATCGTCTGGAAATCGTGTTGATAGGAGAGGCTCTACCATCGATGCTCAATGTACAGCCGAGGGTCCAGCACGATGGTAGTTCTGAAAATCCCGAGGCCTGATGCTGGAAGAAGGACTCGGGAGTCGGCGCAAAGGCAATGACCGTGGACCAACGTCTTGTTGCTGCGAACTTGCCGTAGGAACTGAGGAAGGGCTGGATCCAGCCGGGGACAGTGGACTGTGAAGTGTGGACAGTTGGATAGTGGGACAGTAGACAACTCGACCCTGATAACCTATGGTATACCTGTTTGGAAGTTTTCTTCCTTTTGCTACACCCAAGGAACCAACAGGAGAATAAAGACTCGATTTCCGTGGTGGGCCAAAGTCTGAGAGATATATCCGATGGTCAAGTGTCAAGTTCAAGGGACGCCGTCTAAACTCAAGACGAGGCTCTGTCTCTCCTGGATGTTGCAACGGATCAGATGCAGGCGAGGGTGGAGTCGGGTAGAAAAGTGAGCAAGTACCGAAAGAGGAAAACAAGAGGAGAAAATGCGAAAATTTTCACGCCCTTTGCCCCGGTGCGTCGCGTAGGGAGTCTCTGGAGTCTGTACCGTCACACACCATCAGGATTGCATATATAGTTATATACCATTATCCGGTAGTCTATATTCATGGAATATCTGTAGTCTGGAGCGTTGGTGGAGTGGTGACCAAGTCACTTCAGTATTCGATCGAGTCATGTAATGATAGTAACAGTGAGACCAATCTAGCCCTGCTCGAGAGTCACGAGGTAGTATACCAACTATCCGTGGGGTTGCAGGCAGACACTACTCAGACCTGGACTGCGCTGCAGGATGCAGAGGTGTTGGTTCATAGTCGCTTCCAGAGTGTGACTGACTGTCGTACTAGTACTGGGCTCAGAGGCTGCAAGAGCCTGAGGATCCTCTTCGAGTCTTGTACTTGAGAAGGACTTCGATTGCTATAGTTGAAGCCGCCAGTGAGACCAGTCCCTCTTTGTAGTACAGTCCACGCCTACACGGTGCCAGTGCAGCGCGGGGAGAGAATTGGGAAAAGATCGGTGGGGCTCGGGGCCGGACTGAACTTTCTTTGGGGGGAGGATCCCATGGTTCATCTTGGAGTCAGACCTCCTCCGGATGGAAGTTTGATGCCGTCTCAGCACTCTCCAAGTCCACCGTCTACAGTCGACAATCTGCATACAATCTATATCGAACTCTCGTCGGCAGGCTAGCGTCCACACGGGCCAGTCTGATGCCGAGGCCCCAATGGAAGAGACGATTTGAGGTCTGCCGGTCAAGTCCGTGTCTCCCCTCCCCGGTCCCTTGCGCATATGGTTTCCCGTTTCCACGGGTGAAAGACTCGTCGTGCATCCTGGCGGAAACAGAAGATCGGGATTTCCCGCATGAACCCAGTACGAGTAGAACATAGTCTTGGTGGGAATACGCGAGAGAGGTTTACTGCTGTACAAGTGTACAGGTTGCGCGTATTGCGCACTGCGCAATACGCAGCGCAATACGCATATCTCTGGTAGTCTCCACCCAAGCCTGGGCAAAGGGGTCCGGTGCCAACAAAAAGAAGAAACAGAAAAACCCATCCGTGGGCTCCCCGGCTGGACTCTTCGTCAGCACGTCGTGAAAGTCGAAAGTAAAGAGAAAGACCAGAAGTAGTAAAAGCCGGTCCGGGTACCAAAGCGGATAGTGCGGATGCCTAGCCACGGTGAAGCAGACTCCTTCATTGGTCAATGCCAACCAGGCGACGAGGAATGGGACCAAAGGCGCGCATCGGTGCCTGTGCCGGTGACCTGCCCGGTACCTGGCCGAGGAGGCTGAGAATGGAGGGGTCGAGGCTGCGATCGGTGCAGTCAACGACTCGACACGGCATGAACGTCATTCATGAGGCATGTCCAAAGACGCAGGACTCGCAAACCCTCGGCGGGCGGCACAAGTACTTCGGAAGTACCCGGCAATGGTCCACTCCTGACACGGCCTGGCGGGCGCCGACCAATCAGCACGGCGGACGATGGTGTGACTCACACCCCCGTGATGCAGTGGGTCTCCTAAGCCCCATCCAGAGCCGCTGGTTGATTGGTCCACACCCCGACTCGACAGCCAGCAGAGCCAGCCGAGCCAGAAGAGCCAGAAGGCAGATCAAGGCTCTTCCGCTCTCTGGCCCGCTTAAGAAGTGCCTTAGTCCCCCGTTCGTCCGCTCACCTGGTTTTCTCCCGCCTTCCTCTCATCTCACAGCTGTCTTCCTTTACAACCTCTCTACTGCCCATCCATCTCCAGCTTCACCATACCGCCATACTTTACCCCGTCATTTGAATCTCCATCGACTCACAATGGCCGCCTTCTAAGCGCTGCGTCTCGACAGCTCCCGTCTTTCTCCTCTGAGAACGGCATCATTCCTCCTCACGGAACCCCGTCTTTTTTCCCCTCTCACCTCCCTTCTTCAGAGTCTCCTTTTACAGGACCTCTGAACTTTAGCATCGCATCGCGTAGCTCAAGTTCTCCCCACCCAACCATCTCCCCGATCGACTTTACGTCGTTCACCACGGATTCTTCCCAGCAATCATGGCTTCCCACGCCCCCGCCCACACAGCCCTTGGCTTCCAGTACGATCAACAGCAACAACAACAGTTCCCTTCAGGACTTTGTGCTCTATCCCACGCCGTCAGCACCACAACCGCAGCCTCCGCGCAGAGACTCGCGATTGTTAGCTCCGCCGAGCACTACCCTTAAGCCGTCCGCCCTGCAGCCTTTTCTGGCTCAGAACTATTCTCGACGACACGCGCTCAGCCTGCAATTACAGCGACACCTTCAGCAGCTGCTTGCCTCCGGTATCCCCATCTCAGACCCCCGAGTCGCAAAACTTGCCCGGTCTTTTGCCCACTGGTCCCATTCGAACTCCATCACGCACCCCCAGCAGCCTCACGCCGCCGCCGTGCCTTCTCCCCTCCGCCGCCCATCCGGCCCCCCGTCTATTCCCACGTATAAGAACCATCCCACACATTTGAATCGTCGCACCATGTCGACTCCCGGCTTCGCAGGTAGGCATTCTCCAGACTCGCGTCTGCCCGCCGTTGATTTGACCCCCTGGACTCACACGCCTTCGATAGAACTTGACGAGGCGCTCTTCGCGCTGCCCTCGGCCGGCGACACTGCCGGTCTAAGCTCCGCCTTCGACTTGGGTCACATCCATCTGGACACTGACGTCAACGCGTTCTCTCCTTCTGCCCCCACCGACACGGTGTCCCCCAAGGACGTCATGTTTGACGCCAGCTCTGTCCCACCTTCAGCCACATTCACCGACTTGAGCACCCCTCTGCTCGAGTCGCCCGGTGCTTTCAGCTCGGGCCCTTCCCCCATGTTCACTGATCTCGATCTGCTGGGTCCCAATGACTGGACCCCTCTGTTCGATGATGCCGCCGCAATGGACGCTTTCCAAGGCTTGGCTATGGTGGCATCGATTGAGGAGCCCTCCAAGACCGGAATGCCGCAGCCCGTTCAGATCTCCAAGCCTGCCTCTCCCGTCAAGTCGGTGTCGTCTCCCATCTCTGCCACTGGTTCTACCAAGCCCTCCAGCGTTGCCGGAATTAACCGTCCGCGCAAGGAGCTCTCTCCCATCGCTTTTGATCCTAGCGACCCGGTCGCCGCCAAGCGTGCTCGTAACACCGAGGCCGCTCGCAAGTCTCGAGCGAAGAAGCTCGAGCGACAGATGAGTGCGGAGGCCCGCATTGCCGATTTGCAGAAGCAGCTTGCCGACCGAGATGCCATCATTGCCAACCTGCAAGCGCAATTAGAGGCTCAGCGCCAATTTGCTTGATTTGGAGAGCTCCCCCCTTCGTGGACAGCGTGGCATGCGGATAAAACTACTGTCTCTGTGGCTATTATTTTTTTCTCGATTAGTTCTTTTTTTTCTGTGGTCTCTTTGTGTGCGCACAACTGGTTATACTGATGTGGGCGCGGGCGATGGATTAAGCCATCTTCCCCTGACGTCTCACTGAGATTGACACTGCTCCTTTTGGAGTCCAGTGGCTCTTCTCCTCAAAAGTTCGGACATGACTTGGGACGTTTCGTACACCATGTCATCTTTTGTTTTCCCTCGACTGTCGCTCTGCTTCTGCTTTTTCTTTTTGCAGCGACTATGATACTACTTGTTTTGCTTTATTGCTCCTCTCAGCCGGTTCTGACTGTCTCCTATCCTTGTGATAAGGATCGACTCGTGGCTTAATAATTCCAAATTCATTGAAATTTCATTTCTGAAATCCAGTTCCCCCCCCCCCGGCCTTAGTCTTAGAAGCTTTGAGTTTAGTAGTAGCATGTCTCTTCGCTTCCTGTACTGGCAGTGCTCTTCTCCCCTTGCTGTAGTCGATGTCCACATCGAGTGGGAGAGTCACTGTCAGGTACCTCCGACTTGCGACGTGAGATTATCGAGAGACTAAACCCTCCACGCGCGCCTTAGATATTGCCCAGACGTCTTGTTTGCGAGTGGTCCTCAAGTAGATTACCATCATTCATCCCTCTACTTGACGTTGAATGTCTCTCGTCCTGGTCAATCGACCAAGTAGTGTCTTGAGCTTTGGTACATAGACGTGCATTCAGAATAGGACCGCCCGCATGGTACATCTCAATAACACAGTATACGATCGAATTGACTGAATCGTATACACATCGAATTGCGCGTGATCAATACATACATCGATGTAGACCTACGATCATACCCACGAACATCAACCACAGCTCAGACTTGCCTTTTAACCACCTCATAGACCCGACCCTATCCTCTTACCCCTTGTCTCTCTCTCTCTCTCCCCCTCTCCTTTTCCAAACCCAAGATTCCCTCGCAATCCCACATGCCCTTCCCGGTTCACCTGGTCTAGCCCCACGAGCATATGCCTTCGGAATCCTCCGCTGACGTTTTGGAGGTCGGATTTCGTCCCCTCAAGCCCCAGGCCCCACGCCGTCCATGTTATCCGAGGACAGACAGGGACTGCGGTTGCTTTTCGGGGGCTGTGGAGATCCGCAAACGAAAGCAGGGAAGAAGCGGGCGTATGTGAATGGGGTGGTCAGCGTGGACTTTTGGGGAATGGCAGGGTAGAGCGAGTTGTTTTGGGCGAGAGAAAAACTATGAGGGAGAAAGTTCGAACGCGGGGAGGGGGATGGGGATGTGGTCTCGGAAGTATCTGATTCCATATTTGTTTTGTCATCATCGCTGGGTTTGTTCTGTGAGGTTCGTGGCGCCATCTGACGATGGAATCGGATGGTCTGGTCTTGTGGGGGCGAGAAGGAAAGAACAGGATGGGGTGATTTAGAGATCACACAAAAAAAAACTGATATGATCACAGGAGATAAGATTGCTCAACTCAGCGCATCCGTTCCTTTTGTCCTTCCTTTCTCCATTTTCGCCGTGCGTGCCCCAAACTGTATGGCTCTCTTCTTCTCCCGAGCCACAGTAATAAGACCCAGCCGAAGCGCCACCAGTCGAAGCGCCATCTTCTCTTTGTCGATCCCTCGAAGACGTTCTGCCTCACCCTGCCCTTCGGGCTCTCGGAGTCCAAATCCGCATTTGTTCCACACTGGAGCTCGTAACACCCACGCCACAAAGTCCTCGTCCAAGTATGGAAAACGGGTTTCACGGCCCCAGTGCGAGAGCACACGATCATCCCGACCCAGATTACGTTTTCCAAGACGCCCGACATCCAACTGCATCTCGGAGATCAACTCGGGAAACCCTCCCCGGGCAAATGCTACCCCGTGGCGGCCGTAACCTGCAAAAAGCTCATCCGCACCCAGACCGGAAAGCAACACGCGGGCTGTGGTCGAATACGGCGAAGGCGTGGGGTCTGCAACGGTCCCTCGCCCTCGTGACGCAAAGTATAGTGCGCACGCGATAGACAAGTCCATCTCGGTATTGTGGGGCCTCATGAGCCGCTTCACAGAGTCCCGGTGGGCAATCGTCTCTGTATAGGGAACATCAATGGCGATGAAGCGCCATTTTCGGCCCGGGCATGTCCTTTCGAGCTCGGCATGAGCCGAGCGACCGGTGACTCGGTCAGGACATGCCTCGTAGGGGGAGATCGATTCCGCCATCCCGGTGGTAGCCGAGTCGGACTTTGACTTTGCAACAGTCGCAGCCGCAGCTGCTGCCACACGGGGGTTCTCAAAGGCAACATTGAGAAGGTCAATGGGTTCAGCAACGGGAATTCTATCGTGGGCAAGGCGAGCCAGGAGCGTGCAATCTAGGCCGCCGGAGAAAAGTACGGCGACCTTGGCACTCTGACCTCGAATAAAATTCGGGGGCTCTGGGACGTTATCGATGCGAAGTGTCAGAGAATCAAACAGTCGGCGCTGAAGATCTACAACAAATGGCGTCTCAACTTCAAGAGGAGGAGGCTGTTCCTCCGGAACGCTGACATTCATTGCTGGGATGGGGCTTTTCTGTTGACCAGTCCGTGTTAGCGGGCTCGCTAATGTCCCAGTTCCAGATTCCACCAAGCTTGTTGACGTACGAGATGACCTGCAGGTGGACACGGATTAGTCGACCAGGGCAATGCATGAATCTTGCACGGCTCGATCAAAGCATTGGGAGACACTCGACACTCGTCGAGATCAATCATGTATACACCGTCAAACCCAACCTCCTGAAAGTGAGTAGAAGAGGAACCATCACACAGGCTGCAGATTTTCAAACTGCCATCATCATCCACACCATGTAAAAGAGACCTCCTGCCCAGACAGTCCCTAGAGAAGAAGATTCGACCATGTCTGGCATCATAGAAGACGAATGCGAATGGACCAGTTATACTTGCAATGACTTGTGCCAGATTTTCAATGGCTTGCTGGGCAGATTCTGCATTCACAGCCCGAAGAAGTCGATCGAAGACGAGCTCCGTATCATTACCAGAGACCTGCTCATGGCCAAGCTTCCAGGCTTCGCCGTTCCAGCAGAGTACGGACTGAGTGGCCGGATCTACGAGAGGCTGCTTGGAAATATGATTTCCGCGGAGGGAGAGGACTGTGGACACAAATGTGAGGTAGAGATTGACTGGGGCAGACACCGTTTCATCATGTGTCTGACTCTGCCACGATACACCATGTGTCTGACAGCTATCGGGACCCCGATGGCTCAGCAGAGACTTGGTCTCCTGATTAGGCTCCACGGAACGTGTCGACAGGGCAAAGAAGATGCCACACATGATTGAATGGCGGTGTAGAAAAATATTCTCTGCCGTGGCTGAAGCTTGCGTCCACGTGCACCGAGGGTGTCTTCCCACCGTCTCGACATGCGTTTCAGGCCTCAGGCCTCCAACATTGTCACCTGAACACGGGGGGACGGGACCGGAGCTCAACCGATCCGCGCCGCCTTGCGTGTGTCAATCCGCGGGGTCAGTTGACAGAAGGAGTAATTGCATGTAGTTTCATTGCCCTGGAGGTGACTTGTTTAGGTTCCATGCGGGAGTAACTTTGGAAGCGCTTGCCTATTCGAGTGACGTCGCATCGCATCATTCCTGGCCTCGTAGGGCTGATACCCCAGATTGTCTAATGATCACGATATATGTCGGTCATCAGCGAAGATCGGAATGTGGTACAAGCTGAGCAGTTATGCCAATAGCATGCACACTGTCAAGCTTAACGAGCGATGTAAGACTGTAAGATTGAATATTACGAAAACACTGAAGCACGTGTATATCGACCTCCTGCAGCGGCATCGGCTGAACCAATGATCCGCTCTTAAACATGTGAGCACCGACGCACATGTCGTCCTCGAGGATGTGAATCTGTTGGGGGCCACCTACTTGCTCCATGTCCACATGTCGATAACGTAGGCAATGTCCGCGAACGAACCCTACCGTTCGGATCTCCGAGGGGAGGATGACCGATCCGCCTCTCAGCAGCTCGAAGGCCCAACATCCCCTCCGACGAATTTGCTGGATGCAAACGAGGATCGCTTCGTCGACAGCTCTCACAAAACCGAGATGACCTCAAAGTCGCACACCGAGCCGCACGCGCCCGTAGCGGGAGTCTCCGCGTCTGCTGATACGGTTGAGGCTCCTACGCTTCCAGAGTCAGCTGCACAATCACAAACAGATCGGCTTGCTGGACAGGTCGACACACTGTCACTGTCCGCCACTGGCCCGCAGGCTGAGTCGGTCGCGTCGGATAGCATCGCTTCACCTCCCCCTCCTCCAGAGAAAGACGAGTCGCTTTTCACTGCACACCCAACGGCCCCGGCCATCACGCCGCAACCCAGTGCGCCCAACTCTGGTCCAGGTTCCGAAAAGGAGCTCCCAGAAATCCCCAGCGAAGATGACGCCGGTAGCAACGAAGAGGATCAAAATAAAGACGCACAGGATGATAGCGAGTCCCAACCCGAAATCCAGAACATCATGGACCAGTTTCAGGATCCCTCGCGAATTACTGGTCAGCAAGAGATCATGTCTCCGCGACTTGAAAAGACGGAGCAGTTCCGTTCGTCCCAATATTTCCCACCACGCAGGTCGAGCCTCGAACCAGCGCAAGCGTCCGCATCTGGATCCTCGGGGTCAAATGTATCGCAAGGGAGCCCGAGTATGACGAGCCATAGACAGTCCATCGGCCCTGATGAGCTGACTTTGACGCGACAATCTTCGGCCTCTACTGTGCCACCTCCGCCCGAGCCTGAATCCGATCAGCCATTTGACTTCCATAGATTCCTGGAGCAGCTTCGTCACCGCACTGCTGATCCTGTGGCCAAGTTTCTACGCTCATTTTTGACAGAGTTCGCAAAGAAACAATGGATGGCCCACGAGCAAGTCAAAATTATCAGCGATTTCTTGGCCTTTATCACGAACAAGATGGCTTTGTGCGAAGTGTGGCGTGATGTATCGGATGCGGAATTTGATAATGCGAAAGAAGGCATGGAGAAGCTAGTCATGAACCGTCTTTACTCGCAGACTTTCTCACCAGCCATCCCCGGTCCGCCATCGATTCCTCGAAGTGTCAGCCGCAGCCGGAGGCGTGAGATTGAGAGGCTCCATGGACCCTGGCGACGAGGTCAGCATCAAGAAGATGTTGAGCGGGACGACATTCTCGCGCAAAAGATCCGAATCTACAGTTGGGTCAAAGAAGAACATCTGGACATTGCCCCAGTGAGTGGAAATGGGCGACGCTTTTTGACATTAGCTCAACAAGGTATGACTTCCCTGGCGGCCCATCTCTACACTGGGGCTTGTACTTATATGATTCGCAGAGCTGTTAAAGATAAATGGATACCGAGCTCCTCGAGACAAAGTGATCTGCATTTTGAATTGCTGCAAGGTTATTTTCGGTCTTTTGAGAAACAGCAGAAAGGGCGACACCTCTGCGGATTCGTTCATCCCGTTACTGATTTACGTGGTCTTGCACGCCAATCCCGGGAATCTTGTCTCCAATATCCAGTATATTCTTCGTTTCCGTAATCAAGACAAGCTAGGGGGAGAGGCTGGGTACTATTTGTCTTCGTTGGTACGTGTTTACTGGTCAAGTGCGCATCCTTCGGGGGTGAGGAACTTCGAGTTGCTAATTATCTTCATCAGTCCGGGGCCATTCAATTCATCGAGACGCTCGATCGAACAACGCTCACGGTCAGCGATGAGGAGTTTGAGAGTAACGTGGAAGCAGCCGTCTCTGCCATTGCTGAACAAAATCGTGAACACGAATCACTGGCCAATAAGCCAGCTGCTAAGTCCACATCGTCCAGCGGCCCATCGGCGCCGAGCTCAGGGTCTGGTCGGAGAGACACTCCCCAATCTAGTGATGATGACACATCTGCTCCTGTTGCGGGGCTACTTCGCAGTATTCAAAAACCTCTGTCCACTATCGGTCGGATCTTCTCCGACGACGGAGACTCCAGTCAGCCTGCGTCTTCGGACCGTTCTCTTCAACCTGCTCTGACCCCTCAACCCGGGGTTGTTCCTCCGCGCCTTACCCCGAACGTCTACCAGCCTCCCCGTGCGAGCAGCGAGGGGCGCCGCTCTGCCGATGAACGTTCTGTGCCTCCAAATGAGAAGCCTGGTGCAGCTCAGAGGACATTGAGCCGCGTGCTCGACGCTCAAGACGCTGCCGCTCGCCAGGCCAGTGCTGAAGAAGCCGAGGCCCAACGGATCCAGCGTGCCGAACATAGTAATGTCGTCGAAGCGCTGTCGAACATGTTTCCCAATCTGGATCGGGACATCATTGATGATGTGGTCAAGCAGAAAGAGGGAAGGTCAGTTTGATTCTCATCCTGTGATTGCATATTAGGTATCCTTGAGTGTCTTTGCTGATTTACTTCAACAGAATCGGTCTCGCTGTTGACGCATGTCTCGCGCTTAGTGCCGAATGAAGAGGTCCTCAGCTGACCTCTTGAAATCAGTGTGTTGTCAACACGACTTATATAATGCGAGCGTTCTCGCCTGTGCTGTGCCCTTTACGCGTCGCTTAGTATTGAAGATCTTTGCATACCGAAATCGGAAGTTTGTGCATTAGCGATTCTTTCCCAGCGGCGCCTGTGATGACTACGGTTGTATCTGGCTTTGTCGAAATCTTCCAATCTTTCAAGCCCCATCACGTGATGCCTTGGGTCATTCATTGCTACCGAGTTCGATGAGGATGGACCACTTAGACAGGGCACTACACACATAGATCTGCACTGTTGCGGGGGGAAACCCAGGACTCCGAATCTTCAACGTAGGCATCTCTGCAGCATGCAAAGCACAAGCTCAGTCTCGGAATTTCGGCTCTCCCGGATAGCGTTATGTTTTGATGTGTCGCCCTTCGGCCGTTCCACAACACACACTGCATTCACGAAATATAGGCTTTGTACTCGTAGCTAGAGGTCACTGCTCGGACTAGACACTTGCGAAGAAATGCCTCGTTTCTGGAACATTTGTGGTACTACTTCCCCTAGTGGCAGATAGTCCTCTCTGCCAAGTTCTCGTACACTCTGTTACCGATTCGATACTATGGATGATAAAACATGCCCAAGGCGTTGAGTATACAAAATGCCACGCATATCACAGACTGCAAGTCCTCACTCCACAGTGTAGCGTGGACACCATGTGGCTGTGCATACCCACTCATTGCTCGCCTTCTCATGGCCAGAGACGGAAGTATGACGTGGGGACGGAAGCTGTCGCGACTCGCCACAGCCCAAGCGGCAACACAGCGCCGCCAGCACAAGCACCGGCATTCTCTCTTGATCCACGCACCTATTCATAAGGAGCACCGGAGCCATTGTTTTTGATCCTTGCAACGTCTTATCTCTGTCAACCTAACGAGCCGTCAGTCGGACTTTCCCAGCAAGAGATTTCCTGCACCAGACGACTGGCTAATCCTCGGCAAATCCGTACCGGTCCAACATACCCACCCTTCAGAAAATCCCTTCAGACCACATCCTCACTATGCCAATTCCAACTCCTCAAACCCGCTCTGAAGAGCAGAAGCAAGCAGAGCTGGCAGACCGTACCGGCAACACTTGTACCACCGGCCAATCTGACCTTACTTCCCGTGATGAACTCGAGGGAAGTGTGCGGCACTTTGACCCGAAATCGTGGGAAACTCCAAGCTCGGAGCAGGGTGAGCGCCCACTCAGCAAGGAAGAAGTTGATCATCTTTACGAGGAACGTATGGAAGACGAGTACGCCAAGCGAGAGGGCGGCGCCTGATTGACACGGCTATACTACCGACAATCATCTTCGCAATGAATTCGGCCAAATCATCATACTATGTCAATCTGGCTTCTCTGTCCTTGTCGGTCATATCTACCTGACGTAGCAGTCTATCGGGCTAATGGCTGAGAGGCATTGGTCGCTGTCTCCCTTGGATTGAGCTTCGTGCTCGTTGGCTGCTCTCCGGCAACGACCTTAGGTATGCACGGCGGAGTTTACCTGTATTTTTCGTTGAAAGTCAAGTTCTATGATAATGCGAGACCTCTCATCGTGTTCTTCGTTTCCCCAGGTATTTTCCTGGCTCTTTGAGCCGCTGATAACTTTCGAGTATTTTTGAGGCTTTTGCTTGGAGGTACTTTGCGTACTATTGAATGTCAGCAATGCGGGGCCTGCTCGGTCAGGTGGCCCCCAGTCTTCAGATGAGTCAGTCTTACTGTCCCTGGGTAGGTCTAATATGTGTTGGCCAAATCCTTGTCAAATTTCGTTAATAAGAACCATTTCCTGCCACAAGAAAGAAATTCATTCATCATAATAGCGTGCACGGTTCGAACCTACGGAAAACAAAAGGGTCACGTGCATCTCTCAGTTAGGGCTACACTGAGTGCAGCACTCCGTGTCTACTCAACGGCCTACAAGACTCATCTCCAAACGTGACATAAAACGAGCAATATGACACAAAATTTTCAGAAGAATCCACCATCCGTAAAACCTTCATTCTATCCTGAGCAGGTCATCAGGGTGGTTATTCCTGAGACACCAGGTGCGATCCATACCGAGCGCCTCTACATGCGCAAGCTACATGAGCATGATGCCGCAGATATCTTTGAATTCCGATCTCGGCAAGAGGTGGCAGATTGGCTGTGAGTGATCGTCGTGACGGAGTAGTGTGAAAATATTCTTAGTGGGGAATGACTACTGACTGATGCCCGCGATTCACAATGTGCTTCAGATGGCCCAAGGTTCCTCACAAAGATATTGCAGAATCAGAGAGAACTATTACCGAGAAGGTGTTCAAAACACCTGACGCCACTGGAAAAATAGGGCGCCAGTTCTACTTTGCCATCATTCGAAAGGATGATCCTCATCAGAAGGTTATCGGTGCCGTTGGTATCAACTTCTTGGATCCTGCTCCCTCGCTTGGATATGGCATTCATCCCGACTGTTGGGGCAAAGGATTTGCTGGTGAAGCAGCGAGGGCAGTTGTCAACGCATGGTGGCAGCTTGATCGCATGGGGTCGGACAAAGCAGGGAAAGAGAGACTCTACGCGGCGTGTAACCAGGCAAATATTGCAAGTGTGAAAGTGCTCTTGAGGGCTGGGTTCCGGAAAGTGAAAGAAATTTCTATAGAAGGTGACACTGTAGCTGTGTTTGACCAGACCAGGCCTTGTTGACGTTTGCGTTTCACTTTGTTGACGTTTGCTTTTCACCTGAAGCCATCTCGTCGTCGTCGTCGCGTTCTTGTTAGTTTTCCATCCCACGAGACCCACGGCAAACGGCTGCGCGTGTTGCTGCTCTGTCCATTATTTAAACCTGTTCACGCCCACTTGAAACTTTTCTTCTTTCCAAACACTTCTCGTTACCATTTTCATAGTGTGCCTCGTTGGTTCTGGCCTTATTGCTATCTACCTAAAGTCGCACCTTCTTTTCGGTTCACAGCAAATCATCCACCATCCCCCACTTACTTGACATCAACACAGCCCGTTTTCCGTGAGTGGTCGCAGCTCTATTCACGATGGATATCAACAAAGCCAAGCCGGGTCGGCTGCCAGGTCTCAATCAAGCCAAGTTAGATACCATGCCATATGACCTCAAGGTCGACCTTGCAAAGTATCTTGATGCTGGATCAGTCAAAGCCTTACGTCTCACCTGCCGTGCTCTGTACGATGCTTTCTCGGGACCTCTGTTCGTGCCCTATCTGGGCGTTCAAAAGATCAACTTCGAACGTGAAAACATGGAAAGCCTCATCCGACTGGTTCTTTCAGAGAAATACCCAGGCGTCATTAATGAGCTCAAGTTCGTCGTTCCGTTCTTCGACTCATCTCACATAAGACGACAAGCTACCACCGCCGCAGACGCGGCGGTCGTCAGAGCCACCGAGATGCGCAGTGCCACCCTGGAAAGCTTCATGGCTGCTGGCTGCGGAGAGCTCCTGACGTTTGCCCTTAAGTATTTGAGAGCTGTTAAGCTTGTTAGCATTGAACTTGCATTCTGCAACTTCCCCCAGTTTCGTCTTGGATTCGACGTGATTGAAATGCATCGATTCGGTATGCGTGTCTCCAACATCATCTGGAACGCCATTCTGAGTGGAGGTCTCCGATTCAAAGAATTGATCGCTTTTGATGCAACCAAGCCTTGCTCGGTCAGCTTGTGGAGATTGGCACGCATGGCCGAGACCAACGCTATCAGCCCCGAAAGCCGCTGGCGCATGCGCCACATTGAGTCGTTCACAATGCGTGTGACATCCCAGCAGCTCATTGATGAGGTGTCTGCGGGTAACATGGACCAGCGTCGCCAGCTCGTGCTGTCTTTTCTGCGCTATTTAACGCAGATGTCTAACCTGGTGATTTTGAAGCTCATCATTTACAACACCACCCAAGGTACCAACCTGAACAACTTTCTCTCGCAAGGTCTGGTCTCTCGCATTCAGTGGAACCACCTGCGAAGCTGTACCCTGGGAGGCTTGAATGTTAGTGCACACGACCTCACGTATTTCCTGCGTCGACACAGCCATATCTCCTATCTGAGCTTGGATCGATTCATCTTGGTCACTGGTCACTGGGACGAAGTTTTCAGAGTCATAGAGGCAGAAATGCCGAACTTGGGTATGATTCGACTGGCCTTTTTGATGCACAATCGCACCGCAGACAACGCAACTCGCGAGGTGAATCTTTTCCCCATCTGGGAGCCGCAGACGTTCGATCGAGTCATGTTCTACAGCAGCATCGGCCACGCTTACACTCGAGTCGGCATCAACATGTGGGTCCACACACGATACTTCGACCGCGATGAAATCAATCGTGGACTGGAGTTCTGGCCATTGAGCCCTGAAGGTTCGGGTCTCCATCCAGACACTATTATGGTGAGGGAGCAGCACGGGCTTTGGCCCTATTAAGTGCTGGTACGAAGTTTGAGGCGACGCGAAACGCACACTATGAGCGTCGCTATTCACTCTCCGTACTCATGGTCAGCGTTGCTATGCATGGCTGGAAAGAGGATTCTCAATCGCATGGAAGTTGAGTACTGAAGCCATTGTTTGTTCTGCACTATTTGAAATTTGCTCTGGAATTTCAAAGCTGTGATTGTGAATCCCGAGCCTTCCCAGTCCCTGCTTCGTCTAGCAATACCGTGCACCATTGGAGAGGCTTTTGATCATGTTCGGATTAGGTAGCGAAGTCTTGTTCAATTCTTGTTCGATTATTGAGTCTATTCTTTCTTCCGGTAGCTTCAACAGTATTACGCAACGAGCGAGTGTGTTTCACTCAGCTTCCCAATAAAGGTCCAGTAGTCATGGTAAGGACCTATTAAGAACCCATCTCGGGCAGCTGCCGGCTGGGCACGACAAAGCTGACCCGACACGGTAGGAGCTACCAGCACGTGATATCATGTGACCCTCGGCCAGCTCGCCCCGAGGAGCTGTCGTAGGCGGCTTCACTGGCCCTGGCAGCATCAGATTCGACTTGCTCGAATTATCCGAAGGCGCTTTGCTTGCCTACCATCTCCATCGGCTGCATCTCTTTTGGTGGATAAGGCTCGGCTCATTTCAGCCTCCTGCCCACCATGGCTCCGAAGGATACCTTCTTCCGCTCGTCGGAGATGAGCCTGACCCAGCTCTATATTGCCAACGAGATCGGACGAGAGGTCGTCAGTGCACTTGGCGAGATTGGCCAGGTTCAGTTCAGAGATGTAAGATCGGGCCTTGCTGTCGTTTCGCGTTCATCACAGGCACATTCGCAGTGACTGGCCCCCGGCTAACATGTAATTCCCAGCTTAACCCCGACACCAATGCCTTCCAACGGACTTTCACCAAAGAGATTCGTCGTCTCGATAATGTTGAACGACAACTGCGTATGTCTCTGATCCTCAAGCACACCACTTGGTTTTTTTTCGACAGGGAAAGCTAACGAGATTCATTCACGTTACAGGTTACTTCCACGCTCAGATGGAAAAAGCGGCTGTCCCAATGAGGCCCTCGACCGACTTCTCTGATACCTTGGCCGCCCCACTGGCCTCCGAAATCGATGAACTCTCGGAGCGCAGTGAGAGCCTCGAGCAACGTATCGTGTCTCTGAATGATAGCTACGAGACCCTCAAGAAGCGGGAGGTTGAGTTGACCGAATGGCGCTGGGTGCTCAGGGAGGCGGGCGGTTTCTTCGACAGGGTCAGTAGCGCTTGCGTTGCCGATCAGGTGAACTATCAGCTAATTTGGAAGCTATAGGCACACACTCATACCGAAGATATTCGCCAGTCGTTCGATAATGACGAAGCACCTCTCCTTCGCGACGTTGAACACCACGCCCCCGGCGGTACAAATGGCGACGCTCAAGGCCAGCAGAGCTTCACCGAGATGAATATTGGATTTGTTGCCGGCGTTATTCCGCGTGATCGTATCGGGGCCTTTGAGCGCATTCTCTGGCGCACTCTCCGTGGTAACTTGTACATGAACCAGTCTGAGATCCCCGAAGTAATCATCGACCCGACCAACAATGAAGAGATTCACAAGAATGTTTTTGTGATCTTTGCCCACGGAAAGGGCATTCTTGCAAAGATTCGCAAGATCTCTGAATCACTTGGAGCTTCTCTGTATGGTGTGGATGAGAACAGTGAGCTGCGTCGAGACCAAATCCATGAAGTCAACACTCGACTGGGAGACGTCAGCAACGTTCTGCGTAACACCAAGAGCACACTTGATGCAGAGCTTTCCCAGATTGCTCGTTCTCTGGCCGCCTGGATGATCATTGTCAAGAAAGAGAAAGCAGTTTACGACACCTTGAACAAGTTCTCGTACGATCAAGCTCGAAAGACCCTGATTGCAGAGGCCTGGTGTCCCACAAATTCACTCGCTCTTATCAAATCCACTTTGCAGGACGTCAACGATCGTGCAGGTCTTTCAGTGCCCACTATCGTCAATCAGATTCGCACCAACAAGACTCCGCCAACTTACGTCCGCACTAACAAGTTCACCGAGGCTTTCCAGACCATCATCAACTCATACGGTGTTCCCAAGTATTCCGAGGTCAATCCCGGTCTCTATACCATTGTCACTTTCCCCTTCCTCTTTGCCGTCATGTTCGGTGATATGGGCCACGGTTTCATCATGGCTCTTGCTGCGTCTGCAATGATTCTCTTCGAGAAGAAATTGTTGCGTACCAAGCTCGATGAACTGACGTATATGGCTTTCTACGGTCGTTACATCATGTTGCTGATGGGTCTTTTCTCGATCTACACTGGTTTCATCTACAACGATGTCTTCTCCAGAGCTTTGACCTTCTTCCCCAGTCAATGGCAGTGGCCCGACAATATCAAGGCTGGTGAATCCTATGAGGCTACCCTCAAGGATGGCTACCGATTCCCCATTGGTCTGGACTGGAACTGGCACGAGGCAGAGAACTCGCTTCTCTTCTCGAACAGTATGAAAATGAAGATGAGTATCCTGCTTGGCTGGGCCCACATGACCTATGCGTTGATTCACCAGTACATCAACGCTCGCCATTTCAAATCCAAGGTCGATGTGCTTGGTAACTTTGTGCCTGGCATGTTGTTCTTCCAGTGTATCTTCGGTTATCTGGCCATGACGATCCTATACAAGTGGTCTGTTGATTGGCCGGCGATTGGGCAAGATCCTCCCAGCTTGTTGAACATGCTGATCTTCATGTTCCTGAGCCCTGGCACCCTTCAAGGAAAGCTTTACTCCGGTCAAGCAACCGTTCAAGTATTGCTGCTTCTCATTGCTGTCATCCAAGTGCCCATTATGCTATTCCTCAAGCCGTTCTGGTTGCGCTATGAGCACAACCGCGCCCGCGCTCTCGGTTACCGGGGACTCGGCGAGCAGTCTCGCGTCAGTGCTTTGGATGAGGACGGCGATGTGAACGGTGGGGCCAATGGTGCTCGTGACAGCATGGCCAGCGACGGTGAGGGTGTCGCTATGATTGCCCAGAACATTGATGATGAGGAACACGAAGAATTCGACTTCAGTGACGAGATGATTCACCAAGTCATCCACACCATTGAGTTCTGCTTGAACTGTATTTCTCACACTGCTTCGTACCTTCGTCTTTGGGCTCTGTCCTTGGCCCATCAACAGTTGTCTATCGTGCTGTGGAACATGACTATCGGCTCTGCCATTGCCATGGAGAGCCACGTCACTCGTGTCATTCTGACTGTGGTTTGCATCTACATGTTCCTTGTTCTGAGTGTTGCGGTGCTTGTCACCATGGAAGGAGTATCAGCCAGTAAGTCACCCTTTTCTGAAGATCGGGACACCGTAGCCACTGTGCGAGAAAGAATGCTAATTATCATCTGTAGTGCTTCATTCGCTTCGTCTCCACTGGGTGGAGGCCATGAGCAAACATTTCATGGGCGACGGCATTCCTTTATTGCCATTCAGCTTCAAGACCCTACTGGAGGAAGATCCGGTAGACTAAAGGGGACGCGTTTGCATCACGGTCTTTTTCACCGTCTGACGTTTTGTTTTCTATATCTTGTTTCATCGGTTTTCTTTGCTCGCATTTTCATGAGATGGTCCCTCGATGGGGAGGGCCCTTCGTGTCTCCATGTACAACTGTACGAAATATTTTTTCTAGAATACATATGGTCTCACCCCAAATCCCCAATCATGTGCTCTGTATCCGTGATGAAATTCCAAAGTACTTATGTAGTCTTACAACCTTACAGTGTCTACCTCGTATGCGCCTGACGGCGTGTGCAAGGTTTTCTCCAACTTGGCCACGTTCCCAAGCCACGTTCCTTCAGGGTAGTACTCCACGGACACAGCAAGCGAAGTAGTTAGGCGAGTAGTGGCAACTGTTGACCTGTATGTCCTGTCATAATGGTGCTGAAAAGAGCTGAGTACGTTTGAACTAGCAGTTGGAGAAATGGGTATTGGATTTGAATTTTTTTTTTGGTTTCGATTGCTTTGAAGGCTATATACAGGATGGCTCCCGACCAGTTCAGAGCCACGAATGGTAGCGGCGACTGGTACCTCGTGAAGCTCAGTGCAGACAAAGAGGTATCGTTGGAGGGGCATCGTGACGTCATCATGTAGGGTGTTTTCACAATAAGGAAGACCAGCGAGCCATGAAAATGTGGTGGAAAACGGGTCGCTTGATGAAGAGCGGTAGTAACTGAGGGTCAGAGGAGGGGGGGGGGGGGGGGGGGGCCAACGGCGCGCGGACAGAGTCACATGCCTAAACTTCTTTGTGGTGCTTGTTGTACATGTCGATGACCTTTTGGACTTCTCCCTTGGAGCCGAGGAAGACGCCGCTCTTATCGTGGATAGACTCGGGGCAGACCTCCATAAGGCGCTCCATGCGCGAGTTCACAGCGAGACCGCCAGCGTTCTCGAAGACCATCGCCATGGGCGCACACTCGTACAGGATGCGCAGCTTGCCCTTGGGGCTCTTCTTGTCGGCGGGGTAGGCAAAGATACCACCGTACAGCAAGGTGCGGTAGGCATCAGCGACCATGGAGCCGATGTACCGGGCGCTGTAGGGCTTCTGGCCCTCCCCGGGCCGCTTGAGGCTGTCAAAGTATTCATTGCACCAGTCGTCCCAGTACATGCTGTTACCCTCGTTGACGGAGTAGATGGCGCGAGTCTCGGGAAGTTTCATATTGGGGTGAGTGAGGATGAACTCGCCCAGCGAGTTCTCGAGAGTGAAGCCGTTGACACCGCCCCCGCGCATGGTGATGACCAGCTGGGCAGAGGCACCGTACATGGTGAAGCCAGCCGCGACCAGCTCGGTGCCGGGAAGGCGCAGGGCCTCGGGACCGACCTTCTTGCCTTCGCCCACGATCTCTTCGGGCAGCTGGAAGATACCGAAGATGGTTCCGACAGAGACACCGGCGTCGAGGTTGGAGGAGCCGTCGATGGGGTCACAGACGACGGCGTAGCGGGCATTGGGGTGCTCGTCAAAGGTGATCACCTCCTCTTCTTCCTCGGAGACGACGAGACGGCACTTGCCGGAGCCGCGCATGGCCGAGATGAAGATGTCATTGCCGATCACGTCGAGCTTCTTCTGATCGTCACCGGTTGTGTTGGAGGAGCCAGCCAGCCCGGTGAGGTTGATCAACGAGGCACGACGGATGTAGTATGCGATGGACTTGAAGGAGAATTGCAGGGCATGGCACAGGAGTGTGAAGTCTCCCGAGGCCTCGGGGTACTTGGTCTGCTCTTCCGTGAAGAAGCGGGTCAGAGTGACAATGTCCAAGTTCACGTTCTCGTTGCCGACAGCACCGCCGTTTCCGTTGCTCGACATGTTGGGAATTGAGAGTGGTCTCTTTGGTTTCTTTTTTTTGGTGACTGGTTGATATGGATAGGTGGGAAGGTAATAATATGGTCAGTCTCGAAAGAACAATAAAGGAGACTTTATTTTTGGGTTTCCAATTGTCAAGGGACGCGAGAAGATCGGAAGTTGAGAGCGGTTTAGTTGGACGGTAGATTGACGGTGGTTATAGTGGGGTTGTACGCGGTTGTTATCGGAGCGGGTAAGTAGTACAGATGCAGCGGATGGGATATAGCCTCGGCTCTGCGATCACGACCAAAGCAAGGGTATAGGAAGAAGGAGTATGTGGAATAATGGGGGAGGAACACAGCAGAGTGGTATGAGGGAGGAAAAAAAAATTGAAAGACTCCTGTCCTTAAATCGGCGCAATGGTTCATTCAAATACTGTGAGCTCCGTCGCCAGTATCGTGGCAAGCCGACCCAACAAGGCAAGTTGAGCGAGTGGACCAGAACCACGTCAGGGTTGAGTACTCAAACCGGGCAGTCAGATCGGCGTTGACAACATGTACAGAGTACAGAGTAACTAAAGACTACAGTGGTACCACCTGCTGCCGCGAGCCCTTCAGCCTCGTGCTGGATAGGAGTAGCAGTACTGCTATCTTCATGAATCTGGTTACGCTTGTTGTGCACTAGTATTGATACCCGAACTTGAAATGCGTAGCGGTGCATGTTCAAACTGAAAAATAAATACTCATACTCAGTACAACGGAGAGGTAGAGTAGCCTCGACTCTGACAGTCCTGACTCCCTCCCTACCTTACACATCTGGGACTCTACTACGCCCACGTCAGTGAACTTCATACTGTTCCCAGCATCCAAATGATGGCTCGGGCCAGAGTGCGGAAGTAAGTGTGTATGAGCTTTTGGGTCGTCACGACTCACTACTACGAGAGTAGTAGAGTACTGGTAGTCTCGCAGTAATCATTTTTGCAAATGAATCATGGGACCAGGATGTGTCGAGACTCGAGAAGCCCCCCCCACCATCGATCATCCGTGAATGGGGACTTGGCGGAGCGACTCCATCGTGACTTCAGTGCGGGTCCTCCCTTTTCGTCATTCTTTCCCCGCGTGACCCTCTGAGAGACTGAGCCCCTCAAACGGAGTTCAACGCGCCTTTTTACTCCCTCTGCTCCGGTTTTCTCCTGAAACCGGCCATTTGTTCGTCAACCCGACCCCTTGCCAACCCTCCACAACAAAAACCGCCGATGCCCACTTGCCCCTGGCCGAGTTTGCCCGCGTTATCGCTCTATCTCGACCTCATCTACCGACTTTCTTTGCCCGACACCTTGCATCGACCAGAGGTGATCTCGAAAGGGACATTGTACTAGTGTAGTGACTGTAGTCACAGTAGTGGTATTCCGATGGTGTCAAAGTGTCAAGTTTCTGAAGTCCCTATTAGAAAAATCATCACTATGGCAGAAGTATTGCTGTTGTACCTGTGTACATTTCATAACCCCTAGAGAAGGGCTCTTTCGCATGATCTCGGCCATCTATAGATTCAAATCGCACGGCCCCAATGTTACTAAGGGTCACGAGTCCCTATTTTCCCGTGCCTGCCGAAGTCTCGGCCCTACATGCCCCGAATTTGGTTCCTGGAAGCCTCAGATCGGAAGGTGGAGGAAGATCGAGGCGCAGTAGATGCAATTCCTATCGGCAAATCATGCAGCGGGCATTAGGGTACTTCCTCTGGAATACTACCTACTAGTCAGCACTAGTCACTACCCTCTAGTAGTCACTCAGGTAGTGGTACGCTGGTAATAGATCGTAGATAGCCTCCATCCTAGTGAGCATTGAGCACTGAGCTTCGCGGCTCATGCCGGTGAGATACTCTTGAAATCGCGCAGAGGAGGCATGTTCACGGAGTCTGCGGCGGAAGAAAGAATTTCCTCCACTCTTACCTCGTTCCGTCCAGCGCTAGGTACAGTCGTCGTTGGTTAGAGTAAACTCGGTAAAATCATGCAGCGCCCCGGGTGTCCCCGTGACAGGCCTGATCGAGCTGACCCACGGACAGTGTTTAAATATACTTCGTACTTGGGCGTAGAGAATCCTACAACTGAGCTTATCTCCCACTCGAGATCTCACAGCTTGGCCTAAGGATATGCATGCAAATTGATCTCAGGAAGGTAACGAGATCCCGTCAAAAGAATGTTACGTCAACCATGTCTCCGCGTGCTTGGAGGTATGAGATTGAAGACAGAAGATCGGGCTTATGATAAACTGACAGCCCAGAAGCCGAAAGATCAAGCGTGATCTCAATCTTCCTCTTGGGTCAACACATCCTCATGGATATCACTGAAAGTGACTCTGATTACCAGGTGACCTCTCGCACATCGCAAGCAAGAACAGCTTCCCCATCAAGAACAACGTGACAGATTCACGAAAGAGAGTCCTGGCTGAGTTCAGTGATGTCCTTCGAGTGGTGGGCGATACCGTCCGTCTCAACAGGTCCTCTATGTGTCTATATGACACCGGCGGTTTCCAGATTGCCCTGCAGGTTGTTCCTGGCCCGAGTTTGCTCCATGGAAGTAGGTGGATTGTAATCTTCGGGGTTGTAATACTGGGCGTAAAGGAACTCTAGCAGGAGGCACAAGAATGACACAAAACTGTCGGTTGTCAGCAATGATGAAGCCCTTTGCCTGACCTTGCGAACAAGAGTAGGTATAGCAGCGGAACTTTGACAGACTCACAAGGCGATGAAGCTAAACGCTTCAGCCGCATATTGCCGACTGCAAACGACTTCTCGGTTCCATCGTGACACTTTGCAACTCTCCTGGTTGAAGTTCTGCGCGAGGAAGATGAATGCCGTGAGCCATCTTTAAGCATCGTCAACCCAGGTCAGCCTCATATTCATGGATGCAAGTACAAATCTCTCGCAGCCACCCTTGCAAAGAAGGCACTTGGAATTGTGGCTTGGGCTTACAGGTAGGAAAGAACGAGATCCGTCAAAAATAGAGGAAGAGGCCGTGTTCGCCGTCTTCCGAGGCAGCTGACACCGGTTGACAGAGCGAAAAAGACCGGTGTCAAGACAGACTGGACAGGAATTAGTTGTATGCTCGTTCTTGGGCTTGATCTATGATGCCAAATGATAGTCAACCCGAGGACCTTGTAACTCACAATGACGAGTGTGAAAATGACAGTTAGATTCTTAGTTCCGCGAACTGCCCAGGCTGTGATCCCTAGGACAATAAGGGCGCTGGCGCATTGAACGCAATGGGCAATGAGAGCGATGATGCCTACAGGGTGAGAATGAAAAGTATACATCTTGGGAGGCGGGTTGAGCGATTCTCCAATCAGATGCGCTAGACGCGTGTCGATACCTTTTGGATGAAATGAACTGCCACCTGCATCTGCGAGTCTAATTTGGACCTGAGCCCGAGGAATGAAAGAGTTATGTATTTAGGTCCAGGGGTCCCAATTCATCATTGATAGGTACCAGGAAGGTGTTGGATGTTGACCTCTTGTTGAAGTGTATGATCTCACCACTTTCCATCTACTGAATTGCCAAGTCCGGGACAGGTACCTACACGCTCTATAACACATGCATCATGAATCGATGGGCTTGAGGACGATCAACAGCCCAGATAGAAGAGTAGGTGAAAACCATGCAAGCCCCAGCTTGAATCTGTACCAAAGCCGCACTGCGCTCTCCAATAAAATTTTGTGGCAGGACCGGAGCCCTGAATTTGGAGGGCGTAGAACAAACCCGAGAAAAATATGTAGCTAGTAGTCCGCGCAAATCTACTGGAGAGTCACAAGCAGATTAAAGGAGCTGAAGGTCTGTCCGATCATAGTTCGAAAAAGTCAAGTTTAAGCCTCTGAAAAGATATACTAAGGGTCAATTAGATATTCTAATCAATAGATTCGCCTTATGCGCCAAATCCTCATGGAACGGATCGTGCCTACTTAAAAAGGAGGACTCAATAATGATGAGGTCTTGACGCAGGAAACGGCCGAGACCACCGCTTGGGAAATTTTCATCCATATCCACTATGACTACTCTCTGTCACCGGCATTCTCGTTCACACATCCTTTTAGAAGCATTTCTACCCACGCCTTAAATCCATGGCCGTCTTCGGGAACGAACTAGCATTCTTACTTTACGTGCTGACGTAAAGTCGCACTAGTTACCTACTTAAGACAGGATTGCCTTCAGGTTGGAAGGGAGCACTTCAAATGAAGCACGGACATCATGATTTACAGAGGCGTGCGTGGAAAACCTCAGGCCGAAAATATTGCGGCTGTCGGAGGCGCTAGTCCGAGAAGGCTAGCGTATCGCGCACCGGCACAACAAAGTTCCGTCGCTTCGGAGCTTGAAAAAGTTCGATTTGAATTTCTCACTCTCTCTTTCTTCAACAGTGCAATTTGCATGGCTTGCAATGTTTTAGCCAAAAGCAAAAAGAATATCTCGTGCCAAATGGCACGATTTCACACTTTTATCGAGTCTCAATGACTTGATCACACTAACGACGATCCCTTTGCAGGATCTGACTTTTGGGTAAGACTGCGCTATGTCAACAATTTCCTTGTTCATCCGCACCGCACACCAAACCCTCCCCATTATGATGATAACCATAACCAAATTCAAACTAGAGTCTTTGACCCTCTTTGGGAATGAAACTTCTGTTATTGCACGTCAGGCTGATCACCTCACCATGGCTTCTACATTTTTGCATTGAGTGACCAGTGAGATCCAGAAAGCTAACTTGCGTTCTGCTAGAACTTCCTCGGAACCAGCCTTAGTCCTCGTGATGATATCCTCTTGAATCTGGTAAGACAACTTTGCTTCATCCCTTCTGACACTCCCTCTGCTTGCATGATGATCATTTCGTATAATATACGCTGGAAATTACCGTCCAAGGTCTTCGGATCTCTGACGACAACTAATGGCTTGACTGATTTGCAACTCATATCTATTTTGCTCTTGATCCACTTCTATTCATCGTGATGAATGTGTGCTGACAATTCAAAAAAGATCTCTTTCAGATTCAAGAGTGCCTTCACCTGACTGGTAAGCAATGGCCGCGTCACTTCTGCACAACCCTCGTCACGAAGATGAAACGGCACTGGGCTCCGACGGTCATTTGACAATGGCCGGTCATGAAGGAGACGCCCTTTTGCGGCAGGCCTAGAAAACCTCGCCCACTGAGACTGATCTCATTGCTCACATCGACTCATTCGTGCTTCTTGCAGCGAGTCGCTAACCATATCGAGCAGTAATGGGCGGTGAATCCACTCTTCTCTATCGTAGACAATTTGAACAAAGGTTAGTCATGACGCCGCCGTACTTTCACTGCCCATTTTGTTTTATGATGATTACCTAGATGACGAGTCTTATTCGAGTTATCGATGCAGACAACATTCTTTTTAATACCATTCATGCCTTTCTGAAAACCTTCTCTCGATCAACATGCATGACGCCTCTTGATTCCAATTGCTAATCATCTGGCCTACAGTAGTTTTTCCATTGCTCTACCCATAGCTCATAGCTCCACGGCCGCTACTGATTATTGGTGTACGTCGCACCGCTTCTCATTCTTGCCCACCATGATACCCTTGTGATGAAACGACACAAACAAAAGACAAGCATATGTCCAAGCCGGCTTTTCGCTGGCGAAGACGAGAAAAGTCATGACTGATCAGTCATGTGGATCGCCTCCGTTGCCACCACGAACCACTCTCAGTTCTCAGTGCTGACGAGCAATTCAAGCCTAGGAAAACGTCTTTCGTCACAGCTGATTTTGCTGGGCAAAGTCTCAGGCTACTGTAAGTACCAAGCTACATATCCTCTTGGTCACTGCCTCCCCCCTTCCTTTCTCTTACATGATGATTTACTATATTTTTTATCACGACGGTCAACATAAGGATTTTTCAATTGATGACCACCGCCTGTGACAGGGCTTTGAATCTGAACCCCTCTACCCCTTCCCATTGTTTCCATCTGTTACACTCGGTCGATGAATGTTTTCACTGACCATGACCAAGTCTAGCAGAGTTTGTTCAACAGCGTTGATCCCACCATCGACCTGGAATTCCTCGGCAGCTAGCGGTCTCGGTCCCGGTCCAAACCGCCCGGCCGAGTTGCTGCGGCCTTGGTATGTTTCGAATTTAGTCTGCAGTAGTAAAAGAGCCGAGACAAAAAAATTACACGATTCCTCACTTGAACGTGTTTCACAACAGCCCAACTTTTCTTTGGAGCATCCTTCTAGCCTGTAGCTTGCATCTACCACATCCCAGGACAGGGTTTATGTGCGAGAGGTTGGTACGTGTAAGCCTCAGCACTGCTGGCAGTGAAGCTGGTTCGTTCAGCGGCCAAGCCGGCCGATGCGGGGGCGGCCGTGCTGGCCTCTCAGCGACTGCGATAAGCGCCCATCACAGATCCGCATGTGATGGGCACCGCTAGAGTGCATATTCTCGTCTCCTTCCGACTTGAGTCGATGAATTCTCGACGATCGTCTACCATTCGGGCTGTCTGGGATCAGTCCATGAATCCAGAAGCTTGTTCCCTTGTTCCAAATATAGACCTGCTCGTTCTCCCACTCTAGGGTCTTGTGCCGTTCATTTGACTCGCAGTAATTGGTCCTTCCAACGCCGGGATGACTGCCCTGATGCTGCCTCCAAATATTCTGCACATGTTCAGCCGAGGGGTCAGTTGTCGTTCTGTCGATCTGGAGAACAAGGTCCTCCTTCTCTGTCGACTCGCTTTCTTCATCGCGTCTTTCGGATCCACCACGAAGTGAATCATGGCCGTGAACCGCCGTTCGGCCTGACGAGTGGACAAGGCCGAGATGAATAGGTAAGATGTGCTCTGCTGGGAACATCTGAATATACACCCTTGGTCACTGAGAGTGTCTTTGCAAGAATACCCAATCAAGTGACTGACGTACATTCTGAGCCTCAAAAGCTGGGTACAATCGAGACATGGAGCTGACGAGCAGCCGATGAATCCCGATTATTCCGGCTGGTCGTCATCTGCTACGACGAGCAACTATCCATCGCCTGGTCGTCGAGAGCATGCAGCGCAGCCGCTGTCGCTCATGACTGCGTTGAATGCTGCGCAATTTCAACACGCATCAACTCCTCTGTCGTCCACGTCTCTCTCGAGTCCATTTACGCACGGCGTATCCCCAGCTGTTGCATCGCCGCACAACGCCAGGTCGGCGTCGTCTTCCTCCATGGCGGCGAGGCAGTTCAGTATGCCATACAACCCGCAAGACTGGGGCCCTGTCGGCGGACACAGCTCCCAACCAGGGTATGCGCAGCAACCTACCTTGCATCATGCCGCACAGCAGCAGCGAGTTCAGACGGGTCGGTGGCAATTTCAAGAGCATCGCAAATTATAAACGAAGGGCTCTCATCAACTGACAGGAATATCTCGTAGAATCATCATTATCCCCACCACCACCGCCCTATTCACCTCCTCACAACCATAGCTCCGGACACGGAGAGTCCTATGCTCATGCCAGCCCAAGTGCTCCGGCAGTATCTCACGCGACCGTAACGCCCCCGCATCAGTCACACGCGACGGCGGGATATGATCATGCTGCGGATTTCAATCAACGGCCCGCTCCTCGCCCACGCCCAATATCGATGGTCTATGGCAACGATGTAGATATTCACCGACAGTCGCTGCCTCCTCCACCACCTCCTCCAGGATCAAGATCTATGTCTCAGTCTCGAATCAGCACATATCAGGGTTCTCCATACAACGCACCATCTAGCTCGCAACCTCGAGCGATATCAGTCTCATATGAGCAAACTCACTCATCGCCTGCGCCACAAAACCATGGGCTAGGGTTGACTCCAGCTCAGTTAGAGTCGCCATCGAGGCCTCCAGCATCCCGGCGGGCGGCCTCTGCAGGTGCTGTTGTTAGCAACACAAGCTACCCAAGACCGCCAAATCTTTCCAGGGGCACCTCACCGGCAAGTAGCTGGGGACCTGGCATGCCGCTGCCACCACCACCTCCGGGTCCACCCCCGGTTGCGGGCTCAGCCAGTGTTAGCGGATCGTCAGAATCGTCCTCGGCTCGAACGGTACAGGGTGCCGGCCGAAATCGTGCGCGACCACCGCCATTGATGGGCACCGGGCTGGGTAGCATTCCGCCGACACCAGCAGATTGGGTTGACGAAGAGTATATGAATCACCGGCCCACCAGCGATCGAGAACCGCTTCATATTGATACCGTGAAGGCGATGAAGGCAGCGGATACGGGTGATCTATTGGACTCGAATGGGCAAATCCAACAGTCTCAACGAACCCCTGGAAGTGGCGGCAGCGGTCTCTTCCGCAGCGCAGCAATTCGTGATCCCAGTGCAAAAGGCATTCGTGAGAGGAGGATTGAGCGACGCAATCGTCAGAGTCAGCACTTTGAAGACATGAGTGCGGTGTCGGCCACGAGTCCGACCCCCTGGGCAGATGCGCTGGATCAACTTGTGCCGTCAAACTTGGTGCTTCCCGAGGCAAAAAACCAGCCCGAACATTCACGCCAGCCATCTACTTCCAGGTTCACACCGCGGAGTACAAGGAGCATAGGTTCAGATAGCCAGCCTGCACCTTCGAGGTCAAGGGCGTCATCTGGTGGTCTATTCTCCGATAGGTCTTCCTCATACTCGTCGCCCAAACCAGACTCAGGCACCGCTGGCCAGGCCACCAGCTTTGCTCCAACGCCGCCGTTCTCTCCTGGGGGAGGTCCATCTTCTCGTAACAGTCAAAGAGAAGCTCAACTTGTACCACCCAAGGCGCTTCCCACACCACCCCTCAATTCTGGCAAAGAGCCACAGTCACGCTCTCGTGCAGCATCCAGGGGCCCAGAGGATCGTCCGATTTCCCATCTACTACATCTTCCGAATGACCGGATCCCCGGAATTGCACCACTCTCACCGAATCGATTTTCTGTCCAGCAGGAAGCCCCAGGGGCCTCCCCTGAGTCGATCATCAAACAAGACGCAGAATTTGTCCAAAGTACAATTCAGAGACATCTCAAATTCATCGAGGAAGAAGCCGCCGCAGTGGATGAGGCTGATGCTTTGAGAATATTCAATAATTTTATCATTGCCGAATCTCAAATTCGCCGACAACGGTATGCTGCAGTGTTTGACGCTGCCTCTGCGCAGGTTACAGAAGTCCGTTCCAAGCTTTTTGAGATGCCAACTGCGACCATTCAGCCCGATGCACTATCAACGAAGCCAGCAAAGCCGACACCCACGTTAGAAATACCCTCAAATAGACCGATCCGTCCTGAATCGGCTTGGTGGAATAACTATCAGCCTTGTTTGTCACCAATTGCCAGTCTCGGCATGAGCAACGATGAAATGAGCTCCCGTGGCAGGGCCCCTAGTCGATGGTGGGAATCAAAAACTGGTTCCAGCAGCGACGGCGTTGCGCGAAGAATACAGCGATCTAAGCGAGAGTCCAAATATATGGGCCTAGCAAAGGACAGCCTGCAATGGGACCAGGAGCGGACACCTTCGAGACTTGACGATACCGAGGCCAATTACTCAGGGCAGCAGGTGCCATATGGCCCTGACGAGTACCCACCCGAGAAGTCCGGCTGGTCCGACGAGACTGGTGGCTTTCCGGGGCCTGGCAGGAATGAGCGAGCTCAGTATACGACAAGCTACAAGTTAGATATATCTCGATTGGTCACTCTTCCACCTCCGTATCCACGCCACTATCCCGCAGTCAACAACAGCCACCCCGATCTCGTCTCATACCGGACGATCGTCCGCTCCATCACCGATTTGACTGAGATCAAGGCCACTCGAGAGCGGTATACCTCGGATGTTGAGAGAATGATCCAAGAACACCAGAGTCAGGTGGCGGAAGGGCGTTCTCAGTTCAAGGCCAATATTCAAAACCAAATCCAAGAGGGCAGCATCAGCTTTGCCGAGGCAGCTGAGGCGGAAGCTGCCATGTTGTCAGATCAGAACCAACGGGAACGGGACTTGGCTAAGCGACAGCTCGACATCTATCAAGATACCGTGCTAAATCCTATGAATGGTATCATTACCGATAGGATCAGCAGAGCAACCAACTGTATTGACGAGCTAAGTAACCGCTTGTTCGACGATGCTCAACGTGAAACACCCGATCAGACACAGGAGGAAGGCGATGAGAACCCCGAGTTGCTCGAAAAGTTGACTCAACTCAAATGGCTATTCGAGGCGCGTGAACAGCTCCATCGAGAGGCATTTGAGCTTGTCAGAGCTCGTGACGAAAAGTACAAGTCGGTCGCCATTCTGCCGTATCAGCAAGGGAAAAATGAAGAAAAGATTCGAGAAACTCTAGCATTCTTTGCAAAAGATGCCATGGATCGACGCATCCAGTACGAGACATCAGCACTCGGTAGACTTGAATCATTCCTGGATGTCATTGAACAAAACGTCATCCGAGGGGTAGAAATTCAGCTCTCGGCATTCTGGGACATTGCGCCGTCCTTGCTAGCGCTTGTTCAACAGGTTCCCGAAAATCTGCGTGGATTCCAAGTCCAGATCCCCGCTGAGGAATACATTGAGAACCCGAGCTATCACAAGCATCCTCTGCAATACCTTTATTCGCTGTTGTCGCATGCCGAGAGGTCCAGCTACCAGTACATTGAATCCCAGACCAATCTCTTGTGCCTTCTTCATGAAGTGCGATCAGCCGTGATGCGCGCCAGTCGCAACCTCGCCGAGGCCGAGCTCATCTGGCAAGGCAAGCCCGAGGACGCCGTTAGAGAGCAGATGCAGCTCGCAAGGGCCGACGAGGAAGTCACGCTCACCGCGGACCTTAAGGAGAAAGTTGCAACCGTGGAGGGACAATGGACGGAGGCTCTGGGGAGCCAGATCCAGGGTCTACGCGAACGGGTCAAGAATCAGCTGTTGGCTGAAGATGCGTGGGAGGACCTGGAACAACTGGAACAAGAATAAGAAGCTCTAATCAGAGCAGATACCACCCTGTGCTATCCTGCTCGCCAGTTTTGACATTGTCATCAGAAAGTCGATTTCACTCGTTTATGATATCCCCCTTCTGTTCTGCGATAGACCAGAAGTGCAAATTTTGCAGCTATTGCATGAAACCGTTTTACTATTCGAACATGGAAGACGAACACGAACATAATTGATATATACTAGACGGCGTAGACGCTGTCCCGACCACATCAATGACCGATCTCGTAGATTTGAGGAAGTTTCGCACGCCCACCGACAGACTGTATCCACTTGGTCAACCCTACTCTATCCACCACAGTCACGTGATCATGTCTTCTAGAGTCTTCCGTCCCGAACCAGTTTCACTCAAAAACCGAGTTTCCTCTCTCACTCGATCCATTTCTGTTCTTCTTGCAAGAATTGTCTTTTTTGTCTTTCCTCCACTGCATGAACAAGGCTTCACAACCTGTAAGTCCGTCTATTATACTACTTGGCACATTCCACAACCTGGCAATGACTCGATCTCTTTCGAGCCCACTTGTCTGCCCAAAATGATGAGATGCAGCTGGCACCAGTCAGAGGAATGATGGATTCGTCTGTCATTCACTTGCTGAGTAGCTTTACGGCCGGCAAATATACGCAGCTGGTCCTGAAAATTTGTGGCTTTCACCTTACGTTCCTCTCACATCACTTCCACGTTGCTGAGAATAATGGCTAATTTCATCCCATTAAAAGATTTAGAATTAATTTCGGAAGGAAGCTGTCTGCGCACCCTCCAATCACCTGATCGTTTGGAAAGAGCTTGGAAGAAAATTTCAGAAGACAAACAATTTCTCCTGGAAAGAAAGAAAATTGAAGACGGAAGATATTCTCCTCGACCTTGTCCATCCCTCGCAATATTCCCAGTGCACACAAATTTTTCATTATTCTCATAGTCCGTCAACACCATGGTCCTCCACAACCCCAACAACTGGCACTGGGTGAACAAGGACGCCTCTGGCTGGGCCAAGGAGTACCTGCAGGAGCAAGTGAGCACCATCAGTGCTGAACAAGATGGAGTCTCGGCCAAAGTAGACAAGGTGACTTCCATGAATGGCGACGTAGATGTCAGCCAGCGCAAGGGCAAAGTCATTACCTTGTACGACGTGAAGCTGTCGTTAGAGTATTCAGGTTTGTAGTCCGCGAAAATCTTCCTGTTTCCATGATGGCAGCAGCTGAAACTTTTCGATAGGTAAGACCAAGGACGATGAGGACGTCTCCGGTACTATCACCGTCCCGGAGGTAGCTCACGACACCGAGGAAGATGAGTACGTCGTACGTTCCCTAAATAAGCATCCCCCTTGCATTGTGCTCGTGGCGCAGTACTCTAGCGCGCTGCACCAAAAACCGAACCAGTTTTGACTAACGTGAAAATCGTCTCAGTTCGAGATTGACATTCACTCCGATGCCTCCTCAAAGCAGCCCGTGAAGGATCTCGTCCGGTCCAAGATTCTTCCTCAGCTTCGCAAGAAGCTCGCTACTCTCACCGGTGCCCTGATCACCGAGCATGCGAAGGATCTTCAGCACGCTCCCGGTGTCAATCCCTCCGCTGGCTTCACCCCTGCCCCCGTCCACCCTCAGACCAAAAAGAAGGAGAGCGCTCCATCCACTACCACCACAACTTCCACCACCGGTAAGGTGGCAGTGAATACCACCACTGTCAATGCGTCAGACGAGTTCCGTACTACCGCGGAGGAGCTCTACGCCACCTTTACCGACCCCCAGCGCATCGCGGCGTTCACACGAGGCGCCCCCCGTCAGTTCGAAGGCGCTCAACCCGGCGGCAAGTTTGCCATCTTCGACGGCAATGTCACTGGCGAGTACGTCAAACTCGATGCGCCCAAGCAAATTGTTCAGAAGTGGCGCCTTGCCCAGTGGCCCGAGGGACATCACAGCACCCTCCAGATCAACCTGGACCAGAACGACGTTGATGGTGTGACCCAGATGCGCGTCGAATGGTCCGGTGTCCCTGTTGGTCAGGAGGACGTCACCAAGCAAAACTGGGAGCTGTACTACGTCCGCAGCATCAAGCAGACTTTCGGGTATGTTGAAGATCCCCCCTTCCCCTAAGATGCAAGCACTTTCACCAATACGTGGTCCTCTTCTTTTTCAATCCAGATTCGAGTCTTCCAAGTCGTTATTGCGGACCTCATTACTGACCTGTTTGCTCGTTCTTCTGTTGGGTGTAGGTTTGGCACTATTCTCTGAGCGACTCCGTGCCATTTCCCTAGCCGCTTAATGTCGTTCAAAAAAGGCTAGCTCTTTGCATTTCTATCCCAAATCCACCACATCATTACCACTACAAGCCCATGCGAACCACACTCGGAGGCAGAAACCCAGACAAAGAGATACTCGGGCGATAGACCGGCAGCCTGTGTTGTTCTTCTCTTCATTGTCGTGAGTGAGGCGCAGCAGAGAAGTGTTCATGAAGCTGTAGTGGGGACTGGGTCCGTTTCTATCTCACCCTGCCCGAGAGTGTTGTGTGCATGCATCAACGCTTCTGTCGATGGCTGTTTTGTAATTTGGTGGGTCTCTCTGTTTGTGACTTTCATCTTCTTTCCTCTAATGATGCCTCCACCCACTTTTGGAAGATGAACTGTGAGCTAGAACGATGCTACGATAGACAAACATAAATGAGATATTATGATAATGATATCGTTCTCTCAAGGAAGCATCGCGCTCGACGCATTGAGATAATGTGTACGGAAGCCAAACAAGAACCTAACAGTATACTCGGGACTGGACATTCAGTTACCCTGGTACTGGATCTTGATTCGATTCGGTAACAAATTAACCATCCTGTAGTCACTTTTACGTGGCTCTTGAACCGCTCCTATGTGGTTTGGAAAGGCTTTGCGCATTCAATCATGAGTTATTTTGTCTTTCAGTATATGATCCATTTCATTTTTTTTTGGCTAGATCCGGTGACATGGTTAGGCTAACAAGAAACATTTTGTTGGACAAGGGAGTCAGTGCAGTTACAGAGTGCGCTCCTCCATCTCGATACCATACTCCTCCTTCAGAGTCTTGAGGAGGGGAGCACAGATCTCCATGGTCATGGGAGCAAGAACGCCCTTTTGAGAAATCGTGCCGTCAAGGACCTGCTTGACAGCCACACCACAAGGCACGCCCACCAGCTTAGCCATGGCAGAGTAACCGGTAGGGTTACCGTACTCGCACAGGGTCGAGGTTCGCGTCTCCTTGGAGCCGTCCTTATTCTCGATTTCAAAACGGTGCTGCAGCATGACCATGTCACGCTCGTTGGGTCCGTACTGCATCTTCTTCTCTAGGGTGGCGCAAAGAGTGTCGAGGGCGTTGCCACGAGGCGTAATGGGCTCGTCGGAGAAGAGGCCGATCCAGCGGAGACCGCCGAGAAGACGATCGCGCTCTTCCTTGTTGGGGAAGCTGGTCTTGCTCTGGACGGCGGAGGTGAGGTCCTGCTCCGAGGAAGAGGCGGCACCAAGGACCTTGGCGGTAGCCTCCTTCCAAGGGACGGCGCTGTCAAAGACGGGGTTGGCGTCGTCCTTGAGGAAACCAATATCGACGAGAACCTTGATCATCTCCGGGAATCCCTGGTAGCGCAGGGTACCACGGATGACGGTCTGGGCCTCGGGCATCTCGTAACGCTCGCGGAAGGGGGTAGAATCACGGTTGGGGTAGCCCACAAAAGCAAAACCGGGGTAAATGAAGTAAGGCTTGGCGGTAGCCATCAAGTCAGGGCCATCGATGCTGACGACCTTGCCATCCTGGTAGATCTTGGCAGCGTTGCGGAGAGCGAGCAACACCCCGCGGCTGGACCAAGAGAACTTGTAACCAAGGGGATTGTTGGAAGCCTCGGGGGCGGGAAGACCACCACAGAAGGAGATGAAGCTGGTGACCTTGCCACCGGCGGCGTGAACCTCGGAGATGGTCTTGACGGCATCTATAGCAAATGATTAGCGTCTCACCTTGGATGAATAACATCACGCACATATGGATCCTTACAGAGATGATCAATACCCGGGTCTGCATGGCAGAGGAGAAATTAGTACGATAAGAAGTTGAGAAGCGGAAGCCAGTGACTCTTACCCAGTCCAATCTCGTTCATCACAGTAATACCGGCCTTCTTGCACTCCTCATTGAGCTCCTCCATGGCCGGGGAGACATAGGAGGTGGTGACGACGTGCTTCTTGGTACGGATGGCAGACTTGATCACGGTAGCATGGAAAGTGTAGGGAATCAATGAGACGACCACATCGACCTGCTCCATTGCCTTGTCCAGAGCGGCATCATCGCTGACATCCAGGGAGATGGCCTTGGTGTTCTTGAAGTCAGAGGCGAGGGCCTTGGCGCTCTCGAGGGTTCGGCAGGCTATTCATCCCATTTCGCGAGTTAGCAGAAACCCCGTCTAATTACTCAAGAAAGCGGTGTCATTGGTCTGCAGCGACCTTCAATGGCTGCGATGTGCACTTGAAGATAGGCAGTGGTTGTTGGGGGGGGGGGGGGGGGCTCGATTTGTGGGCAGCAAGCTAACATGTAGTAGGCAACGCGTTATTACAAAGAGGGAACACATACCGACAGTGACCTCCACGTCGGCCTTGCTCAAGACTTCAACGGTAGGCTTGGTGACTGTAATTGAACGGATTGTCAGTGACTATGGTTCATTGAATGCACGGTGGATGTATCGTCCATAATCCTGGGGAAAGCTCAGACGGCGGGGCATTCCGGCCTACAATATAAGACACAGAATTGAGGTCCATTGAGGGATAAGACACTTACCGAAGCCTGAACCGAGCAGGAGAACCTTGGAACCAGCAATTGACTTGACCATTGTGAATATAGATTTGCCAATTGATGTGGATGATTGTGGGTGCGAGAAAAGTGCGTTACTTTCTTTTGATCTCGACCCAGTTGAGTCAGTGTCTATCACGTGGCCGGTATCGGTGCGGGGAGTTGGTCGAAGCGGTGGAGAGTCTCGGTGCCCGCCAGGGCCCAGAGGTGCTTCCATCACAGGATCGCACTACGTAATGGGGATGGGTTACTGTATTCGGCAGTTGAGTCTTGGCTCGGGGTGAACATGGACGCTTGTCGACAACCCCTTTACAGTCGATATGGCTTGAGATGTAGTCAAGTCCTGAAAAATCTTCCTGACAAGTTGACACCGGTTCACATGTTCGGGAGAGTGATCAAATTAAATTTCCCAAGCAGCTCACCCTGTTCGCCCGTAAACAATGGGAACCAACTGATGTGTACTGATTTCAAATGCCATAGCGGGCAAACGATTGAGATTGAAGCGTACTAGGTAGGTGATGGCAGCAGCCATGACTAATAGCAGAACGCTCCCGTCTGAGCGCCATGTGGAGGGAGGAACACCGGTGACGAGTGATGAACTATTTGCAGTTCAAGACACATGAGGATCAACTCTCGAGGGGATGTATAGCGATGTTCAGCGTGTCAATTATATAGAAGTGAAGAGCAGAAGCGCAGTCTGACAGGGTATTTTGATGATAATTGCAAGGGGACTGCCGGTGTATATAGGCTACGCTCAAGAACGGCCTGGTTTGTCGAAGTATGCACGAACGCCACGACATGCGGAGAACGACAGAAGAAAGAGCCCACACATTAAGAAAAAAAGAAGGGTAAGAATAACACCAACCAAAGCGAGGTCTAAGTCGCCTTCAACTTGTTGCCTAGCATGACTATATTGTCCAGCTGGCCCTTGCCCTCGGGACTATCGCCGGCGAAATCACCTTCGCCGTTGGGATTCTGACGCGACTTGGAGATGCGCCGCTGCCAGCCCAGAAGCACGGGCAGGAAATGCCACAGATCGAATTCAGGCCACAACACATCGAGGAAAACAATCTCAGTTGCCTCGTGGCATTGCCAGAGCATAAAATCGCTCAAACGCTCCACGCCCGACGTCCGCACGAGCATGTCAAGAGGCGGTGTGCCCTTTGTCAGCATGTTCTCCGTAAGAATATGGCGCGATATCGTCTCTGGTGACAGGAAAGAAGGTGTTTCCGTGTCTGAGGGGTGACCCAAAGCCGCACCCTTGGTGTGATGTCCATCTTGTGGGCCGAGGTGAAGGGTCGTAGACGACGAGAAAGACGATCCGGACTCGTAAATGCGACTGGCTGAGTCATTACGAGAGGAGGAGTCATCATCAAGAGCCGACGATTCTGCAGACGACGATTCCGAATCGCTTTGCGGATCCGGAACCTTTGAAGAGCAGCGCGCTTGCGCCCGAATGTGGTGCGTGATGTGGGATTCAGAGAAAGGCGTTCGAGAGATGCCGTTTGCAGGGGGATCAGAACGAAGTGGTGTGCTATAATCTCTCACGGTGTCCCGAATCGCAGTCGTGATCTCGTCGCGAGAGGTGTACGGAAAGCAGATGTTCAACACGCGGTCGCCGTTGCGGCTGGTCAGGTCGACGGCCTTGTTGACAGCGGCGAGCACGTCCGGTTTGAGAAGATCCAGGCGCCCGAGCACGCGAACTTGCGCTCCGTATCTATCCAGCAGGTCTCCGTGTTGCGCCATTTGTGACAATTTTACCTTGGCCATATCCATGAGCGCATCGACCTCGAATTTGGAGCGCTTGAAGTTCTCGATACTGAAGGCGTAGATAGTCACGACCTTGACGCCACTTTTGTAGCAGACCTCGAGGATCTAGACAATCGGTTGCACGGTCAGCCTTAATGAACATAAAGCGGACGGGAAGACGGCGACTGCAATTGCTGTCGCGCGACGCCTCAAATTCGCCGAAGCGTTGTCCTCTTTCAGGAGAGTAACGTACCCTAGCCAGCGCCTCAAACCCCAGGTTATGACCTTCCACCGTCTCAATTCCGTGGCATCTGGCGAACCGGCGATTTCCATCCATCACAAAGGCGACATGTTGCGGAATTGGGCCTTGTCGAAGAGCGCCCACGAGGAGCTCCTTCAAATTGTTGATGGCAAACTCAATGGGCGGCGAGGCAAGAAACCATCGTCGGAGGCGGGACAGATGCATAGAGCCAGACATTGTCAACAGTGACCTGTGCGAAAGCAGGTATTCCACCGAAGAAGTACAAACAAGCGAGCGAAAAAGAGCGCCTCGTGAAACGAGTGTTGAAATGCTACGCTGGAAATAAGGAGGAAAGTTGATTAGAAGGCGGAGCGGAGCGGTAGAGCGTTGGGTTCCCTTTTCCGGGATTCCTGAGAGTTTGGGGTGGTGAAGGTGAACGGTGAACTATGGACGATGTGGTCTGATGGGGGTCAAAACCTGCCACGTTGAGTGGATCTATCAACTCGTAGGAGTGTCGTACAAAGAATGCCGAGTGCAAAACTGACAACGGTGTATGTAATATAGGCAAGAGACAACATGTGATTTTCAAGTCCAGCGGGAGTTGGTGGTAGATCAATGCGTCGGTCATAATAATAATATCGGGTCGACTGCGGCTTTGCCGATGCTAGGCTACACTGTTCCGCCCGGATTTGCATCCGCGACCAGTTGCTCGGCAGTGGCGACGCTGACGAGGCTCGACTGCAGTGGCCAACCAGGCTTTGTAGTTTGGTGATCACTTGAGTCAGGGGAGGGCAAGGTTGAAAATGACCTCATACTCGTCTACGAGTCTCAAGTCTATTATCTACCACGACGAGGCCCAATACGTCTGATCTAACAAAGTGCGAACGTGTTTCACGTTCACAAGAACAGGCGATAAGGTTAGTGTTTGAAGATAATCGAACCGGGCCTCGGCGTCTCGTTCCGCAAGCGGCGCCTGTGATTGGAGAAATCTCATGCGAAACGCGAAACCAACCACAACATGTCTACGCCGGGGGAGATAATTTCCTGCGAACCGTCATGATAGATAAGGATGAGAAGAGCGCGACAGTTCACCCTGAACACCAGAAAACGTGTGGAAAGGCACCAGACGGCCATTATGGACAAGGTCATGAGATGAAATTACAGATCCTTTCGCATCTCGTCCCCGCTGGATGGCGTCCCAGTCCCCGAGCTGGCCATATCCCAGCTGCCATCCTCGCTGCGTCTTCGTCGTCGCTCCCCTCGCTCTCTCATAGCGTCACGGATGCGCGAACTGACATCATCCATTGGATCATTCTGAAGCGTCATGGGACTCAGCGGCTTCATCCCGTGTCGTGAACCGGGTCGTGGTCCCGAAGACCGACTACGGCTTCGATTGCGACTGGGGGGTCGAGTCGAGAAGAAGCCAATATTGGCCAGATTTTGGAAGGACTCGTTGCGAGGGAGAGGCTCGGACGAGGTCCATGTGTCGCTGGTCTTGTTCTCTTGACTGCGCTGGGGCGGTGGTGCTTCCCGCGCGACCGTGGATTCGTCGCTGACCTCGCGGAAGGGGTCAGTCACGATTCGAGCGGCATCAAAGTCGGGGAACAGTTCGGGACCCATGGTGTTGATCGCATCTGTAACTTGCTGCGCGAGCATGGCGCGTCTTTCGCGCAACTGAACGAGGGTGTTTGCCGAGGACGGGTTCAGAGACAGGACCAGGGGTCGCAAGGATTTCACGATATCCATACCAACCTCTCCGATCCGAAGAGCCGCGAAAGTGATGGTGGGGAAGCCCACCATGCCAACAATCACCATCAACCAAAGGGGCACCCAGTCAGGTATCAAGCCCTGAATCCGATTGCGATAGGTCCAGTAGGTGAAGATGGCAGTATAGGTCGCATAGACAGCCGGAGCAAAGGCGAGCGCGATCAGCAGCTTCCAAGTCGCCATGACATCGCGGCCTTGCAATTTCACCGTCGACGCCGCCAGGGCTTCCTTGGACTTTTTCATGGACAAGTACTTGGTGGCAATGAATACCGGGGTAAAAAGCAGCAGGCCAGGAAGAGTGCCGATGGTGAGAAGGGCGAGTTTGCCCAGGCGGTAGATCAACATGGCAATGACTTGCAGGAACGAGAACTTGGCATAGGCGACCTGGTGGTCTCGAATGCCGAGGATTCGAAGCTGCTTGTTGTAGCTTGCAATGGCATTTCGTAGGTTCACGATACGTGGATCATCTTTGAAGTGGGCATAGCCTTTGACAAGACGTCGATTGAGCTCCACGACCATGGGAAGAGGAAGCTTCTTTCCTTTGGTATTGTAGAGTCGACGAGCAGCTTGAATGACCTACGTTGCGTCAGCATATTGTATCACGGCATTCAAGATGAGTGCGAAGCCCCGAGGATCTCGTACCATCAAGGTTTCATAATCAGGACTGGTCACAGTCACTGCCACCAAGCTTTGATAAATGATGTCAAGCAGTGCGCCAACTGATTCACGACGTTCACCCTTCCTGAATTGGTCCACCAGTTCTTTGGGAACCTCAACGGGGTTACCGAACTCGATCACAGCACGGGAGCGGAACTTGTGTGCATGGAAATAGTTCATGCCACAAGGAACGATCTTTAGACCACAATCCGGGTTATCTGCTAGAGTGCCCAGGGCCATCAAAGCCACACCAGCTATCGTACGGTCAGCAACCATGTCTGCGCCATACTGTAAATTCGATCAACAACGGTACCTTTCAGAGGTAGTAGAGAGGGTCGATCATGGCTTCCACCCTCGGGAAAAATGCCCACACAGCCGCCAGCATTCAACCTGGCAAAGACAGCCTCGTAAACGGCCGTCTGATCCACATGCGGCGCGACTTTGAACTGTGTGCCTTTGAACTCGGGGTTCTTTTCCGATCCAGCTCCTGTGAACTTGCCATCGTCGTCAATATCTTTGCGGCCCGTCAATTGGGAAAGTGCATCTTTGTGCGTGAAGGGTTTCTTGAGGACCAGCTCTTCGGGTCCTCGAATCTCCGCAATTGCCGTACTATGCGCTGTGCCGTTGATGGTGGGCAAAGCAATAGTACCCTCTGCCTCAAATCCGGGGCCTTCGAAGTTCGTACCCACACCGCGGAGGAGCTTGGGTTCATTGACAGGGTCGGGCAGGTAGATGGTTCCGGTCCCGGGTTTCAGGTTATCCATTGCGCGCGCCACGGGCAAGGTGCCGATGCCTCTTGCCAGGAGACCGATGAACTTGCGCCGAAAGGACTTCTCCGCAATGAGCCATGAAATTCGTCGGTGTGCTTCGCTGCGAATCACACGCATGAGGACCAGCGAATCGACAAACTACCCAAGAGAAAGCACCGATGTTCAAGTTAGCGCTGTGCGTGTAGTAGCCGTACATTGAAAGCCCGCCTCGCCTACCTGATTTGCATGGGGAGCAGCCACGATGATAATCGGCCCCCGACGAGGAATCTTCCATGATCCACGAGGGTGTACCTCTCGAAAGAAGAGGTCGATGAGGACGGAGAATGTCCAAAGGACCAGATCGTATAGCCACCCGATCAGGGGAGGAATATACACCTTGTTCTTCCCCATCTCGGTGGTTGTGTTGTCGAGAGTGACAGCACACACGAGACTTTGGAGCAGGTGATCAGAAAGTCCTAATGTGTTTGGGGCAGAGCACACTTCACATGTAACTTGGCGATGCGCACGGGCGGCCCGCCCAAATTTTAGTATGTAATGCCTGCTACTAAGCTGGTCGCGAGCCGGGCCCCGCTTTCGAGCTCGCCTTGATTCCGTTTCTGGTGGTCAGTCGACCTTGGTGGAGACAAGGTTGGGTCTTCGCTTGTGCACAACCGTTTGTTTCCGACAGCGGGGGCAACATACGAGCTTCAGAGTGAGAGACAGATTTGTAGGAAGCACCACCGCGGGCTAGAAAGGTGATGTTGAGTAATAGAGGGGAGAACACATGGGGGAGTGCATAGGTCCGTGTTCCTATCGACTATCCACGTCACGCCGAAGATAGTTCCAGAATCGCGGTTTCCTCATTTGCCGGACTTATAGACTTCAATCGTTCGATTTGCTTACTTAAACACTAGACCTACGTTACACTAACCTAACTAGGTATATAGTACATGACTACTACATAAGTAGTAAGTAGTACTATGTATATACTATTTGCCGCATATCGTAAGGAATAAGGATGGCAACAATGACGATGCTTTACAGTGTCTAGTAGTACTCTGACTACCCTCTCCCTCACCTCTAACTTTGAGCGGATTGTTGATAACGCTGCTTTCCGGGCACTACCTCACTACCTAACTTGGAACCTACCTACTAGCGGAAGGCGGAAGCTTTATCATCGATGCTTGGGAATGAATTGTGCGGAACATGAGCAGACGGGAACCTGTTCAATGAGACATGAGCTGTTGGATCTCGCAGAAAGTCAAGACTACGACCATGGAAACTGCAACATCTTATCTCAGGATCAATCGAAATTGCGAAGTTTCATAGCTCACTGAATACACTACGTTTGAATGCTACCAATTTACAGACAGTGGGAATGTTACGCCCACCGAGTTTATAGATGATAGTACTACCTCGTTGCCTTTGATACAATCTTAATCCAAATATGGTAACCAGCTGTCAGCTCGGGAGTACAATTCCTTCGAACCAGAAAGAACATAGCTGGGCTCCCGGTTCAGTCTCGTGGTTCCATCTTGCTGTGTTTGTTCAACATTTTGGGGGTTAATACGGCGACACGAGATACCTTCATGTGTGTCACAGATCCAGCAACGTTAGCTCTTTCCACTGCGCACCCCACGGTGCTTATTTTCAATAAAGCAAGCCACTCACTGTGGGTTTTCCAAGCAGAAAGTTGTCCGGGTTGATTCGACTGGGCCCTTTTGTTTAAATGATCCTGCCGACTCACCACCGATGGACCCACAAACCTGCACATTAGATAGCCTCTCTTCCTTCTCATTCCTTTATACCAATTAAGTTGTGTTTTCACCTTTCTCTTTTCCTTCCTGTCGATCGATATCTACAAACACTTCTTTTTTCTGATATTGGAACAAGCAGGGACCCCAGGGCTGGTCAATGGCAATGGCATCCTTTGGTGGCCTCTGTCGAACGTTCTCGGGGCTAGTCCCTTATCGGCTTTCATTACGCACCGAAATGAAAAATGTGTCTTTGGGCGAATACCAGCGCACTGGGTTTCTATATCAGGTAGGCGTTTAGGTAGTCATTTCTTTTCTATGGGTTCTCGGACTATTTTCAATCCATGTACTTTGCAGTTTGCAGTACTACCTTATTGCTTGGAGGATATCTGGTTCTGCCGCTCACAGCAGTCCATCCATGCCTTCTACAAAGATAGAAACTCCATCTCCTCGGCAGTAATCCCACCCTCATGCCTTTTAATCTTTCAGTGACTGCACCTACTTTTATAGCTAATACATCAAGAGTCTATATCATTGATCACAATTCCAGTCTATCTCCCCTCCCTCTCTACGTCAGTATCCCGGAATTCGTTTCCTACTCGTTTCCTCTAGTGCGAAGTTGTATGGTACCTACATCTTTAACCTCGCCTTTAGGGCGCGGCTGGGTCTCTGATGCCCTGTGCAATGAATACACAAGTAAATGCTTTCCAAATCACAGCGATGTTATCTTACCCACGTGGAAGATCCCTCCATATGGAAAAAATCTTTGACGGGGCAAAGAACTACGAATTGAGAAAATACTGTCTCGGTGAGGTGAATAGGATCTGCTTTTACTGAACTACACCTCATTCAAGTATCACCCATGTTTGCGATATACCGCCAGCTCGAGCGCGAAACCCTGGCAACGCCCCTTTACCGGAGGACGGCCTCGGTAGTATGGAGTTCAGACACGATGTCAACACTGGGCGGGGTATGACTTCGCCTACATTGGAAGATGGTCACTGAAGTGTGTGCGAACTCCGAAAGATCATCACTCTCAACGAGATGAAGGAAAAACATGGGTTTAAGCCAGCGCCGAGAGGTTTTGTGTACCTGCCGAGCTCCATCAGTCATTGCTACGGCTGGAAAGAACAGAAGCTGCTATGTCTTGATTCCTGAAATACTTTTGTCTAAGGTTTCAAGCTGAATCAAGGCAAATTCTTGATCGGGGTGAACAACATTAGGACGGTATCAAAAAGGATCGTCGGTCGAGTCACAGAATACACTCACTATCCACAATGGTGACTATAGCCTGTCAGCTTTAGTGCGAATAAGCCAGTACCTTGGCTTATACCACCAACCGACCGGTTAACAATGCCTCGCTAGGGAATCTAATCAAGTCATGTACTTGTCACTCAGGTTAGCCTATCTTGTCTACTCTGGTGTTTTAGTAGCTGGTTTCGCAACAATCCATTTCTGATCAATGCTCAAATTAGCCTCAAGATCATGGTCCATGGGAGAATGGCAGCCGCTAACGGCTGGTCGTCCATCGAGACTCCAGCAGCCTAAAGCCCAACCCTTCCCCACCTGCCCCGCAACCTTCCACTACAGACCCGCGTGGTTCGGCTCATGTCGAGCGAATTCTAGAAGCGCACTCTTCACCACTACGATCTCGTGTACGCCATAGTGTACAACCCTTCATCCAGTGCAAGGCACACCCAACACCCTTTACTTGGCCTCGACTTGCAGTGTTCACTCCGCCTTCACACTCACGATCATAATCACGTGCGACACAAACAACTCTCAATCACGCTAAGAAGTTAACCATCTCACATTTCATCTTCTTCTCCTCCCAAACGTCAGATCCTATCAATCCCACGACCTCTGCGCATCGTCTCGCGATGTCTATCAAGTATGTATACTCTCCCAGGTCGCGAGAACAATTCTGCATGAGAAGTCTTAGCTCTGACATATGACTTCAGCTGGGTCATGCTTCACGAGCAAGACGGCTTCGTCCGTCTTCCCAACGAACGCATGGTCTACTCGTCACCTCCCCGCGCTCGCCTTGCTCTGACTCCGCCACCAGGCTACACGGGCAGGGACGATTTCTCGCACTCGATTCCTGCTGGCAATATCTACCTGACTAATCAGCGAGTATGGCCGCGGCTCCTACCTTATCACTCCCATCCTCTGTTTTCTGCGCGCTGGATCACTGACCACCTCAATGGACTTAGGTCGTTTACCTTCCCGAGTCAAACACCGCGACCTTCCAGTCTTTCTCCGCGCCCTTACTGAACGTTCGGGACTCGCACGTGTCCGCGCCCTTCTTCGGCCCAAATGTCTGGACAGCCCTCGTTCAGCCTGTTGCAGGTGGTGGCTTTCCTCCTTCTCTCCCCGCCATCCAAGTCAAGGTGACCTTCAAAGAAGGCGGTGCCTTTGACTTCCACACAAACTTTGAGCGCATCCGTGAGCGCTTAGAACAGGCGGTGGAAAATATCGGAGATGCAGGCAGAGGGATGCAGGGCGTCGATCTTTCTGCGGTGCACCTGGACGAGTTGCCGGCCTACGATGGCCCGCAGGCGTCGGCGCCCCCTCTGGTTGACGATGCACTCTCCGCGCGTCCACAGCACACCCGTCAGCCCTCTACAAGTGGAGCTGAACCAGCGGAGCCACCACCCTGCTATGAGGAGGTGCAGTCTCAGAGTGTGGCTCAAGAGCTGGAGGAGAGACTTCGACGTGCAGGTTAAGTGGTTATGTGAGTGAGAGCTGAGGCGAGGGACACGGATTGGCCATGAATCTGGCGCCTTCTTCCTTTTATTTTTATGACACCTTTTAATGAGTCTGGCTTTCTCACGGAAGTCAATGAGATATCTAATTGCATGTACATTACTACTTGATGATTCCCATGAACTTGAAAAGCCCGCAACATGGGTGTTTTGGCAGTTGAGTGTCTGAGACACAGGAAATTTGATGTAGACACAGAGCTCACACAGAGCTTTCTTCCAAGCAATTCGAAGTTGACTCTTCATTCGATTCCACGGAAAATAATCAATCATGCTTCAAAAAGTTCATATGAATTAAATGCGCTCGCTCAGAGTGAACGGACAATTCGAATTGTCCTTCGATCAGCTCAGTCCGAAGGGCGATGGGGGACCACAGCAGTCGGGCCAATCACGTGCAGCACAATTGCGCGCTCTCAGCGGCCGGGGCGTCCCGATTTTCCAGTCCGAGCTTGGAAAACCACATCCTCCCGATCTTCAACCTCACCACGTCTGCTTGCAGTCCCACACGTACAACCCTCCCTCCCCCCCCCGCTATTCATCAGTCCCACGACGCTTCGCCGGTTATTTCCAATTGACAGTCGCAATGGGTTTCGCCGACTTTTTCTCTGACGTCGTCTCCTCCCTGGGCTTCTCCGAGGTCCAGGCTGAGGCTCCCGCCGCCGACGTTGAGTCTTCCACCCCCCAGGACTCCGAGCCCGCCGAGAAGACCGAAGAGACCACTGAGAACAAGTCCGAGGACGCTCCCGAGGAGTCATCCGAGGAGGCTCCTCAGGAGGAGGAGGCCGAGGCCGAGGAGGAAGAGGAGGAGGAGGAGGAGGAGGAAGAGGAAGAGGATGAGGAAGAGCCTGAGGACATTAAGCCCAAGCTCGAGGAGGGTGAGTGACCCTGCGCCATATACGAGAGCCCCGTGCATGACATTCTGCAATGCCCTTTGTCATTTCAAGTTCGCAATATCTATATGCGTAATCGATCCAATGTGGATCCCTTGAATTCGACTGTGGGCAACACTCAATTTGCGAGACATGCGTCATTAGAGAGCATCTTGAGCAACGCGCTTCCTCGATCCCTTCTCTCGATAGACTTCCACGCTAATCAAAATCTCTTCAGAGTGCGCCAACTCCGCCCAGTGCGCTCCCTACAAGCACCACTACGATGAGTGTGTCGAACGCGTCACCCGCCAGCAAGAGGATGAAGACTACAAGGGCCCCAAGGAGGACTGTGTTGAGGAGTGTAAGTTGCCAATCACTTGCAAGAGGTTTATCAACCTCGCAGCATGGCATCTTGTCCATGCATGGTGAATCGGACATAATGACGCTGACATTTCAACAGTCTTCCACCTCACCCACTGTGCCACCGCCTGCGCCGCCCCTAAGCTCTGGCGCCAGCTGAAATAAGCGGATTCTCATCTAAGACCCCTTCTTTCGATCTCATGCCTCCAGCCAGGCACCGATCTCGCCAAATCTCCCAGCCCCCTCTGTGCCTGGTTCGAGGAGTGGACATCTGGACCTGATTTCTCGAGAAGAAGGGCGAATCCGTGCATATGATGACTGTACATTACAAAATCCCTCGAACAGTCTGCCGTCTACATTTTTGGAATCTCAAAATGCGGGGTTTGACGAGAAGAGGCTTGACGGTCTCGTTTTTTTTTTTCTCAATTGCCAGCCCGTGTATGTGCGCAAATGGTGGTCGTTTCTTCTTCTTTTTTTTGTCAAGGCGGGAGGGGAAGAAGGAAAGGAAACATTAATAGATCGCCTTCTCTCTGGTCTTGCATGTACAGATAACTGGTCTTTCACCTGTTTCAACTGTGCTAGTGTCTTCTATTGATCGTGTCCTCAAGACGAATCTCATGTGTTTTGAAACCGGACCTTATCGTGCTCGGAACTATGGCTCGAACTCCCAAGATCACTGCCATGACGTATACTTCCTGCTTGACCGTGATTGTACCTTCGGACTCGATTCATCAATAGAAGCCCTCCCCCTCTTATACGGACCCAGAGTATGTAAGATACCATGCGCCAACATCGGATGCTCCATGTCCACATTACTAGGAGGCAAGTGGCAGATGCAGCCCCCTCGTACCCCAATCCGTCACTTCTGGACTGAATTTTAAAAATAGGGTTGACCAGTTTTGAAACAAATGGTGATTAAGAGTCACGGGTTCCAGGTCAGTGGACCAAGGTTGACCTTGATGTGGACAACTGTGATATATGCATCCCCGCTGGGAAATAAACGAGTCAAGGGCTGTAAATACATCGCGCGCATCACACCTATATCCGGCCATTGATCGAAGCGTCAACATCGAGCTCGGCAATTAAATGAATTGCTTCATGCCCCCTTCACGGACTAGCCGGGTGCTCGGGGAACGCGCTATCTGTTCGTATCTTGGAAGCGGCCTTATTACCTTCGACGTCCCCTTCATCAAAGTCCTGGAAAGAGACACCAAGCTCAATACCACGATCAACGTCCCACCGGCGACGTTGCACAGTCCGGCCAAAGAGTCCGATGGACATGGGTAAGGGAGCCACGACCGTGGACAGCACGCACGAGAATATCAATGCTCGGTGCATATTCCGTGGAGGGTTTCCGTCCGGTCCGTCCTTCAATGCATCCTGGATCAGAATGGCACAGGCGCCGAGCAGCTGTCCGCCTGTCCAACACACGGTGCTTCCGATTTCGGGAGAGAAGGGGTACGTGATTTCGGCCAGATACTCGAGCGCGATTGGGAGCATTGCGAAGGAGGAGGCGCCCAGTAGACCCATCACAATGTACGTGGGTGCAATGCCTGCCGGGCTGGACGGCGCAAACACGAGACCGATGTATGATGCGACGATGACGGGGACGAGCACCCGGATTGATCCCAGGTAATGCTTCCAGCGATCGGTAATGGGCGACATGATGGCCGCAGCGACCAGGCCGACGACGATCAGGATGGCGCCGGCAATGCCCGCTTCGGTCTCGGAGAACCCGTACGGACTGAGAATCTGGTTCAGGAGAGATGATATGCTGTTGAAGAAAGCGACATAGATCGTGAACGGGGCAACGAGGAGCCAGAATTCCAGAGTGGCGAAGAGCTGGCGCATCGCAGGGACGAGTGGTGTCCGAGGCTCTGAGGACGAGGCGCTCGCGGGCGTTGGCGGCTCTGCAGGAATGAAATATGCAGGTATACACACGACGGTGGACTAATCGAATGGGATGACTCCTGGATTAGCGGTTGATCTCGTGCCAGGTGCGCCCCGGTCTCGCGAGGGTCGAGCAACGGCCTCGCCAGACCCCAGCGCAGCGGAGAAGGAATCACGCACAATGATGGAAATGTAGAGCACCATATCAGGAATGTCGGATGGGCTACTCGCCCACATTGAATCTACCAACTGTGCGATCGCAGCCCCCAGCGGATTCGCGAGACTGGCGACTGCGGTAGCACTCGTCCGGCCCTTGGCTGAGAACCACAGGTCGCTGTAGCGCGTTGGCGCGCACAGGCAGAACGGTTGTGCCAGACCAATGATGATCTGACCGAACATGACGAGGCCGAAGATGCCTCCGTTGGCTTTGGTGCCTGCATAGCGCAGCCAGTTGCCGACCAACAGCAGCGTCGCGGTGATGACAATGGCGGGCTTTGGTCCGCCCTTGTTGAGGACCCAGATGACAAATCTACATCCCGGTCAGGCTTTCAGGTTGATCAACTGCAACGTATCCAGTCGGCGCATCCCCGTCGTCGAACGGGAGCAGGGGATCAATATCGACCCCGGGGGATGGGCTGGTGCCATGACAAGACCGCTCACTTACGGACTGACAATGCAGAAAGCAAATTGGAAGCCGGTACTGAGCCAGTTTACTGCGCTCTCCGAGACGCCAAAGTATTCGGCCGTGGTCGTAGATATTGAAGAGAAGGTGAGCCACTAATAATCGCCCCGCGGGAAGTGAGACAAGACGTGCTATCAGATGTGTGTGTGGGGGGAAGGCATTCTCCAACGAGTGAGACTCACATTCCAGCTCACGATGATGTTCAGCAAGACGAGTTCGATCAGTCCCCAGAACCGCCGCCTGTAGACTCTACACTGCGTGGATGATTGCGGGGGAATGGCCTCGGCGGTTGGCATGTTGAAATCGTCCCTGACAGGACTACGATGGTAATGGCGACGGGATGGATCGCCTTCCACACGAGTTGAAGTCACCGGACCAGCGTTACATTTCAGGTGACTGGGACCGCAAGGATGGGAGAAATTCAACTTTTTTTTCTCCGTCTTTCTCTCTCTCTCGCTCTCTCTTTATTTCAGGATCAGCGACCACCCGGAGGCTTAAAATGGAAAGGTCACCCTGGAGCTGAAGTGTGGGGAAAGCACTCTACGGGCCACTAGCCAAGACGCCAGTACCACCACTCGCAAGTTGAGTCGCAGGACTATTCGGTACTCAAGTTCTTCGTTCTTCGTTCTTCTATCAGACTGTCAAAGCAGGGTTTCGGGCGGGGGCAGATGAGACAAAGCCAGAAAGCCGGGGCCACGGCTTCTTTGTCGCGCACACTCTCTCGGAGGGGGTGATCCTCGTGATGACACTCCCGCGACTCTTCCCGTCTCCCCAACCGAGTCTAACGCGGTTTGGACGAGTGCACGAGACCGTGTGATGGCGGCCTGTCTGGGCACGTCATACTTGGGAATCACCTCATGTAACCCGTTGATGGGAGGCACATGCAGAGGGCGCGTCGATATCGTAGGCCACTAGTCCCGCGGGAACGGATGGCGCATGCTGCATGCGCCATGGCCCAGACTCTTCCCTGGCTACGAACAGATACTGTAGACTGCATATACTAGACTGTAGATAGGGAATCGAAATGACTTGCTCGCCAGTCTCCGGGAAAGACTGTTCGAAATAGAGGGTTGATAGGTGGAGATACCAAGCCTAGAAGTATACTTCGTTGCGATGTAGCACCTACTACGAATCTAGACTTCTATGGAGGGGGGTTTCACCATTCACCATCCTTCTCATGCCTTCGGAGCAAATCCCTACTACCCATGGCCTTGGAAGAGGCGTGTCTTGGCTCTGCCAAATGCAGTCGAACATCATGAGCAGGCTTCGAGCCCCGGAAAGAGCACATGTGGGCAATGACATGCCTGTGGTTTTCAGAGGCTGTTCTCCAGTCGAGGAAGGTCTGTCAGGTGACAGGCAGTCGAGCTGGCCATTCGACCAGTGATCTCGACTTTCATGGATCCTCCATCATGAGGACTTCCAACTGTCGCAATAGAAACACCCGCTACAGTAGGTGCCGGGGACGACTCCGTGAAACCGAGTGCTCTTCATCGGGCTTGCAATCGACGGCTAGTTGTCACCCAAGATGAGGTCTCAATTTCTCCCACGCCCACAGTTGGCGCGCAAAGGAGCTTTGAACAAAGTCTGCATCTTTTTGCCGGGGCAGAATGGGAGCAATCCATCGTGGCGGTCTGATCTTGCGTTCCATGACGATGCACATTGTACTTCTGTGTAGAGCCACACCTCCTCGAAACAAATACCATGAGGATCTGGCCTTCAGTGAGATGGACGACTGAGGTACGATACGATCTGGAAGTACAGAAGGGTGACGAGGTGAAAGGTCAGAAGCTCAGGAGAAGTGTCGCCGCGGTTTCCCAGGGCACTCAAGGAATGAGGAAGTCTCTGAACGCCTTCCCAGACTTGTTCGATTCAGTGAGCTCGGTTCGACAGATGTCGGTTCGACAGATGTCGACGAGAACTCCAGTCCAGCCCTGGCACGTAAAGAGATGAGCTGCGTGGTGCGACACAGGATCTCTGGGTGCGCAAGGCACGTGTGAAGGACTTGGAGTCAACCATGGGATCATGTGGAGCCCCGGTACGGGACCTCTTCCGCGATCGCGCACTGTACCTGAATGGCAGAGACCTCCTTAGCCTACTTTTCTCCGCCATCTCCGCAGTCCGCGCACCCTTCATCTGTACCTCAGCTGGGTGTACATTGAAGCCAGGCCACTTATTCTGCTCTCGCGCACCACATCACTCCTCATACTCGAGTCCCCGAAACTGTGTAGAGATCATCTCTCAGTCCCGCATCCATTCAGTGTTTCTTCATTCTTGGTCACGGTGCGCAGCATGATTCATTCCTGAAAACCCTTTTCTTCCGCTCGTCGCTCCGTCCCGCCAGAGGCATTCCATTCCGCCCTGAAACGTCCAGAATGAACATCAGTCTCCGCTCCAGTCAATCGTCCTACGGAAACCCCCGTTATATGTCAACCACCACCGTTCCCGATCTCCATGGACCCCCAGCGCAGTCAGTGGTGGATGGCTACCGTGATGAAGTCCACCACCAGAATGGTCAAGCGCACTACGAGCCGGTAAGGGGAACTACCGGGCACCTTCGCCCGTTTAATCACCGAGACAGCATTATGGCCCAGTATCAGGCTGACCAAGGACTTACGGCAACAGCTCGATGCGACCCAATCTTCAAAGTCGGGCCAGCTCAACCTGAGCGACCCGGTGACAATGTACCTTTTGACCGAGACCGCCATCGAAGACAGCAGCAGATACGAGATCCTACCGTTCGAGGAAGTAGAGCACCTCAAAAAGGAACGCAACATTCTCAAGCCCCGGATCGACAGCATCAAACGCAAACTCGCATTGGAGACAAAACTCCGAGACGCGGCCCAAATTCTCGGAAAATTGGACAGGCCTCCCAGCCCACGGAGCAGCAGTGAGTACGGCGGTCATGCTTCACTCGGCGTTGTGAGTCTGGAAAAGAGCGACTCGGAATTGGCCGTCAGTCAGAGGCGATGCGACGAGCTAGCACAGGAACTACGAAATCTGGAAGGCAGATCAAGCGAGATCTCTCGGCGTCTGCTTGAACACACTGCGGGTGTCCTGCAGATAACCCACAAGGGACTGAAGAAAGCTCGTACTGACGAGCAGAGGCACGAGAAACCAGAGGACGACCTTGAATTTGATGATCGCAGCTTGTATCGAACCCCCGAGCATTTGGACCATTTCGGAACCCATGGAAGGATCGAGGTTTCTGCCCCAAGCGCGACAATAGACAGCCAGTCGCAGAGGCGGCTCGAGGATCTCAGCGACCGCCTGTGTCAGCTACTGGTGCAAGCCAACCCCGACGAATTTGTGGAGCCACCACCACATCCTGGCGCACCTTCATCTTCAATCGAAACACATCTTGCTTATCTAGAAAATGGAGTGGATTCTCTACGTTTGTATGGCTCGACCAGAGCCGTGCCCCCCGACACCAAAGGTTCGTCTGCAGAGACAGAAGACGTCTCCAAAGCCCAGCTCATGGAGATCAACAGCCGGGTGCAGGGCATCGTCGACCGATTCGGCTTGACTCGGTCTCCAGCCCTCCCTCCGCCACCGGAGCTCTCAGATAGTGAAGGCTTGCAGGAACAACTCTCCTATCTCCAAGCGGGTGTGGACGCCCTAGCTAGCCGGGTAGATGGTTTACTTGAGCAAAAGAGTATTTTGACTACGCAGATCCAACAACAGCGTGAGCTCAACAACAAGTCGGACGCCGAACGTGATGCTCATATTGCCGACTTGACGGAACAGTTGGCTCAGATGCGTCGGAACTTCGAGGCTTCTGAGCAGGAGAGTAGAACCTATCAAGATCAGGTGGAAGCTACCACACAACAAATGGAGGCTCTGCGCAATGACGGTTCCTCAACGGAAAAAGTGAAGGCGTCTCTGGTGCAAGCCGAGGGTGAAATCAGCCGCTTGCAGGGAGTGGTGGACTCACTTCACAGTGAAGCCGACTTGCGTGCCGAGGAAGTTCGAGAAATACATGACCGCACAGAGGAAGCCAAAGAGGCTTATGAGCGTGCGACGCAAGAGATCGCCCATCTCGAAGCAGAGATTCAGCAGCTACGCACCGAATCTACCACTCGTTTGGAAGATGCACATGGTCAGCGCGAACAAATGGATGCTCAGCTCAAGACGGCATGTGATCAGCGTGACGAATTTGAGGCACAGTTGAAGCAGCTTGTCGACCAACGTGACCGCGACGACGCCCAACTCAATGATCTTGTCGGCCAACGTGATCAGGCTGACGCTCAGCTGAAGCAAGTCACTGCTGAACGAGAGCAAGTCGAATCTCAAGTGAAGGAGGCTCTTGCGCAACGGGACCAAGCCGAAGAAAGGTCTGCCCAGATGCAAAGAGAAATGACCGAGCTCGAAGGCGAAGTGGTCCGAATTACCACGGAACTCACCATGGTCAAGGCCGAACTCGACGGAGCCTATGGCACCCGAGCGCAAAGGGCTGCTGAGGTCGCAGCAAACCCTGAGATCCAGATGGAGCTCGATCATCTTCGGACGCGCAATATCGAGTTGACGGAGGAGCTTGCGGTGCTCAAGGGCCAGAAAGGTAGCGGCAATCTTCAACAACGTGCAGATACCCTCGAGAGAGAACTTCGCGAGACTCTGGACGATTATGAAGCGATGACCAAGGCAAGCATTGAATTCGAGAAGGAAAGAGAGCAGTTTGAGAGGCTCCTCGACACAATGCGTGATCGGTGCGAGCAGCTGGAGCAACAGCTAAGCGAGGAACGTATCAACTGGATGAACTTGAACAGTCCAGGCTCCGTGGGCCGCGAGGGGTCCGAGACGACCTCACTTATGGTTCTGAAGAATGAATTCAAGAAGATGATGCGTGATACACGTAACGAGAATATGAAAAATCTGAAGGTGCGGAATATTGATTGGAAAAAGGACCATATGTTCTGCGCTAATGCTTCAATTCACAGAGAGAACAAGAGGAGCGGCGCAGGCTCGAAGGACTCCTCCGAGCTCTCAGGAAAGAGCACGCCCAAGTCACCGGCAAACCTTTTGCCAGCCCTGTGGGTACCCCGTCATGATAACGAAGTAAATGTCTATCTTGAATGTTTGGTGCCATCCACGTTGGCAAGTGGTACCTGTACACATACCTGTCGGTTGCTCTTTCTGCGTTATTGCATAATGATAATGGCATGTTTTGATTCTCGGCGGCTGTCGCACCGTTGACCAACCAGTACTGTACACTTTCCATTAATCATGAAGTCGATTATCCCAGGCCACACATTGTGATTCTGTCAGCCACTCGCCGTTCCCTGTGATGTGACGTGGTTTGTTTTAGTTGAATGATGGCGGCTTTCTGTGATCAAGCAACCACTCAAGTGGTGTGCCAACCCTCTCCTCCCCAGCGTCATTCTTTACTGAATGTGAGGCGCATGTTCTCCAGTGACGAAGCTTCCCTCGACTCTGACTACGCCTGGAGCGACGAGAAAGACATCTACAATGCCAGCGTGGCCGATGCATCCGACCGCAACTCACGACAGTGCGAAAGCGACTACCGCATGGCCCCTATTCTCGAAGAAGGAATGGCAGCTAACATTGCCATGTTTATCCCCGCTCCTAGCTCCAACGGCAGTCCGTTGTCGACATTGAATCGCAATTGCCAGAAACGGGGAAGGGGACGGGGACCAGCAAGTACTCTGCTATGTCGCGACCAGGCGCTATCCGAGCAATACACAGGTATTCAAGCTCAGACAGCGCAGACGACACACAGAGCACATGCCCATTGCAGAGCTATATCGCTCGACAACGTCCCGCAACAGAGGCCGCGGAATTGGCCTGGCAAGCCCGGTCCAGCCATAATGCCCAATCGGCCCCAATATCCTGCACCACGCAGAGTACCCACACCCCCAGGACTGCCGTCATTCAACACTCCCGAGGCATGCCGTCTTGCCAACCAATTCTTGCTCAGAGAGACCGATCGAGCAGGTGGTACAGTGAATCATGGGAACAATCGTGGGCGGAGTTTGAACTCGTACGTTGATGCGATTCGCAGGTTCTTCGGTTCGTCGACGACAGTCAACACACAAAATACATCGCAGCATTACGCGGGGATTGGAAGAGCAGACGATGGAACCATAGTCCATGGTCGTTTTCCATTTCGACAGAGTGGACATAACGTGAACATGGCTCGAAATATTCACGACCACCCCTTTGCCCAAATTGCCCCTGTTGTCGCGGAAACAGAGGTAGTTTCTACAGAGGATTTCGAGCGTGAAAAGAACAATGTGCCTAATCGTCGCCAGCAACGACAAGATCCAAATATACCAGCAGTGTCTTCTAGTCGGGGAGCCTCGCAACTCTGTCACTCTACTACCGCCTCGTGTGTACTGGTCGACCAGCAAGGCCGACCATTGTCATTCTCTGAGACTCCACAAGCATCCCGTTCCGTAACAGTCGACGATCGAGCCGGACCCTCACCAGCCACAAGAATCTCAAGACATGTCGCAACTTCAAGTTCTGCCTCGCTTCAAATCACTCAAACCGCCGGCAACGACAACAACACTACCGCGCGCATATCATCTGCAAATGACGGCAAGCGCTCAGTGGGCGAAAGAGGGATTTTGATCTTTGCGAAGAGCATTTTCTGCTGTCTTCCCAAAGCAAATCCTGCCCGCAAATGCGGCACAGAAGCCCCTTCTCTGGAAGCTGCCTTTTCTCACGAATCCCAGCAGGTCCTACGTGGCCGTGCGTAGTCCTTCATTGAACGCATCTCAACTCTCTTGAACAACGAATTTCGAGCGCTTGCATTTCCGCCAGGGCATCAGTGTATTGGTGGCGAGTGTCTCAGTACGATCGATCTTGCTGGTGTCTGCGACACGGTCCAACGACTAACACCCATATTCAAGGGCTGGACCTAGTCCTGACCTGTTCAAAACTTGGTTCGCGAGTAAATGAAGAACTGGATTTCTCTCCTGGCGGTTCAGCCTTGTTTCTTCGATTCAGCGTTATCTTTTATCTTTCTCGGTCCCTAGCTTATTCGGAAACACTATACTCATTCAATGAAAGAATGGACGTGGAAATCCCATGTCTGCTTCTCAACTTCCCAGTCAATGTTGACCAACAAAATTTGAGACTATTTCAAAAAGCCTGCGTGCATGCTAGGAGTCAGTAGCCGACAGCCCGTCGCATGGTACCTTGCGAAAAAGACGTGCCAGCAGACCGGGAGATAGATACCTAAGAAGGAATCAACCTTGACAGAAGCACGTGGACTTCTTCGGAATCCTGCGAATTATGAATACAGGGTAACACGAAGCGAGCCCGGGAATGAATTCATGGGATTTCAAATAGAAGTAGTGCAGCGACTACCCTTTTGCTACGCACGACCGATTTGATCAGGGCCTCAGGGCCTACCTTTGATGGTTGTGATGAGTAAAGACGACGTGTATAAATTGAGGAGAATGGCAAAGACAAGCATGTATGCTACCGCATCGATTCTTTGATATGATGGACATTGCAGCGAGTAAAGAACATGCGCTATACGTTGGGAGAACGAAACAGGTCCCCGAAACTCCGCCACTAGGACATGAAGATTATGCAAATATGCAAGGATTCGACCAGCACGAGAGAGACAACAGACGTGGAACAGATGGCAGGGCATTCACGCGCAGAGAAGAAATAGGGTTCGTAGCACATGATTGACAATCAAAGCCCTTGGAAGAAACGACAAGCCTCCAGAATATCGTCGTCGCCGCACGCAAAGTCCCAGCCGACGATGCGAGGGTCCACACTTGCGCAGACAATCTTCCGCGAATCAAACTGAACCTTGAAGACTCGAGATGTCGGGGCGGGTGCACGGTTGCGTGGGATATTGGGGATGGGATGAGGAGCGGGCATTTGCAGCAGATGGGCTAAGCCTGCAGGGGGAACGCCCTGCGGTGTCACTAATGGCGGGGCTCCCGGGAGAGCCGAGGGGATTGGAGGAGGTCGTGGTGTTTGAGGAGCTGTATTGACTGCAGTGGTATTGGTGACGTTGGTTCGACTTGCGGGACCAGCAGGGATATGTGACGGGCCAGCAGCAGCGACATTGCTGTCCTGGGCGCCGGGTGTGGCTACTGGGGCGTTGTTTACCACCGGCGGCGTCGGCGTACTCCCTTGCCCGGGAGTATTCGTAGGGCGATTCGACTGCTGGCCAGTCATGATGCTCGGTGCAGCGATATTGGCAATGCCCGGCGTTTGCGTGGCCTGTAAGTGTCGGACCTGTGTCTGGATAGCAGCCCGTGCGGCATCACTCAGGGTACCGCGGGCTGCATTGGCTGCGGCATCCGACTGTCGTAACCTGTGGCCAATGGACCACGCGCCATCTCGATCCTTGTGCCAAATCAATATCGATTCATCATAGGAACCGGAAACAATGCGGCCCCAGATACTTCCTCCACCGCCTGGGGGAATTTTCGCCCCAGTAGCTCGAATGTCGCGAGGATTACGCGATCCGGCTGTATTTGGGGTGTGACCAGCACGGCGCGTCGCACTTGGTCCAGGCTCAATGGGCACCCCTTCCTTTTGAGCTCTCCAGAAAGCCGTATCTACCTCCAGAGCTTCTAGTCGCAATGCTTCATCTGCACCTGGCGGGTCGCCGAATCCCGCTTGTACCGTGCGGACCAAATTGTTGTGTCCGCGCAGACAGGCCACTTCAGCCCCCGAGATGTGATCGTAGATGCGCACTGTGTTGTCGTTGCTACCGCTAATGATGCGACGGCTGTCGGATTGAACACAGGCAATGCCCTTGGTATGACCCATGAGGGTCTTTACGCAGGTGCCGTTGCGAATATTCCACACCTTGATCAGGCGATCACCTGACGCAGTCACAATTTCATCGCCGTGAAGTTGCATAGCATTGACGGCAGCTCCATGGCCCTCCACAGTCATCAGCAAGGAGTATGCCTTCAAAGCTTTGATATGCCCATTGGCGATATTAGCTTCAATGAAATTCGGCGCAGTTTCCGTAAGATCAATGATGTAAGATGGGTAGCTGGCTGCGCCACCTTTGAAAATGCGAGGATAGTCTTCATGGTTGGGGAGCAGATCATGTCGGTTCCACACTTTGACCGTTCGGTCTTTTGAGCATGTCACCAGGAATCGGTGGTCGAACTTGAGATTGAGAACGGAGTCTGCATGAGCACTCGTGATTTGGTGAATCTTTTTCCCCGTTGAGAATCTCCATACAATCACGCTTCTATCGCTGCTGCCGGATATGATGATATCTTCGGCGGGACTCGGGTCAAATTGCAAGCATAACACCGATTTCGCATGGCCGACCAGAGGACGATTCCACAAGCGTTTGGTCTCGAGATCCCACACCCGGACCGTTCTGTCTCTGCTGCCACTCACGAGCCATTTGCCTTGGAATTGGATGGCGTAGACACACTCCAGGTGCGCGTCTTCAGGATGGGAGGGGTGAGGAAGTTGGAAGTTTGTGAATCGACCATGATGCCAGTTGGCCTCCAAACGTCGCCGCTGTTTGTAGAGATGCATCCAGTTGATCCGGGTGGATCCGTTTGGCATGCGGACCACGAGCGAGGACTTCAAAGGTGGTTGGAGGAACGAAATAGAATCATGAGCGAGCGTTTGAGATTCCCGCATTTGCTTTTCTGTCCCAGTCTGAGGAGTCCGCACACTCGCATCAAGCATCATGTGATCGCCCTCATTGTCGGGCTGAGTTGTTTCATTCACAGACTTTGAGTCGTCTAGCGTACGACCATCGTACCACGACATCGGGACGCGCCTCTTCTGCTTGGGTTCGCTCAGATCCGGATCTGAGCACTGTGGCCGTGCACGGCGAGTTTGCGGAGACACGGCTTCTGATTGCTCTTGTTCGAAGCTGCGAATGGCGCGTAAGTCTACGCGCCAACCCTCTTGAATATAAAGCACGCGCCACAGTCCCGAATCCAGAATGCGACTGCGCCATGCCCGAGATGCCAACGACGCAGTCAGAAGTTGACGGGGTTCGAGATATGAGAATATTTGAAATGTCAGTTCAGGCGGCAATTTGAGAACAGGGTCCATATGCAGGAGAGGGGTCAGACGCTCAACAACGCCGGCAAGAGTTGCAGTCGAGAGTGATCGAAGGATGGTATATGCAAAGGCTGTTTTACATCCCCATGGTCAGCACTGGTCGTTATCTTGGGCTTGGACCAGAGACGTCTTCTGCGACTCTTTGTAGAGTCCATGGTCATAGCATGCGGTTGGGAATGAATGTACGACGTACCTGCTCGATCGGCTTCACTTTGGGCCAGAACCCATTCCGGCAGCGACATAGCATTGTCTACCATTGTCTCCTTCTCTGCTTGACTTGGTGTGTCATCCGAGTAGCCTTCGTCCAATCGAAAGGCAGGCGATAGAGTCGGCGCCGAATAGCCAGGGAAGGAGGTTGCCTGCAGCTTCAACGCTGGGTGCGCTGGCGGATCTGATCCCGCGTCGTCCTCCATCAGCGCGGACGAAGATCCCGGGACCCCAACGCGCAGCAAGTCAACGGGGTTGCGGATGGTAAGGTGAAGGCGACGGAGAGGAGAATTGGAATTCTTTGTTGTTTGTTGATGGGAATTGCCGGTCCTCACGAAGCACCGAGCTGCATAACCCGTCGGAAGAGGTTGCAACCAGACGTCTATTTGCCAAAGAAGGTCCTGCCTTCGGGGCGTTGCAGAGATGTGGTGGCACCCCGGGCGTTGAGGCAGTCCTTTGTGGAGCAGGCTACTTACTTGGTAGTTGGTGTAAGTCACGGAGTCACGTCACGATCGGTGGTGAGCGGCGTGCGTCGGGACCGGATCCACTCGAGCTAGTACCTATGTCCTACAGTAGTACTACAATTTATTTACTACAATCATGAGTAATGCACGACTCACCTCCAGTATGAACATGGTTACAAGTAGGTATGCCGGGGTAGAGTGGCCAGTGGACTTAAGACTCCATTCCTTTTCTCGAATTCAGATTGGTAGTAAAACTGACTGGGCAGAAAGTATGATACTGCACAAAGCAGATACTCACGATGAGGCTCTGTTGCGCGCATCCATTGTTTGATAATTCCGTGTCAGTCCTAGGCAAATGACTTTCCTAAGCAGGACAGGCTTTGAAATCACGTTGAAAGATCACCCCAGTAGGACCTGTACTGCCATAAGAGTAAGGTGCTCCTAGCTACTAACTTCGCTAGTAGGTAATCGGGTCTTATGGAGGTTGATCTGGTCGGGTGGCTCAATCTTTAAGCTTTCTTGGTGTTGCTCAGGAACCTCGTCAGAATATCAATCTTCAGGATTATGTTTCTTAATATTGGTACCTCTTTGATGTCCCGGACCTTCTCGTTTGTGAACGATATGGGTGGTACACCTCATGGGTAACTCCCTCGTAGCGATATTGCGACCGTTCATCTTTTGATATTCGGCGCAAGGCACACTTATCACTGTGTCGTGGGTAGGGTTAGACAGAGAGCCTGATTCCTTAGATTAATCCATATTTGAGTCAGCATGTCTTTTCAACTATTGATCTGGTTGAATGGAATTCTCCTTGAGGATTTTTTGAAAGGTCTTTGGGAGGATCTTCCAGTGGACCTCGTCTTGAACCTATAACAGCCCCAAATCAGCTCTTTACACTTCAGTAGTAGGTCAAATATAAGAAAATATAAATGATAAGTGAGATACAAGGTAGCAGTAGGTTCAGTTAAGAGGTACCTGGGACCAGAACTCCTTCTGAGTTTATTAATCGGGCCCTTCATTTGGGGAAGTTCTCATCTGGTTAACAACAATCTCCATCTTTCTAGGTACCTTACTTACTTCAACCTAACACGCTGAAGATCCCAGCCCCGCAATGTTTCTGACTCAGGCGCGGTATGGGGCGGGAAGGGTGTGAGGTATAAGAATCGCAGTCCTCTGCGCATCGACAATTCATAGTGGTATAAACTCAGTGAGTCAGTAGCCAGGCAGTGTATTGTAGTTGCAGAGTAATCGTCGTACTACAGTACTGACGGACAGTGCTGTACTGCCCCGTGGATCGTGTCCACTTGCATGCTCCATCCAGGCCCTTGAAAAGCCCAATGCCAAGTGCCAACTGGCCCGCCGGAGAGTCTCCTTGATGCCCCCTCCCCACATCCCACCGCCCGTCCCCCCTAAACCTAATCGAGTAACTGAACAGCCCTCTCTTTCGGCTCTCTCTCCTTTCCTTTCGCTCGTTATCACCCTCATTCTCCCCCTCTCGCTGGTTACCCTGCTGTGTCCTCTCCTCCTTCCTCATCTCCTTGGGCTTCGCTGCCTGCTCGTCTTTGTGTGATCTAGTGCGGATGTCTGTCCGCTGTGTCCTGCACTCCTTTGAGAAGTGACTTTTGATCGCCTTCGGCCCTCTCCCCTTTCGTCGTCCATCCACAATCCCTCCCCCCCCTCCCCCGGTCCGAGCAACGGGTCCTCGCGAAATCACTACCGATCTTCGAACCCAGCCACAAACAACAAGATCATCACCCATCCGACAACAGAACGCCCACACCAACCACTTCGTTATCGTTCCGTTGAACCGGTCCGAGTTCTGCTTATTCACGCTTGCCTGGCCGCAGCGTTGCCACCCGAGCGTACATTTGCCGCCGAAGATTCTCATCACCTACCTGCTTATTTTCGGCTTTGCCCGCCAAATTCCAGAACTCTACGAGAACAGTCGACATCCATCCATCTGTTAATAGCAATAATAAGTCACCCGTCATCGTGCTAGCTCAACGAGAAAATCTCGTTGCGATCACGTCTTCGCTACTTCCTCCTGGGTCGCGTCCTCCCAGAAGGAGCTCCGTGCGACTACTGATTATCGCATCGCCGTGGCGCATCCCAGTGCTTCCAGACCTTGAGAACCGCTGTTGCTGCATCGGTCGCGCTTTGCCACCCCACGACGCTTCACGATTACACAACGTGCTGCAGACAGTACTTTTATGATTGTCATCTTGTCATCCGACACTGGTCGCCTTTTGAGAAGCTTGATATCCCCTCCTTCGGTTCTGCATAGCAAATCTAAAGCTGAGCCTGGCTGGTCTGACTCAATCCAATAAAATCTGATAATAATAGCATGATCCAAACCGCCATTATGAGCGGAATACCAATCGCCGAAGACAATATCATCAACCGGCGGGGTGGAGAATCTATCTACCAAAGCTGTGTGAATTTGAGGCGTCGTCTCTCAGAGGTGCCCAACTTTGAGCCCTATTTGCAGGAGATGGCGACGGAGGATAAACTACGAGGCAACACCGATCCGGTCGCATCCCTCTGGCAGTGCCTGCGGAACGGCTACCCCCTCCTGAGCATCTACAATGCCTCCGGGCCCGATGAAGAGTTGGTCGTAGACCCGGCCAAAGTCCCCGAGGCGAAACGTCCCAAAGCGGCTACGTTCAAATTCTTGCAGGCCTGTCTGCAGGATCTGGCCTTCCCCCAGCAAGATTGCTTCTTGATCACCGATTTATACGGAGAGAGTACCACCGGCTTCATCAAGGTGATCAAGATGGTCAATCGAGTGGTGGACATCCTGGAGATGCAGGGTCAACTCAAGCGGCCCGAGGTGACGGATGCGCCCGTTGGTGCACCGGGGAATGTGAAGCTCACCAAGCGGGAGCACATTCTCAAGGAATTATTGGAGACCGAGCGCGATTACGTGCATCATTTGCAGAATTTGCAGGCGCTGAAGAAAGAGTTGGAGGAAGCGGGTGCTTTGACCGGTGATGCAAGCCATCAGATCTTCTTGAACCTGAACAACCTCCTGGATTTCGCTCAACGGTTCCTGATTCGAATGGAACAGCACTATGCTCTCCCAGAGGAAATGCAGAATTGGGGCCAACTCTTCTACTCGCACGAGGATGCTTTCAAGCAGTATGAGCCTTTTATTGCCAATCAAATGCGCTGCGATGAGGTGTGTCTACAAGAATGGGACAAGATTCGCAGTGCGCCCCGACACCCGGATCTCCAGCAAATGGTTGCGCAACCAAAGACTTTGAACGGATTCTTCGTGAAACCATTCCAACGTTTAACGAGATATCCCCTCATGCTCTCTGTACGTCCTGGTTCCTTTTTCCCTTCCCCCCCCCCCCCCCTTCGCGTGAACGGAAAACGAAATCTCAAACCTTCCCTGCATCACGTGGGAGGGTTATCAATAGATTATATGCTGACTATCGTCCATCTCAAATAGGAGCTGCGTAAACAAGCCGAAGATCCCCAAATCAAAGCTGACATCAGTCGAGCGATCGACACCATTCAAAGAACTCTTGACTCGGCAGATGAAGCCATTCACAAGGAACATTTGGCGGCGGCCGTGGTCGACCTGTCCGAGCGCGTGGACGATTGGAAGTCGTTGAAAGTGGAGGCTTTCGGGGACCTGTTGCGTTTCGGCACCTTTGCGGTCGTCAAGGGTGATAGCGGCAAAGACACAGAGCGAGAGGTATGCAACGTCACATGTCTTTCCATCAGGTTGTTGCACATTACAACCCAGAGTCGACGATCTCGTTCTCTCATATTCGGGCTCATTCCGCTAATCTGGGTCTTCATTAGTATCACATCTACTTGTTCGAACGAATCCTACTCTGCTGCAAAGACATCAACCCGAACAAGCAGAAGAGCAAGCTCATGATGAACAAGGACAGGCCTTCTAACTCAGCCAAAGCCAAGCCACGTCTGCAGATCAAAGGTCGAATCTATATGGCAAATGTGACGGACATTGTTGGTCTACAAAAGCCTGGTATGTTTCATTTCCAACACGACTGACTGGATCGCTCAAGTCTGACAGTACAATCACAGGGCTCTATCGGATTCAGATCTTCTGGAAAGGCGATGCCGGGGTGGTCGACAACTTTATCATTCGGTATATTAGCGAAGAGACAATGCGCAGCTGGTACAAGGAGATCGACACGCAACGCGCAATCCAATCAGAACGTCGGACGCTTCGGAATACGGGCACGTCAGACAGCGAGTTTATGTACATGGAAGGCATGGCCAACATGCCAAATCCCTTCCAGCAAGAATACGAAGTTGAGGAAGGTCTCAAGGATGGTGGCTACCATTCCGAGTTCCCTATGAGTCGCAACGCGTCTAGCACTAGTCTGAGGACTCGATCTGCCACTGGAGGCAGCACCAATTCGGTACCTCACTCCAACGGCCGGCCACGCTTCGCAGGAGATCCCGCTCTCTCTGTGCACACCCAGTTTCCCGGGTCAGGCAGCATGTCTCCTGGTGAACGGAACGGGAACTCCTACTTCTCGCCCACAGAAACACCGTCCACTCGATCTAGCTCCCAGTCTGGGTTCTCGTTTGGTCGTCAAAATACCAACTCGACCTCAGCTTCGAGTGTATGGAACGAGGAAGGCAATCGACACACTGCGCCTGCACTTTCTCGTGGAACCTCCCGTGACGGAACGCCGACTGGCTACTTTCCTCCTCAGTCCAATGGTCGATCCGCTCAGCGACCCTCGCTTCCTCCTCTATCAGGGTCCCAAGCGGCAGCTAATGGCCTGGCTCAGCGCATGCGATCAGCCAGCAGTCCTGATATTCATCACCACAACAATCCCTCTGATTCTCGGCGGTATATGGGCACGGCCGACAACGTGCCTGTTCCTCCCATCCCTGCACATATGGCCAGCATGAAGGCCCCGATCAACCGCAGCCAGAACAATTCCCCCACCAACAATCAACTGCCTGTCCGTACCCATCCACATGTGGGTCACTCCACCCAGTTCACCGAGCCCGAGTACAATGAGCATCGGGGATCCGGCCAGATTTCTGATCCGGCCACGTCCCCGCTGGATCAAGGCCCGGACGATGGAGATCTCTTCATGCCGACCCAGCTCAAGGCCAAGGTGAATTTCGAGGACCACTATGTCACGTTAGTCGTTGCGACCAATATTCTCTTCCGCTCGTTGACGAATCGGGTGGATGCCAAACTTGCCAATCTCACCGACCGTTCTATTAGCAGCAAGACTATCCGGCTTCGTTATCGCGATGAGGATGGGGACTTTATCACCATTGACAATGATGAAGCGGTCCAGCTCGCCTTCCTGGAATGGCGCGAGCAGCATCGAGATGAGCTTGCCAAGGGACTGGTTGGCGAGATTGAGCTGTACTGCCAAGTGGTTGATTAAACAGGACCAAGGGTCCCATAACACTTCCACCCGTGGTGAACATCCGTCTGTCTACTCCTTCCCTTCGACGCGTTCCGTTGCCGAATTTACGAAATTATGATCCCCTGTCTTTGTATCTTGTGCAGAAGTCTCTTTCGGTGGGACAGTTCGATGATTTCGAATGCGATTCAGTTGCATCTGCATTGCCGTGGCGCATATGGTTCTCTTCTTCCTCTGCGCCCCTCCACCTTGACGTTTTCAAACTGGTACTTCGTGCGGTCTTTGTCTTGCTGCATCTTGACCCCATATGTGAAAATCGTTCCGGTCACCCTGACATCAGGTGGTCCACGTATGCTCTGCTTATGCTGTTACCCTTTCTGACAATTGCGTTCCTCTCATTTCCGTGGTTCCGACACCTATGACCGTATGACTCCAAAACTTCCGTTTCCAGTGTAATGCATATTTGATTGTCTCTTTGCCTCTTAACACAGCATACGATGCAGCCTGCGCCGACGTGCGGCGTACGAGGGTGTCGAGGACTACCTTGTCTCCCTATACATTGAGTGATATATCAGTGTCGATGTGTTTCCAAATTCAATAGACTTCATTGACTTTCTGTACCGCCCTTGATCTTGCAGTAGCACCTAGGATGGTTGGTGGACGGATCAGAGAGCAGATGCGTCAAATAGATGTTCGATCATCTGACTCGACCGTTAGCGTCTTTCCATCATCAAGCCTCACACATGACTTCTTCAACTCACTTGTAGTCCCCTTGTTACAACCACCCAGACAACCGCAACAGGCATCCATTCTCCCACCCTCTAGCCTTCTTCGACTCCGGTGTCCCACTGTTCATAGCCATAATGACAGCCGACCGAGTCGACGAGACAGTCCATGATCGGCTCCTCTCTCACCCATCGTCGCCTACCAAGCGCCCCACCCGGATGACGCACCGTCTGCCATCTGCCGCCGAAATGAGCTTGTTTCGGTCAACCCGCCGAGCGCGATTCGCTCATTTTGATCCCACTTGATCTTGGGAAGCGAGACCGCTATTACCTCAGAACCTCTTGTCGCTGGAGCTGTCCGACAGGCCCACTTCTCTCGGCGGTTCGGTCTCGCCAGGTGCACTCAGGCACAGCCATCAGTCCCCAGTCTCCACCATTCAGTTCACCAACCCGCCCGCACGTATACAAAGGATTGGTGTCACATCCAACAAAATCCTTCACAACGGCCTATGGCCGAGGCGAACCCAAGCACTGGACGAATCTTGCCGCCGGGCTGAGGAAAGTCCAGTCCAGATAAGTCCAGTCTCCAAGATGTCTGCAATTCAAGCTGCTGTGCTGCAGGCGGGATCTAGTCTCAGACAAGCCTTGCTGTGGTGATCTCGGCTGGGCCTGGATTGGCACCCCACTTGGTCATGGACTTGGAGGGGCAAGCCCAGAGGCAGAGGAGATGAAGGCCTAATTGAATGATCGTCGTAACAGGGTCTAGGTCTAGGGAGTGACATTTCTCGGCGATCTGGTCGAATCGCAGTTGCTCCTGTTGGAGAAGAAGGTGAAGCTATGCTAGCAATCTACTTCATCGCTCAACTGTGATGATTGCTTTGTCTCATCCTCCTGTTGGTCAGCCCAATTTTCAATACTCGCAACCCCTGCTTGCATGCGAAAACAATCTCCAACTATCAGATCAACATCGTAATTTGTTCCCACCGGGGCGCTCCAATTACTCCAGTGGCAGCCGTCCTTCTGAAATCAAGGCACAGGCAGAGGAAGTGCGGAAACCAGACCAAATAGCAAAACAAGAAAAGAAACGTGGAACCAAAGACAAATCAAAAAAAAAATAAAAGAAACGCCAGCACAGCGAACAACACGCATCGGGTCGCTCTTCTCTCTATTTTCTTGTCGAATCCCCTCATCAACATTCCAGCTTCTTTTACCCCTCCCTCTTGGTGATCTCTTCCGGGCTGAGACACATTTGCATCCTTCAAAAGCGCCCCCGCCTTTCTCATTTCCCAGTCCCAAAGAGGGAGGCTCCCGCCATTTCTTTTACCATCGCCATCCGTGGTCGCAGTCTACGCCCTTCGAGCATCAGAAATGTCCTTCTCCGGCCGTCGAGTTAGTATTCTGCGTCCCTCCGCCACCCGGAGGTTCTCGCAAAGCAAGGAGCTTTCTGAAAATGGTACGTCGTCAGAATTCCTGCCAACATAGGTTGCTTAGGTCTGTCGGCATGTCCACAGACCAGTATGAAGCCGATCCCCGCAGAGTTTCCTCCCAAAAAGCATACAGAATGCAACACCCGTTCGCTCGGACTAACGGCCCGATCTTCACTATGCAGAACAACGGTCCGAGACTCACCGTCAGTTCCGAACCGCCCATGAGGGCCACCGTCCTCATGCGGGTCTCGATGCCTCGCGTGCCTCAACGGGTGTTGTCTGGTGCACGGAGCGAGCCACGGAGCACGGATACGCGGAGGATCCCAACAGCTGGGCCAACTTGGGTCAGGGTGCCCCGGAAGCAGACGATGAGATTGAGGGTAGTTTCCCACGACCGACAAGCATTCCGATCACCTCGGCGGCTCGCGAATACGGTCCGACCGCGGGAATCAAGCCGTTGCGCGCAGCGGTCGCACGCTTGTACAATGAACACTACCGTGAAGGGAAATGTAGCCAGTACACTTGGGAAAATGTCTGCATCGTCCCGGGTGGACGTGCTGGATTGATTCGAATTGCGGCAATTCTGGGCAATTCTTACCTGTCTTTCCCAATTCCGGATTATTCTGCTTATTCGGAGATGCTGTCGCTGTTCAAGAATGTAAGTCCTGTAGACCCTGAATGAGGTTTTCGGATGGAAGAAGGGCAAGAAGCGCAAAAGATGCTCTTCCATCTTGCTTCTTTTTCTCGACACGAGAGCTACATTACGATGTACAACGGACTGAATTGACTCTGTGCGATGTTCTCGTTATATCTACAGATTGCGCCCATTCCCATTCCGCTGTCCCAAGAGGACCATTATCACATTCACCCCAACAAGATCGCCGAAGAAATTGCACGAGGCACCCAGGTGCTGCTTACTTCGAACCCAAGAAACCCGACAGGTCATTTTGTGTCTGTGGAGGAATTGGCTGAGATCCAGGACATTTGTCGTGACCGGGCGACTCTGATTCTGGACGAATTCTATGGCGGCTACAATTACACCACCGATTGTGACGGGACAACGATCAGTGGTGCTGCAAACGTGGTTGACGTTAACAAAGACGGTGAGTATTTCAACGAGTGTCCATGGACTTGCCCTCTTATCGCAGCGCCTGGCTAGCTGCCTGTTTTTTCCCTCATAGGAAAGCAAGGCGACTGATGAGTCTTTTTTAAAACAGATGTCCTTTTGATCGACGGTCTCACCAAGCGCTTCCGCTTGCCTGGATGGCGCATTGCCTGGATTGTCGGACCCAAAGAGTTCATCGATGCCCTAGGTTCGGCCGGTTCTTATCTCGACGGTGGTGCCAACGTTCCCTTTCAAGAGGCTGCCATTCCTATGCTGGAGCCCTCGCTGGTTCGCACCGAGATGAAGGCGCTCCAGGCCCACTTCCGTGAAAAGCGCGACTACGTCCTGCAGCGACTACACGAGATTGGATTCCGCATGCAGGACGTCCCCCAAGCCACCTTTTACATCTGGCTGGATTTGACCTCGTTAGATCCACCTCTGCCCGCCGAAGCCAATATCTCTGATGGCTTGAACTTCTTCAATGCCCTCTTGACGGAGAAGGTGATTGTGGTCCCTGGTATCTTCTTCGACTTGAACCCAGCCAAGCGTCGTGATCTGTTTGACAGTCCCTGCCACCACTTTGTGCGCCTGAGCTACGGTCCCAAGATGGAGGTGCTCAAGATGGGTCTTGATGGCATTGAGCGCGTGATCAAGCGCGCTCGTGAGACTGCTTACCCCAAGTGGGGAGATGAGGTTGCCATTCAGGACGACTAGATAATGACCAAATGGAAAGAGACCCATTCACCTGGTTTGAGCCCTGCTAAATGGAAGGCATCGGCTACAGGGGGGTGGTTGCAACGGGCGACGGATAGCTCGTTAATGACGAATTTCCTTCATTTTATTTACTTTCCTGGGTCGGTCTTCCCCTTCCAAGGAACATCTCTATGTTACTTGGTACACTCTGCCATGAGCATAGGGTCTCTTTACAAACGAGTATGAGATGTCGATAACGATGCAAGCATGAAGCGAAGTCTTGAAGAGTCCAATTTGAGCACCAACAGATACCCATGACAGAGTCTGACAGGTCATTCCCAGAACCGCTCCTGAGTTCTTCAAGAATGAGCGCCAACACAGCAACAAGCATTCCAGATCAATAGTGATACCGAGTCTACAGAGATATCTTCCAGTTGTCGATCACTTTGGTATCTCCCTTCACTACACTGTAGTAATGAGCGGCCCTCATGTATGGCTCATCTGCTCTGGGACGAATTGAATAAGCATACATAGCTGAAAAGCATACATCAAAGATATCCAAGGCAGGCAAATGCAGGATGACAGTCTTATGTACGATTTGTATATGACGATTCATGACCCTTGAGAGTACCCATTCCGACTTCATAGGAACATTTTTTTTTGCAATCGGAGACTGTATTCAATGGATGGAAGCTAGGGCAGAAGACGGTGCTCTTACTATTTGAATCACATGGACAACGAACTTGTATGCACAATTCAATTACCGAGTCTTTTTAGTAGATAATTCACAAGAGTCTTGCTTTGTCCGTTCGAAACGGACATGTAGGACCTAAACCAGTTGCTTCTCCCGGAATCAATTTGAGTGAATAACATTTCTGCGCTGCTTTGGCATCTCTCGAAAGCACGTAGGTATACACACATGTATCAAAGGAGGCTGCGTCAGATGTAGGAACAGGGCTATGTCCGGGAATCTTGACCTGGACGTTTGCGTCTGTTCATCTCCAAAGCCACGAAGGTCTTTTTGCGCCGGGGCCCAGGTCTCGAATGCCTCGTCCATGTCCTGAGTGCGCCGTGTATGTAAGGTGCGGACGGACGTAGCTGGTGAAATTACCAGAAACGTGGGGTATATCGAGAAATCCTTGTCCCATATGCTATCACCAGTTATTATTGGGCTTCTAGCTCTAAGAAGGCCGAGACTAACATGCTGACCCAACGAGTGGGAAGGTACCCGACGAGGATCGGGGATTACACGCGAATCTTTGACCTACACGACCTGGTAGGCCCCGGATCTCTGACGCCGTCGGTACATATGTTGGGTTGGCTTGGCTTTTAAGGGTCTTTTTGTGCTGTCCAATCCGTCGCGAAGGGCGCAACTGAGTCTGCTGAAATAGGAAGTTGGATATTGAATCGGAGTGGGGTGAGGTTTGAGCTCATCTTGTATTTTGCACCAAACTCTTGATCTAGTGTAGATGCTTTGGGAGCGGTCGAGCCATGACTGGTGGTGACGGGAAAGACGAACACTCTGTCTCTATAGTACGACTATCTTGATCGTGCCATTACGGTTGAAACATGCTTGTTATTGCTGCATTATGAATGATGGCGAAAATGATTCATGTGTTCAAGCATTGGACTTGATATCTAGGTAGGGTTACAAGAGGTAGGCAGAGTTGACGATAAAGTTCCCACGTCACTGGGAACCTGCACCTGCACGATACCTGAAGGGCAACGAGTAGTCAAGTACACGAGTTGAAAAGCGACGAGTTGAAATTTACATTGTCCCTCGGAGGGCCGTATGTAAGTTTAGTACCAATCAGATGTTATATATATTTAAGTTACAATACTTGATTACTATGGCATATCAGTACACACTATACATGGACTGTTCTGTAAGTTGTCGGAAATTGGCAAATGAGCTCCAATCAAACTTGTCTCCACTATTGGTCCACATTTGTGATGAGCAAATCAGAAGTAGATAAGGCCGAACTATTCGTCTACGACTGCCAAAAACGAGTTAGCGTACCCCAGGATGTGGCTGGTAGACATCCACCTCGCTACTCTGCGATATGCATCCATTGCATTGAGCATGTGAGCGTCGTGTATCTTCATGTAATGTAACTACATGTAAGTAAGAACAACCCAGCAGCAACCTCGCCAGGAGGAAAGGTGGACATCCCCTAATCCACAACCCTCGGCCACTCCAGGGTACTGTACTTCTTATCAAAACGAACTTACCAACTTTGCTCTGTCCGACCTGTTAGTGCCTCAGTGGTAGTGTTCACTTCCTTGGCTGTGGGTGTCGTGAGCCGGCCGAGACCAAATTCCTAATCGGGACAGAATGAGCCCGATCAGTCATCATTGCTCCATTGGAAGTCGCTCTAAGATGGCAAGTTGGCTACGAGGTCCCCGACAGGGTGATTTCCAGAAAGGCAGCCAAGAATGTGATTCTTCTCCTGATGCGGCGAATTCTTCATTTGGTTCCTTTCTGCGAATGCTCGCCGTTCAATTCTGCTACACGAAGGTTCAACTTGACAGAGAAACGTCCGGCGGCCATGGGGGTTGACCTACGAAACATACTCCTCGTCCTGCTGTAAAGGGTAGCCCGGTCTGGTTATTCTTCGTGCCTTGTTCTTTACCAATGGGGCGGATTGGATTTGGAACCCATTTTCCGGAGTGGAGCCGTCATGGGCGGGCTCATTCGGGGATTGACACTCTAAACTTTAACACGAGGTGAGCACGTCTCGTCTTTGATGGCCGATGGCCGGATAAATCGGTTCATCATCACCAAGTCCTCTCTATTCAACGTACATACCAAACTATGGAACTACGTAGCCCCAGGTATAGAAGTTGTTGAGGGGGTTCCATTTCCAAGGCGCAGTGTCTGAGTGTACTGGCGAACGCCCTGCTCAGTCAATAGTATTTGGCTTGGCTTGGCTTGGCCCGATATAATCATCGGCTGGAAGGCGCATGGAGTTGTGATCGGATCTTTGACCATGCACAGATTAATCTGCGATCGGCCAAGTTTGCCTTATGAGAAGCGTTGAGATGGCGATTAGCTCACTGAAATGACAAGAAAGAAAGCTTGGACAATAATCATAGGAGCAGACTGCTTGTCTTTCCACCTTAAAACCACGCTGGACCCTGGCGCTCCGACTACCCGGATGTTTTCCACAAAGCTTGTTTTGCGGGTGATCGTTTGCATTATTGTTCTTGATGTGTTTACCTGCCGGACGAAGGCGGTCCCGGTCCCGGAACCATGGACAAGACTCGGAACAGTGTACAAAGGGCAATTTTCCCAATGACAGCTCGACATTTATTCACAACAGAAGAGTACAGTAGTACCTATGAATATGAACACAGCTATGTATGCATTTCTCTAGAGTCTATAGTGTAGACTCTATACTGCCTCGTCATCTGTCCTTCTTCGCCTGGAGGTGAGTACAAAGCCTATTCTTTGACATTGAACTTCTCAAGCCTAGGAATCCTAGTGGGACGCCTCACCTATGATTCTACCCCACAAAAAAGCATGAAGCCAAAGATGGCAGTATAGTGCCCGGTAGACTGGTAGTAGTAGTAGTAGTAGTAGTAGTTTGCTGGTTACTGGTGTACCACGGCCTGTACGAAATGCGGATACCGAATCAGCCCATCTTGCCTGGACCTGACTCGCGACTTCCGTTTAGGAGTATTTACACCCTCCACCACATGTGCAATCCCGGACATGGCTACCGTTATGATTGGGTCGCCAACACCTGTCGGACTCTGGCGTCAGATATCTCCGACAACTCCGAGTCTAATCGGCCTTGACGGCCGGATTGAGATTACGCTATCGGCAATCGACCAATGGTAGATGGGCAATGACATGCTCAGTCGAATCTTGGTACCTCCCCGGACTCGGCGGATTAGGTACCTTGACTATTGGCATGTGGGTGTTCAGAAGGCCGTCCCCTAATAACTAAGGTGCTGCTTGACTTTTGGCTACGACTCTTGGGTGATGGGAGTTGAATGTGGGTCAGGCACAAGACTACCCTGTTATCCCCTGTTATCGGTGGTCCTTCACTGTTGACTTTTGTTTCCCCCATTTCAAATTCAAGGTTGACGATCAACGATAGGTGATGCAGGTAGACAGCCGATCAACGACTCTAGCAGCTTTTCTTGCTGCCCTGCCGACCTCGACTTCTGGAAATTCCATGTGACCTCGAAATGATATGCGATCCTTTTAAACGGCGGGAAGGAGGTAGTAATGTGAGCCGTGTGCCAGTCGCTCTTGAAGCACGTCACTTTGCGGGGCCCATATCAGACGGAGGCTTACTAATCATTATGAACATAAGTCACAAGTGCTGTACCAAGGGCGTATAGATATCACTAAGAGACTGTAAGTACCAAAGTAGTAGAATTTAATTCATGACCTAAGTTGATGCATCGGACGGGGATATCCACTGCGGATATCACCGGTATGAAATTATGGAGACTCTTAGTTGCCTCTCATCTCCTTGATGTCCTTGCTTCTTGGTATCAGACTGATTTTCTGAGACACGCGGGACCGAGTTTCTCCATCTTCTGCTTTCCCGAGCTTGATGTAGAACCATAGAGAGTCACAGAAGGCATGACATAGCGCGATTTAAATGTGTACTGTAATTTCTCTGGTAAGTGGTAATAGTACCTGATACCTGACGGACAGTGATAGTAATATTAATAATGTGTATGAAATCAAACATACATATTCATACCTTTTCACCCAAGTACAGTAATATAGCCGTTACGGCGTAAGACTGTATTTTATGAGACCGGTGTCATTGCAAAACCAAAAGAAATGAATGTGGCATGACATGTTCCCCATAAGCCACCGACAGGTCTGCCGGCGCCAGGGAGAATATCAACTCTGTCCAGATGAAATCATCGCATGATGATTCTAAACTGGGTCGACCGGCTCCAGTGGTTTTAAATCCTGCCAAAAGGACACTCTAAAGTTGCCTCGCGAGTGGACGGCAGAGCCGGTGCCCTCGTACAAGATTACTTAGTAATCC